TAGGGTGCAGCATGGGGCCCCATGGGGTGGGTTTTGAGATTTCAACCCACCCATGGGGTGGGGCGTACTTTTACGACCCAGCCTATGGGCGCCCCATGGGGGTGGCTTATGGGGCAACGGGTGCCCATGGGGCATGTGAGTTATCATGTGATCTCTTATATAATAATAAATAGCGATTTATTCTAGAAAAAGAAATCTATAAACTCTTTATATATATTTTCAATATAAAGAATAGAGTAAGATATAAATAATATTATTAATAATTAAATCAATAGAGTTATAAATTAAATTATTAAATTATTAAATTATTATTAAATTATTAATTAAATTATTAATTCATTGATTCATTGATTCATTGATTCATAGCCCTTAACTACTATGACTACTGCAACTGCCAGATGGGTATATTGCTCTGTCCATAACGCCGTAAAAAGTCAAGTAAAAACAATTACAGCCCATGCTAAATACCTGGCACCTCAGATCCTGTCATAAGCATCCGCAACTGACGCAGGAGTTTCATATCTTTCTGCATAATTGTTACACGCTTTCCATGAATCGCCAGGAGGTTTGCCACTAGTAAAGTTAGTAGAGGGTTAGTAGACAGCTAAGATGTACTTACTTTCGAATTCCTTGGTAAGAAAAGCTTCAGCTGCCGATTGAATAGCTTCTAGAGCACTAGCTTGGAATCTTATGAAATGATGTTGCAGATCACCGCGTGTGATTTCACGGACTAGACGAACAAATGGTGCTTTGGGGAGAAGCATTAGTTCGGATTTCTGGTAGTAGCGAATTTCACGAAGTGCAAGAGCTATAAATATCAGCAAATTGTACAAGGTTAGTAGAAGGTTAGTAGACTTACTTCCAGGCCTTACACGGCGGAGTTGTGCATTGGGATTTTTATCCTTGGTAGGGTGGGCCTTATAGATTGGCGTTCGCAGGTTTTCAGTTTTCTTCTTCTTGCCCTTTACTGGCTTCTTTCCACGAGCAGGCTTGGGGCGGCGGGGTGCTTTGGTAGGAGCTTTTCGCGGTGCTTTTTTTGCTCCTTTACGGACTCCCTTTTTCTTCCCTGCCAGGGCACTAGCCAAAGGTCCTTGTCCAGGGACGAATCCAGCATCTGGTCCAAGGTCATCATCGCCATTTTCCTCCCCGACCTGGTCAGCACCGAAATCAGACTCAAAGTCAGACTATTACAATTTAGCATATAATAAGGTTAGTAGAGGGTTAGTAGACTTACCATAGCAGAAGGTATAGCAGCAGGCTAGGCGAAAACTTGAAAGTGAGCTTTGTTTTTATTTTCAGACGCGACGCGACGCGACAAAGTAGCTAGGCAAGTGAAGTTAGTATTCTATACCTAAAATAATAGTAGGTAGGGGCTATAGGGGCTTACCAGCTTAGTTAGGTTAGTTGACCGATAAATAGAAGGTAAGGTTGTAAAAGGTGGGAGAAATTTACTTTATGCTGACTGGCTGCCTGAGCTCGCTTAATCGGCTCACCGCCCAAACGCGCTTAGCTTAATTTCTTCAACCTCTCCAGCTTTCGAACTTTTAAACCTTACACCTCCGCCCCACAACACTCTACCTTAGACCCTGCACCTTGCAACTTGGGCTTCTACCAATAAAATGCCTCCAAAGCGCTCTGCAACGGCAGCTGGTCTAAATGACCAATCACGCTCTGCAGTAAGTAGCTCTGGTGCCTACTAACCTGTCTACTAACCTGTCTACTAGCCTCCTCCACCTATGCCCTCGACCCCGCCAGGCGGCCTGTCTACGAACCATAACACCGTCAAGGTGCGTGCCCGTCAGCAAATGCTGAAGGCAGACCCGGGAAAATGGCAGCGCGAAAAGGCCCGGGAACGTGATAGGGCAGCAAAAAGCTATGCAGTTAGAAAGTTAAAGCGCACTGATGGATATAAGAACTCGGATCAGACACAGCAGCAAGCACTTATTACACGTGCGGAAGCTGATGTTATGGCTGGCCGGATTAGAGATAAAGTCGATTATGATTCAGTGGTTCAGGCGCAGAAAGATCTACTGGCTGAGAATTGGGACGATATCGAGGATGAGGATGAGGAGCTCACAAGGGCAGATGATTTGGCCAATAACGAGGTCATTCCTGTTCTTGCAAATAGTAAAATTCAGGACCAACTCCGGCTAGTAAGTTTATTCTTGACTAATATTTTACCGAATATAACTAATATTTGAATAGAAGGCTATGTTATTTGGATACGATCTCTGGAAAAGCCACTGGATTAGCACCTATGCCAGTCTTCGTGAAAAATTACACCGACTCTCTCGACGTGGCTATTATGAGATTAATGCGGCGTCTTACAAAGCAACTACTGCTCGGTAAGTTTTTCTATATAAGGTTAGTAGACGTCTACTAACCCTTGCAAGGCACCAACCATTTGTTCAACTTGCCCCCACAGATTACTTTGAGCCATCCGAGATTGCAATGTGGAGCAGTATGCAGTCATGGAACAGAAAAGAATGGGTTGAATTGCCTGGCCCTGCGCGTTGGTGGAATGGAACTGATGATATAGCTTGTGGGTTTGTTGGATCCAAGGATGCACAAATCTGTGCAAATGCTTTCCTACTTGCATTTGTTCCAGAGCGGTTTAAAGTAACTGCGGCACAGCTGTTTTTTCACCCTTCTACTATTGTTAATAGCGATAGTTTCTCGGTGGATATTTCTTCAGAACTCCTAGCAGTACTGGTTTAGATAATTAAGTAGAGCAGATACAAATAACTCTTACTAAGTCTTATATAGTTGTATATTGTGAATAAAGTATAAAGTAGTATAATATATTTATGTAACTAATTCTACTTAAAGAATAGTTTTAACCTTTTTTATTTTAGTAAGCTTAGCTAGTCTGTACTACTGTATGTAGTACGTAATAGATATCAGTACATATTAAGATTCGAAGTCCCTATTATTATCTTTTCTAAGTTCTAACTCTTGATTCCAAAATCGAAACTTATATCTCCCCGACAATTACAAGTCTACTCTTTGTTACTAATACAATGAACGCTTCCCAAGAACCCAATTTCGGCAGTGATTCCCAGTTTATGGATGAGCTTGTATTATCGTCGTCTGCCTTCCAGTCATCCCCCCCCAGAGTCTATAATACATCGGATATCAATCAAGAATCCGTATTACAACGTATTGGAAAGTATCAGCAGTTCTACCAATGGTCAGTAGCCCAGAAGCACGAGTTCGAGTTATGGTGGTCCGGGACTTCCTGGTACGCTGCTAATAATGCACTACCTCGCCCAGCTTCACTTAAGTGGGAAGGATCGCGGACTTCAACAAGCTGGTCAAACTATGCCCAGGGCGCACATATTCGAGATGGGAAGCCTGCGGTAGTATGTCTCTCTTGTCAAGAGGTTTTATCACATCCGAATTCGAAGAGTATATCAACAGGGACGAAGGCATTGATTGCACACACCCGGTCAGACAAGTGCAAGAAGGCTCTTACTCGCAATAATGGTACAATATATCGTCAGTCGACTATATATGAATCACATAGACAAGTGGTATGTTACATATAGTAAGAGGGTTAGTAGACTCTACTAACTTATTCAATAGGCTGTTTCCACACCTCGTTACGATGATATGACCTCGACTGGATTCGTTGTTCGATTTATCCTCTCACTCCACCTCTCTTTTCGTACAGTCGAAAATGAAAAGTTTCGCGAACTAGTTCAGCATCTATGTCCAGGGGAAGCTATGGTATCTGCGTCTACGATTCAGCGGCGGATTATGGATAAAGTACACCAACTAGGTCCAGCTGCATTGAAGAATCGAGTACCAAATGCATCGGTTGCAATTACACTAGATTGCTGGACTAGTCCAACTAATATTGCCTTTATGGCAGTTAACGTTCACTATATCGATTCGTCTTGGAATTTTATCACGGAGCTTATAGGGTTCGAACCATTGACTTCTACACATTCCGGGCTTGATCTTGCAGAAGTTCTATTCAATGTACTAGAGCAGTTTGGGATACGGGAGTTAGTACGAACTATTACTGCAGATAATGCAAGTAATAACAAAACACTTGTTGCTGAGATGAACGAGCTTCTTACCAAAGCTAGAACTTCGAAGCTTACAGTAGCTGGCCGCTCTATGTTCCCGCAGCAGATTGTTAGTGTTCCTTGTCTTTCTCATATCTTTCAATTAGTCCTGCAGGCGATCCTTGGGGGTATCCGGGTAAACCCGACCAACGACGAGCTCAAACAGAATTGGCATACTATAGATGAGGAGGAGTTTCAGTCCGAACAAGGGTCCCAGGGGCTGCCGTTTACTCTGGCAAAGGTATGTACTATGTCTACTAACCCTCTACTAACCTTTAACTAAATTTACCAGGTTCGAAAACTAAGCATATATATCAATTCAAGTCCACAACGCCGGATTACATTCGATAATATACAGCGATCGCTTGCAAGGAATAATAAACCACCTCTTCGGCTTATTCAAGATGTTAAGACTCGGTGGAATTCGACATGTTTAATGTTAATCCGCGCAACGAAATTACGCTTGTCGATTGACGAGTATACACGCCGGGGTACACCATCTATGTTTCGTCTTACTGAACATGAGTGGAAGCAGGTCGAGTATCTTATTGATCTTACAAAACCATTTGTACTTTTAACAGACCAGATCGGACAGTCGAAAGGGATTTCAATTGGCGCAGTATATACGTTCTATGATATAGCGTTTACACATATCGAACAAATGACTGCACAGCTCGAAGTCAAGGTTGGGCGAAGGCATGGACCACAGATAAAGTGGATACAGGAGTTACTAGTAGGGCTAGGCGCTGCACAGGAAAAGCTCCGAAAGTATTACACTGAAACATACAAAGACCTTGGATCGCTTTACGCCTTTGCAATGATATTAACACCTGGATTTAAAACATCATCGTTTCAAACAGATAGTGGGCTTTCTTCTACTGAGTTTGGTACTGACTGGGAATACGAATATACCTCGCAGCTAACCTCTATATATACTAAGAAATATCAGAAAAAGGGGGACTCTGTACATAAACGTCAGAAGCCGGCCCGTGCTCGTCACGACTTACACTTGATTCTTAGCTCGACTTGGGGCAGGAATTGGCTAGGTACAAATACTGATAATGACGAGTCAGAATTGGAGAGGTACCTTCGGGAATGTAAGTGCTCCGCTCTACTAATCTTCTACTAACCTTCTACTAACCTTTTTTTGATTCTAGCTCCAAAACTGCCAAGTGATAGTAGGACCGATCTAGAGTGGTGGAAGGACCAAGAGGCCGAGCTACCCGCATTAGCTGCTTTTGCACGAGATATTTTGGCCACTCCAGCTGCAGCTGTTAGTGTTGAGCGCGTATTTAATGTTGCAAAGGATGTCTGCGATCCACGTCGAGCAAGGCTAGCTCCACTCACGATCCGAGCAATTATGCTTGGACGCTCATATGATGAACTGCCAGCTAATGATGATATTGGAACGACTATGGTAGACGAGCTTACTCTCGAGGAGCAAGATCAAGAAATAAGTCGCCGTGAGGAGGAGTTCAAGGAAAGGTTAACGACAAGTTATATTAGCGACGAAGATGAGGCCGAAGTCGAAGCTTACGCTGCTAATTATGCAATAAGTCGTCGTATTAGCCCGAAAAAGATTGCTGGCGCTTCGCAATCTTTACATCAAGAAACCCCTCGTAGGATACGGCGGGAACGATATATTGCTGCCTTGGAAGCAGAGTCGAGTACTAGCCGCCGTCAAAGCCGGCAGGTATATGACCTTGAGAGCTCGCCTCCTCCAAGTTCTCCTACTCCATCTTCTAATCAGCTAGTAGGAGAAAAGGAAAGTGCGAGTATCCCTACTATAGGTTCAGATATCGACTTTGCAATACCACTTCCGCGTCAGAGACAGTCGACTACACCTACTCCAATAGAGTCATACTCTGCTAAACGTAAAGCAGACTCTCTTTCCAATACTACGACTCGACAAACCTCTCGAAAAAGGATTCCCAAACTTATATTTAGTCCTCAAAAATAGTAGTATAATATATAATAATATAATATTATACTACTTATATATATAAAGTGATTCTGTTGAAATTGTACTCTACTAACCTGTCTACTAACCTGACTTTAATTCTATATAAAGTTATGTATATATTAAAATTATGACAGTGTATTATAATTATGATAGTGTATAATTAAACCCATGGGGCCCCATGATTGGGGTATACTTTTCGTACGCCCCAGCCCCATGCCCCATGGGGCAGGAAACTCGACGCCCCACCCATGGGGGCGCCCCAGCCCATCTGGGGCGTGGGTAATGGGACCCCATGCTGCACCCTATTCGAGGTCAAATTAGCTCGAAGTTCCTTTTGGTTGAATTCATGATAATTGTAATAATTACAAAGTAGCTTACCTCGGATTGTAACAAGCCACTTCACCATAATTTCGTGATAGGAGACACTGACTGCCGGAAGAACAGCATATGGATTCTGCATTATTTCGAAAGGCGGCATTGTAGACTGGAGGATCTCTGTTGAAGTTGCTCAAACCAGTTTGGTGGCATATTATTGCTTTCCCACCATTTGGCAGGTTGGGCTTGCAGATCTCGTCGATGTTATTCAGAGCATCAGCGAGGATACCAACGGTAAAAACCAGTGCGGTCGAGATTAGAAAGATTGATTGTTGCATTATTGATAATGATTTGGATTTTTAATTCGGAAGATATGGAAAATCGAATATAAGTGGGTAGGAAGAATACCGGGTGAAAGAAAGAGTAACTGAAGGGGAGTTCGAGTTTAAATATTTCCTAGATGTTCTCCTTACACTCACCTGTGCCAATAATTCATCTGGCGCCTCGATGCATAATTGTTCTCATACCCAACGCCTGATTGGCAGGATAAGATGAAAACTGAGCTCAACTGGTACAAAATGGAGAGTGCAATGGCTATTTTTAACCGACAACCAAGAAATACAACTTCTTTGCTGTCATGTTCGGCTGGCCGTTGAGGGTTGTGGTTCTTCTTGACGCTGAACTCGCGTTGCCGCTGAGGCTGAACGTTCGTTGCCGCTGAGGCTGAATTTGCCAAGGTGCCTCTGCCATTCAGTAGACGAAGAGTCGACAGGTTTAAAGACGAGCTTGGATGAGGAGACTGGTAAAACTTGTGCTGGATCATTTATTGTAGACTTATTTTCGCCTTTAGAACCGTATGTATACATACCGGAGGTAATCGTTTAGTTAGCTTACGACCTGAGATCCGCGGTGCTGTCAAAAAGGGTAAACGAAGCGGCGCGAGCGCCACATTTTGTTGGGGGATGCTGTGCTTGACCAATCGTGATCTCTGGTCATTTGGTTGAATCTCTAGAATAGAATTATCCGTACGAGCCAGTAAATTGGTGGTGATGGTGGTACCATGACGGCTGCGATGGCGGAGGCGGTGGCATGCGTAATAAGATTAGAGAATGGGATGATGGAGAGGTGAGGATATTGGGGGGGGGGGGTTTTGATGATTGAAGAAAGGATATGGAAAAGATGGGGTTTGGTGGATGAGGATGACGGCGATGGCAGCGATAATAGCCACCGGTGGTAGCAGGGAAGATGGGTATGGGGGCGAATAATGGATATAGCGGCTGTAATGGCCAGGTTTGGTGGTCGCGGTGGTGATAGCGGGGATGATTGATTTGGAGAATTGGGTTGGTAGGCGGTGAGATTGGGAGAGTCTAATAAACAATGTGCAAGGATGCCAGGGTTGAGGTCAATCTTGGGGAATTTTGAGCCGCTTTCGTGATCAAGCTTACCAAAATCCACGGACTTGTTGATGACCTTCAACCTGATCGGATGACATCCCTGATCATAAGTAAGGAGGATTATCCATCCCTTGCTAAGCTGCTGTGAATTCCCTGCTTTTTCCTACTAAGAGTAATTGCTCGGAAGATATCTCCACCTTGCGATCAGCAGCAGTACCTGAAGGTACCAGAAGGTGCAACTAGGCACGGGTGCACAGCCACCCGTGTCCGGAAATGGTCGCCGCTTAAAATAGTTAACCCAAAAACGAGCGACACGCAATTCGCCTTTTACTATATTTGACGGTTGCCGCTTTTCTACTAATGCCCCCTTCATTTACCTGTCGTTTGTTGAAGTAGCGACAGCGCTAACGAAAGCTGCATATTGGCGTTTCCCAAAATTCCAATGATTGGTTGCAACATGAGTTTATCATTATTGTGCATCATTGGTTTACTGCAGTAAACTAATGATGCAAATCCACCGTTCCCACGTAGCTTTATTATACGAGCTCCATATATCCCGCGTTCGATTTCAGATGATGCATTAAGTTTAATCTTTTTAATCTGAGATTTTATTATTTTTCTTTGCTGTATTATTAGCTCAAAGTAAAGTCCATCGCTCACTAGGGGGTATTAGAATCTGTAGAGCAGCAAAATCTACTGCTTACTAGTGCCTTGTTAATATACGTAGAAGAAATATTCTAAAGTAACGGAACCTTGACCTGTAATTAACCTTTATACTCTTGTGGCCTTGTTCTGTGATTAACTATTATAGGTGTGGCCAAAACAAAGGGTATTAAAATTTGAATGTTCCACAAATTCTGACACTCTCTGGTGGTTAAACAAATAGTATTAAAATTTAAATGTTCTACAAATTCTGACACTTTCTAGCTATAAGAAACTGATATACTGCCCAAAGGTCCCGATATCTAAGGCTACTCTATTAGGGAAGCTGTCACTGATTCTTTAAACTATACTACGCTTAGTATTGGGGAAAAGTTTAAATCCACTGGCCCAGAGCTACCACCACTAGATGAGGAGGTTAGAGATAAGATTACCGACCTATCACTAGTATTTATTTCAGACGACGGAGCAATGCTCCGTAAAAGAACGGCCAAGATGGCAGAAAAGGCCCAGATATGGTAGGCTTATATATTATCCAACCTTGACGACGTAGAGGTGGATATTATAGAAACCTTGAGCAACTACGAGCCGGCCCAAATGGAAAGAATATACCCGCAGGTTGCTAAATTGGCGCCGAGTAAAGAGAAGAGGAAGACAGTTAGCAAAAAGGCGGAGAAGAAAGGGGGGAATAAGAAGGGAAAGGATACCGCGTATTTTACAGATATAGAGGGCAGCTAATAGGAGGACGGGGACGAGGAGGGTTGGATTATACTATGTGTTTTGTAAACTCGATAAATTATTCTACTTAGTACGCAAGACTAGAGTCTAGTGTAAGCTCCTAGCCAAATATAACTCCGTTCTAGATATTATGAACTTCCCTAGAGTTATAGTAGTTCGACTGCCTCAAAACACTGAAAAGAAAACCCCAATTTCATTATTTTTAGATTAGGAGTGGAATAGTCAGGATTATATAAGGTTAGACTTTGTTAATATCCCTAGAATTTTGCTATAAATTTATTTTCCACTTTTTCAGGATGATTCTTGGAGGTGACCTCTTTGATATTTTTACCCCTCTGTTTGTTTTACGACTCAGCCAGCTCCACCCCTCCAGATTGGAAAACGTTCGCCGGAATAACCAACGAGGCTTATTCTACCTCTTGGTCTTAGGTGAGAGTAGGGAGAAGAAATAGATAGTACTTATTATTCAAAGATTTGATACAGCACACTAACCCTATCATCATTTCAAGCGCGAGTAGAGATAGTATATCATAGAAAATATATAAAAATCAGAGTATAACAACAATGCAGCGAACAAGTATCATCTAAAACTTCCCTGGATGCACTCCAATTACTTACGAAATGTATCTGTTGTGTCATTTTCCTCGTACTTGAATGCCACGAACATTTAGTCGACAAGCCCCCACAAAGGAGATGAGTGTTACTATTTCTAATGATAGATAAGGGGAAAACCAACCACCCCGTCCTCTTCTCCAACAGCGATCTGTCTGGCATGAGGTCGTATTCATTTAAGCATGCCTCTATACTTCATACATTAACCGACGTAAATCCCCACGGACGACTGAGACAGGCCCCTGGATATTTCCCATGCAACCTTCAACGGTCCTCGCCTCGTTGCCGCCACTCACACCACACCAAATATCATTTCGGTGCCTATTTCACAAGATTGCGCCAGTCCAGCGCACCATCCTCCGCATTTACACACTCATGCATGTGTCCCCTTTCAGAGCCCTTACACCGCTCACGCAATCGGCACTAATGCAGCGGGAGATGACAGCCACATCCCGGGCCGGCCCAATACCCTCCCAGTCGGTACCAACCCAGCGTTCCGGAACGAACTGTTTGGCAAACTATATGACCCGCGCACCAAAGTACTGGGAATATGGCTGAAATAATTGCGCCGCTTCGCCCTGTTTCGCTGGTGGAAGACGGACCGATCCTTACCACTAAGCCTTGCAGAGGGAGCTGGTACTACCTTGTTAGTCCGTAGAGGGCACTAGCCAAGTAATTTGGAGAAAGTAGATTCCGGGAACCAAGTTGCTGGGCTCGCTCAGCCTCCTGTGGTTCTACGAAGAGACATCCCCTGATGAAGGGCATCTTGTCAACGAAGGGGAAAGCTAGAATCCCTCGTTCCCGCTAACTGGCCCTATACTGCCAAGTGCAACCCAAGAACCAAACGACCGGTTCCTGGTGAGGTTCCCTGGTTCCCCCGCGAATGAAAGAGGTCGAGAGCAGGCTCAACGCCGAGGAGTCCGAAGAAGCAAGGGGCAACTTCCCCTCTTTCCCATAGGGCACTTGCTGAGGATGCATATTTCCCGGCGGTTATCCCGCAGCGTAACCTCAGAGCCCCCACGACCGATGGGGGAGTCCACTGCGTGCTGGGTGGGCACTGTGTCTACCCGCAGGGAACTCTTCCAGTTTTTGCCAGGAGACATTGGCCAAATTCAACCCCAAGGGGCCAAGGTAGTCCAAAGTTCCAAGCGCAAACTTCAATCTTCAAACGCAACAGTCAAACCACAATATCAAAAGATCAATCAAACCTTCCGTATTGAAAATAATTCTACCGCCAATGCGTGCGTAACCTAATTTCAAATCCGATCACTACCGTTAGCAACACTAACGATACCACCCACACAGTGTCCGCAAACGATATCATGACTATGGCATTCGGCCTTACCGCCACCATATTAGCAATCTTGGCTGTCGTCGTGACAAAGAGGAGCAATGTAGCAAAGACTCAGTCGACACTTGGCGACATCGAGCAGCGGTACGAGGGTGGCAAGGCCGGCCGACAGGATATAACGATCACTATGGAAGAAGTGTACTGGCGGAGCTGGAGGAACATAACGAGGGAGTAAATGACAAGAGCGAGGACATAGGAAGAGGCTTCAAACTCGGCACTAGAAGAGCTGGTCACAGAAAAAAGGGAGGGGGCTGACAACACATCGTTGTATTATGTCGTGCAGTTCATTTTGAATGTAATGCATGGTCGTGGTTTTACCACAACTGTACCTATGAGTACAGGCAATTGATTCCTGCCATCCTTATAATTGATAGCCCATGAATCTTGACTTTCGACCATGACTATCCCGCCACCATGCTAAAAAACCATCTCGGCATCACTCCCGGCACGGACCAATTCCTATGCCTCTGACATCTCTCATTTTTCATCGTGGCTAATAGAATACTTTAATACTCCTGCATCAAATCAAATCATTTATTCAATCCCTCCCCTTCCTCGACATGAATCTCAGTCGCTGTTTCTTCAGCGTCTTCGTCTCCAGCACCGGGTGTTACTCTGAACGCCGGTCTTAGTTGACGCTCCATTAAATCTGCATGTAGTTCGATGGCACTCATTTGGGCATCTTCGTCAAAGTCCGGAACTGGGCTTTGATCTATGAATATGCCATCATCCTCAGCAACAGCATTTCTGAAATCCTCGAGACGTTCACGTATCGAACCTTCGCTTGCTGAAGAATTATGCTGGACACGGTCGCTCGCGCCGTCGTCTATATCCGAACCGGTGCCGGAAACCTGACCCCGTGAATTAGGTAGGTGGTCGAAGTTCCAGGCGGTCCCGAGAAAACTGGCGGCGCCCTGAGAATTTAGATTGCCATAACCGACATTGCTATAATTCATACCATCATCAGTTCCCACATCGATACCTTCGTCCTCGATGCTGTCTTGTAATTGCAAGCCATCGTTCATCACAGCGTCACTAGCGATGAGCGGAGCTGCATCCTCGTCACTTGCTTCGTGGGCTTGGTAGGCAGGGAGGCTCTCGACGGCCGCGGGATGTATAGTCATCACGTCCGCACTAGCCGAACCAAGATTTGGTCGACGGGGAGCTGCTCCTACTCCTGTCAAGGCGCTCGACGACCCACGAAAGGTATTTCCGACGAGGCCCTGCTCTTCCCCCGACTCAGCTGCATCATCTTCTTGAGAATCGGGAGGGTTATCATAGTCTTCGAGGATCTGCTTAAATCTCTCTCCACCAAGTGGGCCATCCGCTCGGCGCCTATAGAACAATAGATATGCACTTTGTGTCACAACGTGTCTAGGATCTTTTGTCCTCGAGACTGAAGAATCTACGAATTGTTAGTCAAATGAGAGGATTGTAAACAGACGAGTTGCCTACCGTTGTACTCGTACCACTCGCCATCGAAGAAGTTCTTGGCGAATGCAGTGTAATGTCCGCCACCAAGCCCGCCCCAATGATCATCGACGGCAATCAGATCGTAAATTTCTTGCTTGCCTTCCTGCGTTTCGACAACGCGTGAGGTGAGATCAAGGCCTTCGATTGGAAAGTCTACCATGACATCGAGTTTATCCCGACGCAGTGCACTGGAGCTAAATCGTTTCAAGTGCATAACAAGAATATCAGGTGTTTTCCAGAGTTCGAATTTCTTGCTTGCTCTCCGGTGCTCTTTGCACCGAGGGCAGTACCAAGTGTCCATCTCCGACAAGATCTCTTCCTTGCCGAATTCATTCAGGCAGTCGTCCAAGGTGATGCCATTTTTCCGTCGTTGTGCACGTGCCCTCCGTCTGGCTTCGAGTTGCGGGTCTGGTAGTGTTGGTATGGCACTGATAGTGTCACGGCCTCGCATTGTGTCCTCCGGACCATCGGCCTCGTACATGGCATTAAAGGCCTCTGGATTCCAATCAACGACAATGCCTTCCCCTAGACATATGAGTGGTCTCTCATCGGCAGGTTCATGGTCCAGTTCGTCGCTAGAGCCGCTGAGTTTGCGTGTTCGTTGATTGCCCTTCTTTGAGTAAGTTTTGATACCACGATTGCGACGTCTGTTGAAACCTACTCTAACCCCAGCTCTTGGTCGGACAGGAAGAGCCTAGTCTTCGGTTAGGATTTGCAACAGAAAGATTTGATAACTCGATCGTCTTATAATGTATAGCAAAGCTGGGACGATCGCAATTATGCAATGAAAATTTAACTTACTTTAGGCACTGAGGGAGCAGAGAGTTCGTCCTCTTCACTCGACTCCTCGTTCATTCGAGTCTGACCCGAGAAATCATCGTTGCAGGATTGATCATCTTCAGTACTGCTGTCCGATCCAGCTCCACCATTTGATACCTCAAATTCGTCCAGCGAGTCGTCACGCGATTGTTGGGTCTGGGGAGCCCTCGATGCGAGGGATGGGTAGGTTTTGTCCTCATCAACGACATTCCAGCCCGAGGGGATTAATTCTTTTGCCCCAGAGAAATAGCCGAGAGTAAACATGTTTTGAATCGAAGGATTGAGATGTGACTTCGGGTCTAGGAATTTGGGTCGACGTTTATTGAAATCCTTCAGAGGGGTACTAAAATAATTGGTTAATAATGGCACACGATTTGGGATAAAGAGCATGCAGTACAATGTCTTCTCAGGACCTGGAGGTTTAGGTTCTCCAGCGCTATTCTCCGCCTCGATATCTGCTCCGCTGCATTCTTTCATTGCTACATCCACGAGCTCGGGTTCCCCGTCGACAGAGGTTGCCACAACCTTACTCCCACCAGCGGAATCAGCATCAGATCCAGTTGTAAGAACAATGTCGGGATCGACGCTATCACTGGCACTTGCATCGGCTTCATCGTCTTCTATAAATTCTTGTGACGTAGTAAATGTTGCGACTTTCTCTAGGACCTTTCGCTTGATTATCTCAAGATTCCGTGCCTAACGAACAATCAGCATATAACCCAGGGCATAATCACGACACACCTACTTCTTCTGGATTTACAACGATGAAATGCGGTGCTGCCACAAGTACCCAAGCCTTCTTGAACCGGTTAGTTCGCTCGGGGTTGGGTCTCCGGTGAAAGACAGGGACAAGCAGCCTCTCCGCGAGCGGGTCATTCCAAGGCGGGACGTCCTCATCGTCGGATTCGTTCATGTTAAAAGTGGTAATGGCCTTAAATTTATGCTTTTTACCTGGCTTCTGGGGGCGCCAGTTTGTTGGTTTGGCTTCCAGTTCATATACAGCCACAATGTCATTGTTTTGAATTTCTTCGGACGCCACGGTAAGATCATCGTAGAGCTTGTAAAACTTGCTCTTGAACTCCTCTGCAGCGAACAGCCTCTCGACTGGAACATCAACTCGTTTACTAATAAACTCCTTCATCGCCAACATAGTACCCTGTTTGTCCATGTCGACATTGATAAGGACTGGCCGATCATTCAATGGGAAGAAGTACACGGGATGTTGCCAAGAACTCTCGATCGGTAATTGCAATGTCAGATTGTTGAAAGGATCAAAAGTGATACTGATTTTCGAACAGACAGGACAGACCAGGGTTGATTTGTACATTCCGGTAAAGAGATCTGCGATGACCGAGTCGTCTCGTCGCTTGGTAATATCCCACACCTTCGCAGCCATTTCTCGGATAGCCTCAGGATTATTCACCATCTCATCCGTTGAATCCGGCTTCTCGATGTATGGCTTCTTTCTGATACGGCTTAAATCCTCCTGGAGTCCGTCGAGTAGGAATCCCAGGAACTCTTGAGAATCTTGCTGGCCGTAACCTGAGAATGACGGCGCATATTTACCAATGGTAGTCTTAAAATTCCGGGGGGCAATTGACGTCGGCACTGGTTCTTTATAGATTTCTTGCAAGAGGCGCTCGTATGCTACAGCAACTTGCCCGTTATTTCCCAAAGGGTTATCGACGTTCAACTCAGACCTGGCTGCACCAGTTAGGAAATATTTAGTCAGCTCCTCGACACTCCGAACACATTGAAGAGCGGAATTCATGTAGCAAGTATTTCCGAGGTTGCTCAACCCAACGGTCCCAAGAGTTCGGCCAGTTTTTTGTGTTCGGCCCCGCGTCATTGGACCAGACGGGGCGGGACTGTTTCTACCGCTATTCGGTGCACTTTGCGAGATGGCGGTACGAGTGAGGGTTGTAGAAGTGGTCTTGGGGCCCCTCGGGGAAACATAGATAGACACGTAGGTGTCATTGGTGACCGCCTCGTCAATGACGATTGTTTGATCGTCACCTAGCCCCACAAACGCGAGGTCCATATTGCCATTGTAATTGGAATCCGTAGTAACATCACGCTGAGTGAGTAATTCCCTACCATTGTCTTTCTCGAGTTGGAGGAATGTGGTCACGTCGAGTAAGAGATGTGTCCAAGAGTCCTGCGGTTCTCGCGGGCGAGCCACGCTGTCTGGCCCAGAGGAGCCAGGTCGGGACGATGGCGGCGTGACAGCATTGGAAATAGGTGCGACGGGATCGGCTGCAGGTAATAATCTGGGAACCCGCCAGACCCGAACCTTTTTTGAAGGATCTATCCCAGATTTTTCCTTGATCTTCTTTAGGAAATCGTAGTACCTGGCCGACCTACTAAAGACGAACACCGGAGCCGGAGGATTGGTAGCCTTGAGCATTTGTGGAATAGGGATCGGGTTGCCCTGCGCGTACAACCTATGCACAGTGAAGATGGCCAGATGATACTCGTAGCTTATATTTGGAATGCCGGTTTTGTCCGGGTTCGTGTTGTGTGCATACCGCACAATTGGGATAGACCCAGGCATGAGGCCGTACCACAACACGATAAGGTCCCAGGCGTCTTGAGGGCACAATATAAATTCGGCGAAACCATAGCCGTGCTTTAGCTGTGCAAATTCAACACCGTCAGCGTCCTTTATGACTTGCTGGATGATGTCGGAGTTGTCCACGGGCCCAATTTCTCCTTCTGGCTCCACTTTGCTGTTTTGAAGTGCCTCCGAGCCTCTATCGGTGACACGTTGGAGCCATCGCCTGGATACCAAGTACACCTTATCTCCTTCGTTGGGCGGGTCTTGTGTAGCCGCCTCACATATTGTCGTCACGGTCTTGATCTGAACGTCGATGGGGGGTATTTCTGGATCACTGTATATCAGCCTAGTAAACATAAGAAGTCACTGAACAGTTTCACCTACCAGTATCTGATTGGGTTGTGGCAGCAGTGCTTCGTCCTTGTTCCGTCGAACAGCTAGCTGAATCTGCCTCGTGCTCGTTCCTCAGCATATCCACCGATGGTGCCTGACTTGCATTGGTGGAGTCTTCGACAGCCTCTAATGGCGCAGGTTGGTCTGCTGTGATCATTTCCACATCATCCTTCTGGGTCGATGCTACCTCAGCTTCCTCTAAATCCGAAGCCCGCCTCTTTAGCGGTGACGATGACCTCTGCGAAAGATTCGATGCCCCTCCCATGATAGCTTTACGCGCAAAACTGCCGATAGGTGACTGGCTCCGATTTATATCGTGGTCGTTAGGGGCAAGTGAGGCTGCTCGGGGTTGTGAAGCTGATGTATCAGCACTGCGATCGCCTTCGATGGAGAGACCGGCGTACGCTGCGCTGGGCGAGCTCGCCGCGGAAGAGATATAATCGAAGCCCGAGAGAGACGACGAGCTCTGGAGATACGAGGGGATGGGCGGAGGAAGGGTTGCTTCGGAGTCGGGTACGTCGAATCGTGGATGGGCGAGTGGCAGAGCCTGGCAATCTTCAACCGACTTCAGCGGAATGTCTGGGTCGCCAACCCTATCAGAGTCCGGATTTTGGCCTTGTATATGCTGCGGGGAGAGCTTTCTTTTCTTTGTGGAAGACGTCGTGAATGCGAGCTGCCTTTGCAGCTCTGTGTTGGCCGGTGGGAGCAGTGTAAGTGTCGCGAGAAGGGCCTTGATCTGGACGATTCCTTGTCATAGGCGATTGCAAGACTGCGGGGCCGACAGACTGCATGCAGGTTATTGGTATTTCCTGGGATAGGCAGATGAATACATCGAACGTGGGATTGGCCACAGATGTGTTTTTGGATATGTAAGGAAGAATTCGCGTTGATCTGTTGGAGGATGGTTGGTGGTTGTTTTGTGGTTGTCGAGGAACCTTCACTTTAGTGGCACTTGCCGTCTAGCGAGACGTGAATTGCATCTGAGTTTGTATGTATCCCGGAAGCTGAGGCAACACACTATGACGAGGTTCACATTTGAGAGTCAATAGCAATGTCAATACCAATACCAATACCAATACCAATGGCGCAGTTTGGCCGGGGAGGGTGAGAATCAGTACAGAATTTTCCGTTTAGCCTGTCAAGTGGTAGATGAGAATGGATTGAGGTTGAGGTTGTGGTGGTGATTGTGATTCAGCCATCACCAGGTCGGCCATCACCAGGCCACCGCCGCTATCCCTATGCTTTCATTATCCATGCTACCAAAGATGCTTTGGTCTTCCGTTAGTGTGTGTTCCGCCATTTAGGGAGATCAAATCCGGTCGTGAGGGCTTTTCCATCTATTCTGATCTGTGCCCTGTGAAATTTTGATTTTGCATCGGCGGGTCTTGGCTTACTCGTATGGCATCAAAGAAGGCATTTTTATTTACAAGCAAACTACTGTTTCTTTTATATGAATCGCTACAAGTAAGATATCTAGCGAGCTGTACTACGAGCGCTGATTACCTTCTTTTGGGGTTCAATTTTTTTCGCGGTTGTCGTCCTTTTTTCATTCATACCAGACGCATTCGATCCAGCCTGGTCACGTGCTTTAACCTAGGCACCCCCCATACAAATAACAACCAGTGATTGGGCAAAGAATGGTCTTTGTAACGATGTATTGGCCCAATACCATGTGCACCTGCATAGACACTCTCTTCCTAAATTTTCGCTTTTCGACATGAATTGGGCGATTCCAGAACCATATGAGTAGGTGGCAAAGAGCTTCTTCTGCCAGTTCCCTGGCTACAATGCCTTTAAGCCCCCAGCCCCACTTTGATTACTGCTCGCTGCTGTGAGCAATATCCCATATTCTACTGCATTTAATAAAGACTAGTTTTACTTTATTTATTTTGTCGTTAACAATAACCCCTCCCAATAAAGACGTATATGGGACCAAGATTTACATCCTTATAGAGAAGTTTTTGTTCTAAAGAGGAAATACATGTAAGGAAATCCAAGGACATTCTTAATTGCAAGATTATCATCATATTTTATACTAAAACTTTGTCGGAGCCAGGAAAAGCATACCTAGAACTAAGGTACTCGTATATAGCAGATCATTATCGATAAACTTGGAAGCGTTATTGTATTACGCCTCCAAAACATGCCCCACCAGCACCGTCTTAACTACACTAGCAATTAACCTCACGTGATTAATTATAACCTAAGCCATAAAAATAGCAGTATCCTAGCCACATTTGATATAGAGCTATACTATGTATGTAGTTACTTATTGCAAGGTTTTTTCGACATGTGTTTTCGGCAGGTTCCTTTAGCTGGCATCTTGTGGGCTATGTCCGTGAGCACGACTTTATTAGCTCTACCTACCTCGAGGTATACATAAAGTTTGGAGCCAAGGGAAAACGGACCAATGCAGGGTATTGATCCCTTCCTCATTCAATGACATTGAGTGAAATTAGCTCTATGGGACTTTGCTAAAAAAAGCATGGCCCATTTCATGATTTGCGGTTCCACGTGACTTCACCGTCACACATGGTCATCTTTTAACTCGCTTTTTGAAAGAAGGCGAAGAATTTGTCTTATGAAGTTGTTACGTAGATGGTAGCTCAGAAAGTTCTTTTTGGATACTAGAACAAACATCATATAAGAACTTCGTAGACAATTTCTGGCAGACTAAAATTAAGTTATCTAAATATCTTAAGAAATTTTGCCTTTGCTCATCGTGATCCGGGCATTGCTTAAAGCGCATTCTTGGGCGACTTTGGTGCAAAACTCTTTTCCCTAGAATTGTAAGGCCCGACGACTCGCACCTAGATATAAATCCGATATCGCGTAAATATCTCACTATTGAGATACTCAAGTTGTACGAATATCTCACTAGAACTGTGGTATTAGTTACGCGAATATCTCCGGTACCTTAGGTAATAGCTGTAGGCGCCTGATATTTCTAGCGAACAAAATCTTGCACCAAATTCGCCCAAGAATGCGCTATAATTGCTAACCATGGCCCTGTTAGGTTGTTTCTCAAGCTGGTGCTGCATCAAGAAATCCATGTCATTACAGCACATGTAACATGTAGATGGGACGAAGCAAAAGCTTACGTGCTTTGTACGAGGTATGATGGCCGAGAAGGAGGGATTCCAAGGCTCAACAGGCCCAGCCGAATCTTTTTCATCCACGCCAGAAATGGTATGGACTGCAATGATAACGCGGAGTCACCGGTACGAGGGCCTTGTGCCTGCGAGCTGTCGTCATAAACTCCAAAATGGCTCACTGATCATACAACATGGTAGGAAAGTGGGATTTGTGACGTGGCGGTGCAGTTCAGTTCTCTACTTCTCCATGTCTCTATGCTGGTCCTGCCTGCAAATTGCAAGCCAGCCTTATGCCTTATGCCTTATGAGCACGCTTATGTGCACAGCCACACCCGCAATTCACCGCTTTGCTCCGTACTTCGAACCGAGTGCACAAATCATCGCCCTACGTCCGTGAACTGCATTGCATGTCCATGTGCAAAGTGCCTATGATGTGCGGTGATTCTTACAACCTAATACTCAATCCCATACCCGCTCTCGCTCTCGCTCCTGCATTTGCCACAGAACACTGCCCTTTCGGTGAGACCATACAGTATAGTGCTAGTGTCGCAGCATTACTCGTACTAATCAATTATCTGCCCACTCACGGGCTCCCTCCTCCGCCGTGAAGTGTCATCGGTCAACGCGATTATTGGCCGTGGAACGACACCAACCAGTCCTCACCGGAACTCCAGAGGCTGCTGCAGATGACTGCATCCACCCCAAGGGTAAGCTTCAACTGCTAGCAGCCCTATCAGAGTTGTTTGTGGACCTGTTCCAGCCTTTGCATGCCAAGCTGATGGCTGAAAGCAAGTGCTAAGTCGAGGTTATTTTGCCTTATGAGTAACAGCTTCCAGGCCTAGCAACCCCAGGTTTAGTAAACTGCGCATATTTGCCTACAAGGGCAACGTCAGATATAAATCCTCAACTTCCCCATCTCTTTTGGCAGGTCCATTCTCAAGCTCAGCCCAACTCATCTCTCCACTACCCAGGAGTTGTTTGTGTTGAGGCGTCTCTTAAATCTTTCGTTCTCCTATTGCTCTCTTCTCCCCCTTCTTATTCTCCCTATATCACAATCACCGCGGCGAATATATTACATACGATAGGTTTGGAGCAGTCGTGGTTCGCCATGAATTCCTCTAACCCACAGTATGGCGCGGCGTCGAGTACAGCCTGGCCTGGCGGCCACAACCCCGACCTAAGCTCGCCAAATCCCCAAACTGCTCTTCTGGAACTCCTCTTTCCGGGCTTCTCTCTACTCTCTTCTGGAATATACAAATATACTAAAGTCGACCTCACGGTTTATTTTCCCCTGCTCATGGCTTTGGGCCTTGTTACATTCGCATCACGGTACATTTCCGATTGGGTATGGGGCTTCATGGATTCGTACATCATGTCCACCGCCGATATCAGAATTGACGATGAAATGTACAATATGTGCATTTCTTGGGTAGCTAACCAGCAATTTGCCAAGCGCTCTCGCCGTTTTGTTGCCAACACAAATCTCAACAGCCGAACGTGGTTTCTTTGGCGGGAGTACGATAATGAAGATGATGAGGAAGAGGAGCAAGTCACGGTGGATTTTGACGAAGATGGCAACCCCGTCTCCAAGGTCAGCGGCAAAGAGGAGAAGAAGGTCCGGTTTACACCATCCTTTGGCACCCATTATTTCTGGTATCGAGGTCGCCTCCTCCTCTTCTCGAGGACCAAAGATGTGCGACAGGGTAGCTACGGACCCGTCAGTGAGCGAGAGGAGATATCCCTGTCTAGCTTTGGCAGAAACCCATCGATTCTGAAGCAGCTCCTGGATGAATGTCGCTCTGATTTTATGAAACAAGATGAGAGTCGCACGGTTATCTACCGTGGGGGGCTGAAATCTGGAACCTCGGAGCCACAATGGACCAGATGTGTGTCCCGTGTATCTCGCCCCTTCTCAACGGTTGTGCTCGACGAGAAGCTAAAGCAAGGCCTCTTGGATGATATGAGAGACTATCTTCATCCCAACACTCGCCGCTGGTACTCTAACAGAGGTATCCCATACCGACGAGGCTACCTCCTCCACGGGTTGCCCGGAACAGGCAAAACTTCTCTTAGCTTCGCCATTGCAGGCTACTTCAAACTAAAGATTTACATCGTCAGCCTCAACTCCCCATCCATGGACGAAAATAACCTCGGTACCCTCTTTTCCGAGCTCCCAAAACAATGTGTCGTCCTCCTCGAAGACATCGACACAGCCGGTCTAACACACACCCGTGACGACAAAGAAGAAACCGATCTCACAAAAGTTCCCGGGAACAGCACCGCCGCCAAACCCTCCGAGCAGGAAAAGAAACCGCAGGGTCGTATCTCCCTGTCTGCCCTACTCAACATCCTTGATGGTGTGGCTAGTCAAGAGGGTAGAGTTTTGATCATGACAACGAACCATATTGAGAAGCTCGACGAGGCGTTGATCCGCCCGGGCCGTGTTGATATGATGATTAAATTTGATCTTGCCACTCAATCGATGCTCTCAACCATTTTCTGCGCTATCTTTGCCACTCTTGAGGGCGATATACCTGTAAAATCCTCTCAAGCCGTCATCCGGGGCCCGAAATCCACTTCCCGTCGCTCGGAGAATCAGATATTGGACGAGCGGCAACAAGAAAAGGAAGCGATAAAGGCCGAGATGGAATTCCTAGACCGGAAGAAGAAAGAGGATGAGAAAGTAGCGGTGCTAGGCGAGGAGTTTGCAAATATTGTTCCAAACATGACGTTTTCTCCTGCGGAGGTTCAAGGATATCTTCTGAAGCATAAGAGGGAACCTGAGAGGGCTGTTCAGGAAGCTGCCGAGTGGGTGAAGACTATGATGACAGAGAAGAAGAAAGAAATCGAGAGAAAGGCAAAGGAGGAGGAGGAGAGGCTTAGGAAGGAGAAAGAAAAGAAAGCAAAAGAGGAAGAAGAGAAGAATGCCGAAAACAAGGAAGATGAAGGAAATGACAGTTCCGAGGTTAATGGAGTCAAGGATGACTAAGAGCGAGGTCGATCCACTGTATAGATTTCTCATGATACCCAGCATTACTTGTAAAACTAATAACACGATGTTTATGATATTACCCTTCTTCTCTTAGTTTCCTACATTAGTAGCATTTCAAGTAAGTGAGCACACATGTAAATGCCTCTAGGGAAATAGGACTCCTGCCACAGGGTCCCTCACTTAAACATTAAGCAATTTTCAAAATTTGAGCACTTGAACAATAAATATGCCCAGGGAACCCATTTTCTACGACTCTACTAACTAGAGTCACTGGAATTGGCATTATTTTAAATAGCTAGAATCGGGCGACGTTTTCCAAGATCCAGCGGAGCTGGAAACAGATAGGCTAAATCTTTTCGGACACATCATTCTCAAGATTAAGCGCCACACTTGCCGTCACATTTCAAAGAGTCTAACCTATCTTCATTATAAATGGATAAATGTTATAAATTCCTTTTGATATTACATTTTGAATAGACCGTTTGCGAGTTGCTGTACATCTCTGCAATACTTATATAACAGAGACTAGAATACCTTGTTACACTTAATACATTTAGAATAGTAATAAAAGTCTCAATACTCCACCAAGCTTCAGAGGTTTAGAATGATGTTAATTTTTTATAATTATCTCTTCGAGCTCCTTCTCCTTCTCCTCGTCGTCGATGTCCACGAAATTCCCATCCCACTCCGCCTTCTCGTGTACTATATGTAAACTTTCATAACTGTTAGAATTCCTACTTAAGACGTATAGGCGCATAACAATGTCTGTTAATACTTCACTTTATTTGAGGCGGTTAATATTAGGTAATACCCCACTGTACTTGAATCATTCAGACATATATCAAGCTTGAATATCTGTTAATACTTCACTGTATTTGAGATGTTTACAATCAGTGAATACTCCACCGTACTTGAGACATTTACAACTTGAACTGGCCTTACCGCTCAATAAGGAAATGTCATAAAACGTCTCACATTCGCTGAGGCATTTAAGGGCCATATTGTTAAAGTATTCCTTCCATTTATGTTGCGTAGGCGCCTGTCGACCTACGACTATAACTCCATGCTAACTCAAACTTAAACCCTTTTTTCCTTCAATTCCGGGTGCAAAACAAGCAGGTGTATAGCAAAGCAAGTGCAATGCAATGTATAGCAAAGCAGCAATGATAGCAAAGCAGCAATGATAGCAAAGCAGCAATGATAGCAAAGCAGCAATGATAGCAAAGCAGCAATGATAGCAAAGCNAAAGCAGCAATGATAGCAAAGCAGCAATGATAGCAAAGCAGCAATGATAGCAAAGCAGCAATGATAGCAAAGCAGCAATGATAGCAAAGCAGCAAAGCGGGCAAGAACAAACAGCCAACTAGTGCCAGCCATATTCACCACCCAGAGCAGTTGGTCTGCCTGCCCAGTTAACCAGGCTACCACCTTGGAAAAGTGGATCCGTCCAGAACCAGGCGTAAGATTGGATCCAAATAGTGGAATCCAACCAAGGGAGGGCTTGGTTAAGGAAGTTGATCTGCTCGTCGGTGGTGCCTGCCGCGTTAAACTAGTATAGGGAAAGAGCAGTTAGCACAAGTTCAAATTTCTGCCGGGGCAACGGAGCGGCAGCACGGCGGTATAAATTCAAAATAGCAGGTGCAACCGTATAAAGAAAAGTTGTAAACTTACCTCTGTAATCCAGATATATCTGCCGCCAGAGATGCTATGTACTTGATTCATATACCAGGTAAAGTAGGCAAAGTTATTGGCGTGGTCGTACCAATGAACAGTAATGAAGTCAATAGGGCAATCGGAGCACAAACGCATGAAGTCCTTAAGCCAGGTCAAGTTCTGGTCACGGTTGGTGATAGCAGGGGAACCCAGAGATGCGCGGCCACGGAACGGAGCCATGTGCTGGCGATAGCCGTCTGCAGCATCCTTTGGAGAAATGCAAGACTGGCCCCAGTCGCATGCATCGGGCTCGTTGAAGGCTATAAGGTGACCGGAACCACGGGAGAGGGCATTGTTCGCATTGTTCACCCACTGGAATTTCAGACATGTTAGTGAATAGGGGCGCTGGTAGTAGCGAGTATGGGGAGTCTTACACCGTCAACGTGCGCACCATCCAAACCCCATAGCATAGGGATAAATTCGAGGTTACCAGGGAACCCATCAGGCATTCGCGATCCCCAATTGTGAGCCCAGCTGACCTTGCTTCCTCCCCAGCATTGGATCCAGGTAGGAGGGTCGTTGAAAGGAACACCACGCTTGCCAACGGCAGCTTCGGCTTGAACGGTGAGGAGACCCAAAAGAAGGCCAGCCAGCTTCAAGACAACAGGGATTAAAGAAAGCATCTTGGGAGAGTGCTAATGATTTGAGGATTCTGTACACTGATAAGAGCCCGAAAGCGATCTTTGAAAAGTTGCAACTTACATTTAACGACGTTATTTGAAAGCTTTAGCTCGCCGACTCGCCGAAAGTAATAGATCGCGACAATAGGATGTCGACGACGCGTTGGCGAAACTCACAAGAAGAGATGCAAGTGAAACCTTTAAAGATCGTTTAAAGAATTTGCAAAGGGGTAGAACGGTTGTGAGATTGTTTAACGTTGGATGTGGGTCAAGAAGAGTTGAAGTTGGATGTAGAGGTAAAAGAATTGTTGAGTAAAGACAAAGATCTCTGGAATTTATAGACCGCTCGACGCGGAGGGGAATAACCTCATCCTCGGGTTTGTATATCTGTCAAACTGCTCAGCCTTGTTGTGAATACCGGCAGAACTAGGCGGCCAATGTTCGTCGGTAGAGAGACAACATAGAGTCATAGACGCGAATCACAAAATGTCATCACTTAGACAACTGCAATATTACTAGGGGGATCAACATCAACAAGCCCAAGTCTCTTGTAGGTGTGAATCCGTTCTGGATTGGAGCAGATTATTTAAGCACCAAGAAAGAATCAATATAAATTGCTAAAGAACAGCTGTTCTTAGATATGCATTTCAGTAGGTACATGATACATGTTGTTTACTTTATGGAATACCTAGGTTTTCTTTTAAGCACGAAGACAAAAGTTATAAATAACTTAAACATAGACACAAGATACAAAATATTACAAAGCAGGCTTTGACTTAAACACCTCTTACGCTGTATTATTTGTAGAAGCTAGGCGAGTTGAAATAAGCTGCCCCTATAGATAGCGTTATGATTGCGTAGATGTACTGTACTTACATTGCAGGGAATTGAATGCAGGCAGAGGAAATTATAAGGCAAAAACATTAGTTATGATGAGTTAAAGGAAACTCCTTCGCCATTCTTTGTTAATAATGCAAATGTAAACGCATCTGAGAATATATGTGCTACAGCCCCTGAATCCTCGACTCGTAGTAAACGGCGGAGCTCGGAAAGCAGAGAGCTCGCATTTCTTCGGCACGTTAGAATAAAAGCAAGGCAGATTTTACAATTTCATTGTTTTGGTTGATAGTATATGTATTAAATAACAGACTAGCCATATATGATAATAAGGTTCAAGACACAACGAGTATGCAAAAGTTGGAGCTAGATATAGCTCCTCTTGTTTCGAATCATCCCATAAACGAACGTCTAACTAAGCAATACGTCCGATAACTAAGGACAAAATGGAGAGTTTAGGAACATAGTAAACATTATAAGAAACAATAACAAGGACTTCTATTTCCAAAGCAACTACTACAGGGAAACTCCACACATTACGCATTTTGAAACTATATCCAACGCTGAGTCTATCCTCGGCTTTGAGGGGAAAGCACACGAGAATTATTAAACTTAGTAACTTTTTCAACTAATCAAGCATCAATGCACCGTTTATTCTGAATGCCACTTGGCATTACCAGTCCGACTTTGTCATCGTCTTCAAATTCAAACATAATATGTAGTCTCTCTCGTAAGCGACAAATTACTCTATGCTATCCACATAGTGCAAGCCCAAACGAAACCATCGAAACCCCTTTCCCCTCCCCGGTTGATTAAGCCGATATAATCGGCACCCAACCCATCCCACTCTTCACCTTCAACGCTGGGAAGAGTCTCGACCTCGTCCCCCATCCTTAGCATCCCGGCCCATAAAAAGAGATCTCGGGTATGTCCCCCGGCGCGGCAACAGCAGCGGCTCGGAGGTACCCATCACGCTAAGTATATTGCAACGACAGAAGCAGCAAAGAGCCACTGAACGTTGAGGCACTAGCCCCAGGGTGGACTCCGGCCATGTTTATGTGTAAAGATATTGTAGCAAGTAGATCTAGCCTCGCCACTACCAGGTTTAATCACTCTTGGAGCTTTTTCTGATCGGCGTTTTTACGCGCTCTAGCGGGGCCATATGCGGAGAATTATATACATGGAGTAGCTGTTTAGAGCTTCATTGGGCGCGAAGTGGTGCGAGCTTGAAGCGAGTTGCAAGACTATGCATTATCTTCCTCCAGACTCTGGATGCGGAGTGGGGGAGGGGAGTTCAGTCGAGACCCATAAATTTGCACTAGCTGCCTGTAAGGAGACCATTGCATATGCTTCAACTTCAAAGAACGGAAAGATAGTCTCTTCGAAGTAATGTTGGGAAGGGATATCTAATTCCGAAAGGGCCTTCGGCACTTGCTTGGGATTGGCTTGATGAAGCAGTGCAATGTGTCACAAAGCAATGTGTCACCAAAACGTCTTTGACATATCTCAGGGTCTGTCATGAACCCCTTTCACCCTCGGCAGCGCCGTACGTAGCACAATGAGAGAATCACATCCAAGAATGAGGCCGTATGATATTACTTATCATATTGGCACTGCCAGGGCATAGTAACCTTTCATGTAAGCCAAAATCAGGGACTCATCTAGTGTACAACTTCACCTTGTTGGCGTAGCAAAGGAGGAGTTTCAACATCGTGGTCCTACTTGGAGTTGGCCGCGGCACTTGCCACCGTGAGAATATAGCTAGGTAGGTTGCCCCTCAGCACCAATTTTTAGTTTATCTTTGAGGGTTTCATGATTTCCGCGATCTCCGTCGATCTTGCCACTCCATCACACCTTGCAACGCACCTAGTATACTGTGAGTTAGCCTGTTGTCTATACTTAAGATAACGACACCCTGAGCCATTAGAATCCATCCGTCTTCTATCTACGACTAGCGCAAACTTAGTTCACCGCCTCTCCTTTCCCCGTGTATAATGAGTGGTCGTTGATTGGTATGATAGGAAAATCTTCGTCGCCCCGCCACAGCGCCAGACTGAGACGCCACATTTTTCGGGCAGTCATTTCCCCTCACGCCAGTTCATGTTAGGAGCTAGAGTTGTATTGTACCCCTCTAACAACTTCATCGACTACACCACATCCCTTTGACTTTGCGTCTGCAAAAGTCGACTGGGCTGGAGGATTGGAGAGGAGGACCTTTACTTCTCCGCAAAACTCAATGCCAACAGCTGCAGCCATAAGATTCCTTCCCATAACATTGCGCCACGATATTACAGCCTATCCTTCTCAAATTATCAGTTGGTCATCTAGACACTTAATCAGCATCGAATTCTCCGCCGGACTAAAATGGCAGCAGCTACACCGATATGATTCCCCGCAATGCCACGACCGCCCGATGTCGTGCATCCACACATCTAGCTCGAAGCATCATACTTCGTACATGAGTAACGGGAAAGTTCACCCAGAACACTTGAACAGCATCGAGTTGTCCACCACACTCAAACGCCAACAGCTACACCGATATTTTCCCCGCAATGCGGCCATCGTCTGATCTAATGCATCCACGCGTCCATCTCGAAAACATCCAGCATGAGGTACCAGAAACCAAACTCTGCCCGAACACTTGAACTGCACCAACTCACCCCAGAATGATCAACCCTAGCAGGATGCACGTATCTCGGTCTATCCGATTTCCGTACAATATCATCACCGAGCGATGTTGCACTACCTTCTTAAACCAGAAGAGGAAAGCCATGGACCTGTATCAGAACACTTGAACTGTATTCAATTCTTCGCAAAACACCCATTAACCAAACTTTCCACATTCATTTGCATATATTTGCCTACTCTACCGTTTTCCGCATGAATACGATATTCGGCATATCTTATTTAGGCGTGTCCTCAAACCGTTCATTTCACATGTCAACTGATCAGCTCAAGTAAGCAGGCAGGCAAGCACTTGCTCGCTCGCTTCTGCGCCAGACATATATCGAAACTGTACGATACGTTGATGCCCCGCAATCGAGCAGCAGCAGCAGTAGACAATCTGCAAGCTGCTACAGTAGTTCCACTGCAGGAGGTCAGGCAGGCTCCCTCCCACTGATCCACCTCCACGCATCCACGCATCCATCCATGCCTCCCACAACAAAACTGGTAATAGGGAAAAAGTCCAGCCTTAATCTATCGATGATTACGCTGCAGATCCCACAACTCGCGGCTGACAAATATTTCTAAATTTCACTCATTGGAAATAGGAAGCCCAGCCGGCCAGTCAAGTTCAGCCGCCTACCTATGCCCCAATTCCTGGCCAAACGCACTACGTAACGCCCAGTTGAAAGCCCCCTCCTTCCACACCGAGGCAGCCGTTTTGTGCAACCCTCCTTCTTCTACTACACTGCATGTAAACAATTCGATAGCCGAGATAAGACACGCAGCGTAGAGCACCCTGCATGAAACGAAGGACTTGGAAGGAGCGCAATCTAGAGGTACATTTTAATAAGAGCAGTATGCGTCTATCCCCAAAGAAAAAGGGGCTTGCATCTACCCAGATTTGTACGAGCGGCGTAGGTGAGCGAACGAGCCACAGCGTAAATACAAAACGATACGGGAGAGCGACCGCCCAGGAGATCTAGACGCTGCGAACTACTGAGCTAAGGCCCAACTGCGGGTACAGGGCGGGCGGCGGCCTCAGATTTTCGATGGATGCGGGCGGGCGAGGTCGATGGATTGCGCCTTTTCGTGATGGTGTTGTACAAATTAAGTTTGGAGGTGGATCTGCTCCATCTGCATGGTCCATTTTCCAGGGGGCGGCGCGGCGGCGATGGACGGATGCGGTTGTAGTGTTAATAAGGGATATACCAATTCCATTTCCTTGACCAACAGTTTGAGCTTGGAGAATGTCTTCTTCTGTGTTCATTATGCTCCGCGGAACGTTAGTAGATATTGGCGTCTGCGAACCAACATCCGTGCGTGGCCGCTTAAGTCCGATAGATAGATAAGGGATGTTATTCGATAGATAGACACACGCCCACCCCCGCCGCCCCCCACCAGGTCCGCCATGGAGTCTAGAACTACGAACTACGACACCCAAGAAAGCGTCAAAGCTCCTTCGTCCGGAGTACGTACTGCGTACTGGTATGCTGCAATCCAGCACCTCGAAGACACCATTGATAACATCATCACAATATGGATAAACTCAGGACGACGACGCGAAAGCAATTGCGCAACGAGCAACAAACGATAACAAGAAAAAAAATATTAAATTTCAGACGTTCGCACGAGATATACCGAGTACTACGTACGTACAAAGTCGTATCAGGGAAAAATCCTCTCGTATCGGAGCTACCCGAGACATCGAGACATCAGGGTGCCGCAGGTGCAACACGAAAAGAATTTTCGAAAGCGGCGTACAGAAAAACTCTACTCGCAGCTGTTTAAGCTTTTTTTTCCTGCTAATATCATTTATCCTGATATAAAGCGGAAATTTTTAATACCTCATCGCGGATCTTTTCCAAAATTATTCCAAGTTTCGATAGGTAGCAGCCTGCTACAAAGAAACATTTTTTTCATCCAACTTGCGCTGAAAATAGAAAATAATCACCGGTTTGGCTAGGATTGGGACATTTGGCTTGGCGTGGCGCTAAATGGTGATGCGGTTTGTTGTGGTACCCCTGTCGTGCAGAAGAATCCGCGCCAAAAGATATGAGATGCTTAAATCTTGATGTCAAGCGTATAGGTAAGAGTGATGGAGAGCCAAGGTGAAAAGGAGCTTGGAGGAAATATAGAAAGGCGTATGTATGTTGTGCAGGTTTTTAGGATCGCAATTATGGATTATTTTTGTATACTATGTTGTGTTGTATTATGAGTAACAGAATCTCGGTGTCCAATAATTGAAGATATACTAAATCAATAGCAGAGCCCTCCTGGTGCGAAGTAAGGTTCAGCGCTACTCTTAGCTACCGCAATGTAGCTACTTCCTCCGTAGGGAATTTAACGCAAGGAGAAGGAATACATCGTGGAGAACGGGGGTCAGTGGCAAGAGATGAGAAGGCTGATGTACCTGTACTTACGTACTTTACCCATACATAAAGTTGCGAGAGGCGGCTACCATGATACGAGGTAGGGGTCTAGAGCGATGGTGTTGCTGTAGCCATTCGATAGAAGCTTCGTACACTCGTACCAAAGCCCAAACAGCTCTCTCTTCGCACGGAGTATCAGTGACAAAAATTATTCAACAGAAATCGAAATTTTCATTGTGGTGGCGAAGAAGGCGGGAGGTAAGTACTACGTAGTACTCCGTACCCAAGGGCCAAAACTGTGGCTTGCACACCATCTCTCCTGCCGCTCGCATGGGCCCGTGGTGGCATATGGCCTGATGGGCCGGGCTGATTGGCGTAGCCGGGAAACTACCAGGCCTGGGGCTCGCCTAGATGTGGCTGGGATTTCCCTGTTTTTCTTGCATTCCGGGTTTGCTTGCACGTTTTGTGTACCGAGGGGCAGGGGATCAGGTACAAGGAACAAGGAACAGGGGGTAGGGAACATGGGAGATCCAACGTCGGACATGGGCTGATTTGATGGGGGGAGTCGAACCGCCACCACCACCGACTGATTATTACTGTCTTCAGTTTACTACTGCTGCACTTCGTACAGAGTCGACGACTGTACAGACACCAAGGCCGGAACCGAACCGGACCCAGGGGAATACTATAGGTACATACCAATTGTGCACGGCTGCAGCCTGTAGATTGGTTCAGGACGCTATCAGGGTCTAAGACCGTAGGGACGCGGGTGATTAGGCAGTGCCGCTTACTACAGTGCACTACTCCTGCGGTCGGGTCCAGAGCAGACTAGAGTCTGGAGTCTCGAGAAGCCGCGAGCGAGCGACGCGGCATGCACTGACCGTGAACACAGCCTGGCTGGCTGGATGGTGTTTCTCACCGCTATCTCCAGAATCATTACGGAGTATTCTTATTTGTGATGCAGGATGCGTGAAACTTGAATGATGCCCTGCAGCTGGAGTTTTGCCTTTCCTCTCGCTCCAGCCATCGATCACCCGTGAACCGCTTTCCACTGGTTCCCCGTCAATTGGAGCTGCTGATAGGCCGACAGCGTCGTGCTGATTACTGCTGTAGCTACTCAAGGCTGATGAATGAAACGCCAGCCAATGTTACTATTGTTTCGATTGGCGAAACACCTTCGCATAGCAGGGGACGTAATCACGGACAACGGCATATGTGAGGAGGAGATGAATGGTTCTGAAGTACGATGAAGTCATCGTTGGGATGCATTGCATGGACTGTGGACAGCCCCAAACGGCAAAAAGCAACGGTGTGTACTGTAGCATCGGCACGTCTTTAAATTTCATCAATCGTCGGCTCGGGAAACTTCTGGATGATGGACAACGGACGATGGGCGGGGTCTGATATATCAGGAGATACCAAGCGGATACCAAGAGGGTGGAGCAGCAACCGCGTAGTAGGTAAGTAGATCAGGTACGTGCAGTACATACATCGCCGATCATCTTCTTGAGCCGCAGAGCAAATATAGTCGGAGGTCGGCCGTCGTTCATAAATAGAGCGTGATCGTGGCCTGATTATTTGCCCAAGCCCACGATCCAGTGCTTTGCACATATAGTACATAGAGTAGTACAGCACTTGGCAGGCAAGCCAGTGTCAATGCGCACAAGGCGCTTGGTGGTGACGACCACGCTCCCTAGACCTTGTCCGCATGCTATCGTTCCCTGTCATGATTTCCAACTTCCAACTTCCAACATCTAATCCCATGCGGACATCAGAGGCTCATGGGGGAATGAGACGGCATTTCAAAACCCAATCCTTCGGGGTATTCCCGGATTGCACACCGCAACGGGGCCCGCTGGTGACAGCTTCATGAGAGCATCGAGCAGAGAGCCCATCAGCTGTGCCGTTATCGTGGGGGAAATTGGTGCGACGGGACTGGCGGGAATGACCTTGGGGGATTCCACAATCAACGAGCAAGTGTTGATTTGTGTACCAATTACACCCGTATCAGCGCGAATGGCAGCACAGCAATTTTGCCTGCCATGACAGCCGCTTGGCCGATAAGACATCATCTCCTGGACCCCTTCTCCATACTATCCTCCTAATACTTCGTACTGATAGCCGTTTCCGGCGCCGAAGTGTTACGGCATCGTCTCAACGAGTCGATCTGACTGGACGGAGATTTGCCATTAATATCAAACCCTGTGGTAGTCATCCATCATCCCTCGCCGCTTTGCTGCAGCGTGCAGACGACGGCATCGACCGACATTCTGGTTCTTGTGGCCCGCCGGTCTATGGTGATGGCCAGCCATGAGCCCGGTAGAGGGCTGGTAGCTTACGCAATTCTTTGCCCGTAGTAGCTTCCATCAGACCTGGTACACGGGCTGACAACGGCATGTGTACTCGAAAATCCGCGTGGACTTGAAGTTGAACCGGATGGCATTAGTCTTCCAGAAGAATGGATATTATCAGTCAGTCAGTTCCGCTGTCCACGAACCATTATTCATTCGGTTACACCGGCAGGCCACCTGCGACCACAGCAGTTGGTATCAACTATCAACGGTGGAGATGCAAGACTCAAACAGCGGCCATGCCCCCAGCTATCGTCCTCGCTGACGCCAAGCCAATCGAATCTGAGCAGGTCGTCTGGGGTTTATATTTGACTTTTGCAAGGGAGGTCCCGAGTGAACCGATGGCGCGAGATACCTTACCTACCTACCTACCTTATGGTGTACTGTACTGTACCTAGCGATCCGCTCGTTCCAGCTGCCGCCCGGGGATGTCGTGGGATGAGGGGCCGCCGATATCAAAGGCATCAAAGTAGATTGTCCCTTCTGTATAATGAGCATATCACGCAGGACTCGCTACCAGAAAGAGGCATGATTGCCACCACCGTCATATCAAGCGTGGCCGGCACCGGCGGGGTGAGAGGCGGTTGGTGATGGGATTTGCCGATGGTGCGATATTCTTATCAATTCTTGAGATTGATAATGTGCCGACGGGCTCTTGGGTCGCAACTGAGATTATTAATACTTACCTCTCGGTTGCCGCTTCACATACGATTATCTCGGCGTGCTCGTCTTACCGAAGTAAAGATTCGCAGTGGCCACCGCGGATCGTTCCCCAAAGACGCTCAACATGAGGTCTGTTTCGTTTCAAACGGAGGGACTACTGGTAACTGTGCCATATGGCGCGCTGGGCTATCCATGTGCTGACTACGGAGGTAGAGTTGGGGCAATGGAGTACTCCGTGTGATAAGGAGAATATCCTCCGTAGTAAAATAATATCCCGGTCTGAAGGCGTTTTTACGACGGCAGAGAGCGGAGTTCTCGGATTCCCATACCCCATTCCCATTCATGACATGAAGCGGTACGGGTACAGTGATCATGCACACGGGAAAGTGGTTACGAAGGACGACGTGCTTTGTACGAAGGGTACGAAGCACGTACGTATTCCAAAGCAGCTCTCGAGTCCCCTCGCCGGCGAACTCCTAAAATCCTCTCGGATCCGTCGAGAATCGAGATCGCGCGAGGCCGGACCCCTGCATGGCCCAGGCTGCATGCGGGTTGGCGGTGGCTTTTGGTGGCGCGCTTGGCATTCCGGGGCGGGGCGGTCGCTTCCACGTCTCCCACCATTTCCACCCCTCCACCCCTCCACCCCGCCGCCCTTGGCTGCCCACCCCTTCCGCCACTCTCAAGCCTGTCTCTTATACACATCTAGATGTGTATAAGAGACAGGAATGTAACAGAGGATTTCTCGTTCGATCCTCGATTTTTCACCCGTTGAGAATCCCATGGTGAGTTCGGAGGTAGACGACTGTTCACAAAACATCTAGCACTATGACTAGAGCGGCCCAAAACGCAGACCCTAACACAACACATCCGTATAGCTAGTTCGCTGGCCGCTCTTGGTGGCTCAGATGCTCAGATGCTCCTTGTGCGCGTACCACCTGCTGTATACTTCCGTCCCCCGGATCTTCTTGTACCGGATGGGGGTTGATAACGTTTGCGTACCAAGTGCTTCGTGGTCGAATAGCGGTGCTACTGCTAGTGCGCACCAGCCGTGGGAGATCTGGGCTTTTGGTAGATAAGGTAATGACTGTGTACAATAACCGCGTACAGTAACTGAACTTAATACAATAATACAATACAATCCATGATACAATCAATACCAGACTGCCAGCCGCCACTCGACCTCCTCCTCACTTACTACCTTGCTACATTGCTACACTATTACTACACTACTGCTTGCACCGTACCACCCACTGCTCCACCAGCGCACTCCACCGCTGCACCACCCAAGTCGCCGCAGTCGCCCATCTATCTGCCCATTGTCCAGTGGCCTCCACCACCCAGCGCCCAGTGCCCAGCGTGCCCCGACAGTGCCCAGCAGCCCACAGCAGCCCACAAGTCGCCTCCAGCTGCCCACTGGACCACTCACCCAGCTGCCCACCACCACACGCTCCTCCTGCTAGAGAGCTACAGGCATATAATATAAATAATATGCAAACTACGCTACCGCCTGCACTTGCGCCTTATTAGTATACATTGGCCGCCAGCTACAGCCACCCACCCCTCGCAACGCACCGCAACAGCACCTCAACGCAACGAGACCGGGTCTTTATTGCAGTGCATTGTCCCCCTTCCCAACTCCTCTATCTACTGCATGCCTGCTCCTCCTCCTCAACCTCTTCCTCCTCCTCATCCCCCTTCACCTCGACGTCTCTAGGCCATTGCCAGCCTTGGATACCGGATACTGGTTGCTGGATTCCTTCGTTTTGAAATATCCCCCCATTCCGCATCCTCCGCCCTTTATCGAACGGCCGCCGCGAATAATCATCCCCCATTCGCCGTCTCGCCTCTTTATCAAAGACGTCATTTGCACAAAACCTCGCAGGTTTTGCTGCTCCACAACCCACCCGCACGCAGAACGGCACAGTTGAGCTGAGCTCGGTTGCCGGTGTTGGTTCATATTGCGAGAATTAAAGTCACGGGCGTGCAGCGGTTCCGTGCCTATACAGGAAGAGAAAACAAAGAAGGGACAGGTAGAAAAGTCAGCATTGACTTTGACCTGGCACTTTCCGTCCTCTCAATCCGGGCCTTTTTGGGATCGTCATCGTCGAAATCGAACGATATCGACCGCCGGATCGTCGCTGCTGTTGAGGAATTGATTTGAGCACGATAGCTGGAATACGCCGTGCTTGGACTTTCTTCATTCGCATCCGTTTCCCTTCCTAAAAAAAAACCTCCGCCACCAACATTCTCTGCCCACTCTCGTAAGTCTTGAATAAACACAAAACAGCTTCTCAACCCAACATCCATCTCCATCCTACCTCATCTCATTCCTTGGATCGTAATGAATCTCGAACGCTTCCTCTCCCGCCTACCTCCGCTATATATCAGTGGGCTCCAAACTGACTCGCTCTGACGTATAGTGCATCCATAATTTCTGCTGGAGACGGGATCTTCACTGCGAAGCAACTCGACCTCTCCATAGCACCCCATCTCCCTAATTAGCATCACTTTCGCCCCATCCCCGGCACGTAGCGCATCCGTCGTGCCAATGCCTTACACTCCTCCCTCCCAGCGATCTCCAGCCGCATCTGCTCCTCACTCTCCAAACATCAGCCGTCGCTCGTCATACCAAAATAATACTCACCCCCACGTCGGCCACCGCGATCACCATCAAAGTCACTCGGTCTCGAGCAGACCTGAGCTCCCCCGATCGACCTCATACCTGACCCGGCATCGTCGGACCCCTTCTGTCAATACGACCACTACCTTCGAACCGGCTTCGGAACCATCACCACCGGGGACGGCAACCCAGCAGAATGATTCGAATGCCTTGAAAGCCCTAGGTAGCCTTAGACAGTCACCGCCGCCCTTAACAAATAATAGGCAAATGCCTGCGGGGGCCGTCATGTCACCGCCCGATTCACCACAGCAGAGTAGTGATGACGAGATGAAGAGTCACAGAGATCGAGAGTTAAAGAACTTGGCGGAGCTCCAGGCGGCGATCAGGATAATAGAGCAGACCAGGGAGACCTCACCCGACCAGACCGCAGAGCAAGCTGGAAAGGCCAATCAGTATCTGACTTCGATGCCACCGTCCCAAGCAGAGGCAAAATTGACGGCGACAAATGGGGATAGGGCAAAACCACCACATCATATCCGTGGTCACCAGAGATCGAAGACTGATACACCGGTCTTCGTCGGCTTGGGGAATGACGGCTCTACCGAATCCCCCTTGACGGGGTCAGACGAGGAATCCGTGAGCGATGGCGATGGCTCCGACTTATTAAAGCGAGGCCTGCCAATGCTGAGGAAGAAGTCTGGTGAGCTGGTCAGGCCAGCATTAAGACCCTCGTCAGCACGGCGGCGGCCGTCCAGCATGCCTGGCACGCCGACCTTCTCCAAGGCGGTTCACTTCGATGCAAACCTCGAGCATGTCCGACACTTTCTCCAACTTGAAAGACCAATGGCAGTCAGTGCAGGTTCGTCCCCAGTTGAGGCGTACGATAGTGACGCGGAATTCCCATTTGGAGAAGATGGGGCTGGTGGACGAAACCCACCATTCGATTGGGAAATCACCGTCGCCAACTTCCCCAACCAGACACCTGAGCGATTGGCACAACCTGTCAGAGTCGAGCGAGTCTTCCTGTCAGCCGATAATAAGACCTTGGTTGGTACGGTTGCTGTGGCCAATCTGGCATTCAACAAGTTAGTTGTGGCGCGGTTCACCCTTGATTACTGGAAGACCACGTCAGAGGTCGTTGCCGAGTATAGCCACGATGTGCGGCAGCCGAAGCACAGTGATGGATATGATCGATTCAATTTCTACATCAGGCTCGCAGACCAAGCTAACCTCGAGGCCAAGACTTTGTTCTTCTGTGTGAGATACAACGTCAACGGCCAGGAGTACTGGGACAATAACAACTCGATAAATTTCCAGGTTGACTTCCGGAAGAAGCATAAGCCACAGAATGGGAAGAAAGGCCCCCTAGGAGCCGCATCCCGACCTGTTGGCTCCCTTCCCAGAAGCGGGAAGAAGTCACCACAGGCCTCTGAAAAGCCAAAGTCGACGCCTCCTACTTTCGACGACTTCGCAGATGGCTTTGATTCTAAATACAAGTTTGATCTAAGGCAACCCGTTGGCGAGGTCCTGGGAGACCCAAGTTCATCATTGAGGTTGAAGGGCGTCAAATCCGCTGTCGATCTTAGTGATAATCTTACTCGACGAAATCCAAATGGCCAAGCATTCGGCAACCGCTATGACTTTGGTGCTTCGCTATCTGCAGCAATCCAGGCTGCTAATAGCGTCCTTGGTGACCGCAGTGGGCTCACGATGAAGCCTCCGGCTAAGAAGCGCGCTCCTAGGTTTGTCATGGATGCGGAACAGACTACCTCGCCCGTCGCAATGACAAGCTCCCAATCATTGAGCAAGCCATCCCCACAAGCCAGAACAGGAATCTCAGCTCATGTGCCTACCCCCGAATCCCCACGACCACATGGGACAGAGAAACCTATCATTGCTTCTCAATCCTATAACGAGCTTCTAGACAAATACTGCTTTGTACGTACCAAGGAGCACCACTGGGGCGCCGCCCCCGTTGACCAACCCCATAAGTACCGTCGAGCTAATTGATACTGTAGTTTGGGTCCGCGAAGAATTCCCCACAGCTCAAGGATGGTACTCTACGATCTGGCAAATACGAAGGTAGCAGTGATAGCTACGTCCTTAATTCCGCTGATTCTACGGCGACCAACTCTCCCTTGATGATGGAGAAGAAGCCATCGCCCCCGCGAACCCAGACACCAAGCAATCAGGGTTCTCGCTCTGCTTCGCCGGCCCCAATGACGGACCTCATTCCGGTTACGTCTCCGGGTTATCTTTATAACAATCACGCTACCTTTCCGTTCCACGACACTCATACTCCAACAGCGATTCTTGGTTGAATATGGGTATTGCGGGACTCTTCTCTCTCAGAATGATCCATCTTGCGGCTTATCAAATGAACGACTTGCTCCACGGAATGGCCTGATCTGCGTAGGCTGATATGATAACGGGAACGATGATATGTTCCGACTACCTCTTTGCTGAGCGTGGTCACGGGGATCCAATAATATGCCTGGAAAAAATAATGGCGGGGACTCGGCTGGGTGGATAATAGCAATCTTCCCGTCCTGTTTATACTGAACGACTCTTCGGATCCGACAATGGCTTGTGATCAGCATTTTTTGCGGGTGGGAGCAACCGGCAACAACTTAGTTTGCCTTGCTTCCGATTGTACATTTGAGCGGCTTTCTCGGTTTCTTGCATGTCCTATCTGCCGCGCTTTTGCGCTTTACACATTCTTCCACTCTTCCGGACATAGACTGGGTTTAATCTTCATTTTATTGTTTTTACAGAGAGCTCTCATTTTGAGGCTCAATAGGGGCATTAGGGAAGCGGAAGGGTTTTCTTCGGCGTTTGCGATTGCAATTGTGTTTTTTTTTTTGGACAAAAGCCGGTATTGCAACAACTAAGGGAACTCATTCGGGAAACTGCCCGCTGGGTTTACGTACATACGATGGGATGAGAAATGGGAATATTGCATTGCGTTTTGAAAAAGTGGTATTATGCCACTTAACACTGGTACTGGGCGGCTGGCAAACAATTTAGCGATGCTAGGAAGGAAGGCCGCTAGTTTAGACCTTTATGGTATGGCGTTTGTCATTAAGAATATAAGGCTTGATGATGAACCTCGAAATTGCTGGATTCTATAATTGCATTAAAATGTGACTGGGCTTTATCATCCCTCGCCCTCCCGCCTAATATAGTGGTTTGACGCTAATTTTCTGGGGAATCGCTAATAACTCTACAGTGTATATCATAAATTCCCCGTATTAATTGTGGTTTATCCAGAACAATCAGCTCGTTCCACGTGCTCGCCAAGCTATGGCACACGTGAACCCTCGCTGCTTTGCTCACCCTCCTCACCCTCCTCACCCTCACCTCACACACCCTTCATGTGTACGCCTACCTCCTAGGTAGCTTGCGGCAGCCAGAACTGGATCTCCACACCACTAAGCATTGGGGCCTGTCTTTTGGCTCCCCGGCTTTCGGTCTCCTGGGTGCCTATTTCGGCTGCTGTGATAGCAGAATCCACCCATCCCTGACGGGCCGGAGCCATTTTGAACTCAACTACTATTTATTAGGTATCCCCGGCCTGTGAGCCTAACGCCACGCTTCAGAATAAGTCCTATCAAACGGTTATAGCTAGCGACGTGCGTCGGTGGTCAAGCGGAGTCCAATCCTAGCCTAAAATTGTTATAAGAGACTTATACAACTTCATTAGGACATGTTAGAGAGATTCTGAATTGAAGCTCCCAAAACTTCATCATTTTGATCCAGCGGCATGATGTGGCGCACGGCAGAAGGCTTGACATTCAAGGCCGGTTATTAGTCACGTTGTTGGAATCTCCAGGTCATGAGGATGATGCTCTTTCTTGATTCTTTATGAGATGGTAGATCAGAAGGGCCGAGTTACAGAAGCAGAATCAATGTCTCTTATTCGCCTAGGGGTCCTCTCCTACTGATGATGCGGCGAAGCTGGGTATGCATCGCCTGCGGACAAGCAAATTGAGCAGAATCTACAGCTTCTTCTATGAATATTCGGTCATTGCTGCCTCCTTTATGTACCTATCTAGCTAGGAGCTGGAGGACAAGCGCAACTTCCTCCTCCTCCACCCCCGCCGCCAAGATTACCGCTTATGAAGACCACAAGCACAGCCGCGTACGCCGCCGTCGCCGCAAAGACTTGATCTCTCTTCGCATCTGTCAATAGTCCAACACAAGCAGCAAACAGTACAGTCCAGAAGCACAGCATTCCAAGTAAAACGGGTTTTGATCCGATGATTGATAGAGATATGATGGCGCCGAACAACAGGATTGAAGCGAGGATGAGGGAGAGGATGGTGGAGAACATTGAAAGCGTCGCGTGGGAAATCAATATCTGGGCTCCTCCTCCTGAACCGTGGGACGTCTTGAAGAATACGCCGAAGTTCTTTTGTATGAAATCTGAGAGACGATCTTGGTCTACAGGGACTCGCAGAGCGACGAGGTCGTGGGGATCGGAGTACGTGTGTTCGCTTGCGCCCCAAAGTTGTGGTATGCAATTATTCGGGTCCTTTTTCCCAGTTGGGTCTTTAAACCAGTTTTGCATAGCTTTTACAGTGGTTGTGGAGGGTGGTGGAGAGTTGAGTAGTCGTTGGTGGGCGGAGAGCGCTTCATCTGGTGTTCGATGTTAGTTCATTGCCTCGTTTGCAGCATTTAGATTTCAGACACTTACGATATTTCTCCAGAGTAGTTCTGATTTTCATAGCAAGCTCCATTTTACTTCTTTCTCTCCCGACTTCTTTCGCATAGTTTGCGAATGTCTCCCAGTCATGTTGACACTCTATGGATGCCTGGTTCAGCTGGTCTCTTGCTTTCCGATCCTCTTTATCGTACTGATTTTGCCGCTCTTCTAATTCTGCAAGCTCAGCTTGGTAGAAAAGGAGATTTCGTGCCGAAAGTGCGTCAAATCGTCGATAAATAGTCGTGCTTTTGTCAGGATCGGCTGCGATCTTTGCAGTGAGGCCTATAAAACCTTCACTAATGGGCGCTGCAGGCTGTTCAGACGCCGAGCACAGCGTTGGTGCCGGTTCTGATGAGGGCTCTGATACCTGACCAAGCTCTAGATCTTGCGATGGCATAGAGAAATACTACATTTCTTCACGTTGATGACTTCTGATGTTGTTTCGTGAAGATGCGATGTTCCATTGGGAGCGCGGGGTCGGAGATAAGAATGAGGCGGAGCAAATCTGCCTCACGAGACGCCTTGCCAGCATGCCAGGACGGAATGCAAATAAGGAAATTCACAAGAGTGCCCCTACTACACCTCCCGAACGATACTCATCATGAAGTTGGTTGATCGTTTTGCACTCTATCACTGATTGTTACGGCCCCCTACTCTTTACTATCCACCACCTTCATTTGTCAACTTCCAGGTTTACTTGCCCTCTTGTGTGGAGATCGCTGGCCTACTTGGGGAGCTGGAACACTTGTAAATCCAACCAAGACGGAAAGGAAAATTGCGATGCAGCAACAACACACAGACTTGAATGATCTTTGGGATCGGCATCTGCGACGAAATCACAAAAAAGCGCTGTCATGGGCGTGCGTGTACTGTGAGGGCAGGAAGAATTTCCTATCCGCTGATGAGCTTGTCGAACATACGAAGTCAGCACACTCTCGAGGGGCCTATGTAGAGGTGATGCGACGCCTTGGAGCAAAATTTGTTTCCGCGGAAAGGTTCGTCGGCTGGACATTTTCTTAAAGTCTATACTTCACTGCGACCCTGCTTTGAGTCCGTATCTCAGCAAGCTACATCTTATTTACACTTCAATTTAAATTGAGGCTGATTATTATATCACTACTCAGAACACCTCAAAGCGAATCGCCATCCGCAAAGGCCTTAGCTACCAAAATACCCCTCTCTCTTCCAGCCCCCGCTCAAAGTATTTCGGGTTTACGAGAGTTGAACATTGGAACACCTAGCGAGAGTGAGGACATTGCGATGAAGGATGTGTCTGATGGCAGCCTAGGGTTAGACCCACGGAGGACGAGAGCTACTCTAGGGAACGGGATCTCTGCGGGTTCTGCGAGTCCTTCTCGTGGCGGATCTGCTTCGCCGCCGCCTCGTCGTCCAAAGGCGAGACCGACATCCACACCAGGCTCATTCGGTCCAGAAACAGAATCTCGGCAACCTGGCATGTTTGACATACCTCGGCCTCCTGCTAAGAACAAACAGTTATGGTCACCGGATCAAGATCTCCCCCTAGCGAGGACATCGTTGGACCGGCCTAACATTGCTTCCGTCCAGGCACAAAGGTCAAGAGCGCAAGCGTTGCGGCCAAAATCTCGCAAGTCATTTAATCTATCACCGCAAACCACGGGTTCAAGACAGCCGCTTACCCGGCATGCTCAGACTACTGGAACGCCTTCTACTAGCTTTAGCAAGGCAAATCCAGCACAAGCTTCTCAAGCAATCCCTAGAGATGAATCGTTTAACATTATGTTGCAACCAGAGACGAGACAGATCTCCCAAGAACAACTCGTCGCAGAAGTAAAAGCCATTTATGCCGGCTTGGTAGCGGTTGAGGCCAAATGTATCGAGGTCGACAACAAACAGGCCACGCTTGCTGAGCAATGGCCGGCTCTCATTGCTCTACATCGCACTCTCCTCCACGAGCACAACGACTTCTTCCTGGCTTCTCAACATCCTTCTGCGAGTCCAGCACTCCGCCGCCTAGCTTCCAAATATGCAATGCCAGCACGAACGTGGCGGCATGGTATGCTTTCCTTCTTAGAATTGCTCAAAGATCGTCTTCCGGCCTCGCTAGATGACACACGCGACAAGCTGACCTTTATGGAACTTGCATACACGATGATGGATCTCCTCCGCGAGGCTAATCCTGCATTCGAAGACACATGGATTACATGTCTTGCGGATTTTAATCGTCATCTGAGCTCAATCAGAAACAATTTTAAGGATACGTCGGCCTGGGCTAGTCTTGTAAGAGAGTGGCATTCAGACGTGTCAAATAAGTTCTCCGTGGCACTATCTTATGTACCCAAGGTGTATGCCAAATCCGCGTTCTTTTTCCGAAAAGCGATTCGGATTAGTGTCAACGGCAAAGAATGTCTTGCACGGCCGGATTCTGGCTCGGAGAAGGATGTTTGTTCCGAGGCATTTGCCAATCAACATGGGCTTCACATCAGCCAGAATGATGAAGACAAAATATTATTCAAGTTGGGCACCAAGACAGAGGTTCAATCAATCGGTCGGACGCTAGTAAGTTGCGGCCTTGCTTCTGATACGAATCCTCCTGAGGAGCGCTGGTTTTGTGTCCTGAAGAAATGCGTCGCCCCAATAATCATGGGAGAACGGTTTATCAAGAAAATAAAACTATACGGAAGGAACAAGCATCTCTTGGTGAGATGTCCAAACTGGTTTGGTCGTTTACCAACTCTTAAGTATATCGGTTCTCCGAATAATCAGATCCGCTTCAAAGCTGGAGGGCATGCTCTGATTGCCTGTGCTGATACGGGATCGGACGAAGATTTTATGTCGCTGGACTGCGCCAAAAGAAATGGGTTCAAGATTGACCGGCGGCAAAGTACAAGAATAGTGATTCAGCAAGCAGATGGATCGATCGTCGAGACTGTAGGCCAAGTCCGTGTGTCGGTAAAGATCGGGCCCATGGACGAGTTCAAAATGAACTTCCATGTTCTACCTAATCTCACCTGTGAAGTTATCTTCTGCGAGGAGTTTCTTGAGCAGACAGACGGCTTCAAAACTCTTGTCGAATCCCCTCATGTTTCCAAGGATGACGATGAAGAGTTCCAAGAGGCCCCTCACGCTCTAAACACACTGATTAACCTTGGTCCTATCAATGCCTATGCCAACAGAATCCGGTCCACCGTAGCAGAGAACACACCTCAGCAAGAGCATGACAATGCAATAGTGGCTGAGATCTATCAACGAAACAAAGTCAACAAATCCATTGCCAGTATCTCAGATGAGAATGAGCGCCAAGAAGCGAGAGAAATCGAAAGCGTCAGAAAGAATGATTTCGATCAGAGTCATGCTGAATGTGCTATTTGCATCCAGCGAAGCAATCAGAAGATAGCTCGCTGATCATGTTATTCCCATGCGTGCCCATCACTGATCCCAACAATGACACTATAGCACCCAAAGTTGTAGATCCGAAGGCAAATGTAATAGATTCTGGATTCATTTGTCTCCTGATATAGCAGAGGTTGTGACTTCAGTGCGAGCTCCTGCCCCAAAAAAAATAGATACGAATACAATGGCCTTAAATTGATGTGTTTGCAATATTGTGAGACTGAGTTACGACTTGACGAGAGGGGTCCAAAATAGGCTCCCAAAACATACCTGGGGTTTTCTTAATTTCAGTCAGTGAAAGCACTTGTACCCGAGGAGTCGAGACGGGCCTCTGGCTCACTTGTCTAGGCTCTGCTTAAAAGAGCCAACAATGGCCGCTAGGGGGCACAAAACAGATCACACTTATAGTGTTCGGGCTAACTTAGGGCTGCTCAGGGGCGCACAGGCTGTAATTATAAAATAGTAAGGCCAATCTCAGGAATGCTCACCCCTCGAGGGAGCCAAAACGTCCCCCTTGGGCGCTAAAATGGCCTCTTAATGTATGCTTAGGCGCTGTTGCTCACCACTGCTCACCTTCGCCTCACCCTTACTCTACTCACCGTAGCTCACCCACAATTGCCGATAAAGCAGGCCTGCTCACCTTTCCAAACAGAAACAGATTTCATGCAGGTGAGGATTCAGGTTAAACAACCAACTGTTATTTTACTCTTCAATCCCGTTAATAAACTTTCCCATTTGACTTCCAGCTATATCCGAAAGGTCACGTGCAGCTTTCGGTGTTAGTAATAAATTATATGGGCCCAGCTTTGGCTGTCCTCGGATGATGCATGGACGCTTAACATGGGAGCTCCAGTTAAGATATCCAACAACACCATTGAACAGTAACGCCGCATGCGCATACACGAGAAGAAGCAGACAAACCATACACACAACTCAATAGGAATTCCAGCTCTCCATTGACCGATACCGCATATCGCTTTCGCCCGTTAAATCCGTTCACTCCATCGTGAACCCTGCGTTCCGGAAATTCGAGAATCCGGTAAATAAAGCATACCAGCGCGACTTCTTGCGCTGAAAACCCAGCGACAACAATAATGGTGAAAGCAATGCAACCAGGCCTACGCGCCTGTCTCCGCACAACCCCCTCCCGAACCCTACGATGCCAACAATCCCTCGCCGAACAGAAATGCATAGCCATGTCTATTTGTCCCGCACGGAACAGAAGACATGTCGCTTCCTCCTCGTCCCCCATACCTACCCGAATTACACAATTGTCGAGTCAACTACGGCGAGATACAACGATGGGGCTGATGGGCGCGGAGAGGAGGTACAGCACGAGGGACGGAACGATCGCGAAGGGTGCCGAAGGTGCTGCGGATGTGCATGTGGTAGAGGAGGCAGAGGAGCAGGTGCCGCGGGCGGTGTTGAGCGCTCCTGATCATTTGGATGAGAATGAGAAGAAGATCTGGGAGCTGCTGAATAAGGAGTTGAACTGTGTGGATTTACAGGTTCGTGTTTATTTATATCCCACCGTATCCTATTTTCATACAAAAAAATCAAGAACGGGATAATCGGCTAACGTTGGGAAATACAGGTTCAGGATATCTCTGGCGGGTGTGGGAGTATGTATGGGATTGATATTGTGAGCGAGAAGTTTAGGGGATTGAGTATGCTGAAGCAGCAGAGGTTGGTTAATCAAGTGCTTGGAGAAGAGATTAAGGGTTGGCATGGTGTGCAGTTGAAGACGAGGGCGCCGTGAGCGTGGGGTTTTCTTGTGGTGGGTGATGTGTAGGATGGAGAGAGGGAATAGGGAGTTTAGGGAGGTGATGTGTTGAGAAGATGGAGCATTACACCGCATATATCTGTCGGGTTTGCATATACTGTGTTATTATTGTAGAATAGGATGACAGATATTTGAACATGAATAATAACGCTACTCAATTTGATTAGCATATAATGAGGGCATACGTAAGGTCGCTCACTGCTTGCTAAACTTATGGATATCGAATTTCCTTCCAGTTGCTTTTTTGACTAATAGGACACTGGTGATAGGCTCAATTTCAATTAGGTTGTAATAAATCAATTGACATGCGGCATCACTCGGTCTATATTAAACCGAGGACCGGATGCAAATCTTTAGGCCCGCCTCCACATTTGAACCCCATTAATGAAAGGTACTTACAAGTTAATACACTCTCACGTTATTTAGATATCCATTTAGGAATTACATCACACAATATCACGTATAGATTTCCAAATACACATATATACACTTCCCTTTAAATTTCCACTCAATCCTAAGATGCCAACAATCCTCATCACCGGCGCAGCCGGCATGATCGGCCCTCTCCTCGCTGAACGACTCCTCTCCTCACCCGAATATCAAGTCATCCTAACAGATATAATCTCTCCACCCATTCCCCCAAAAGCCAAATACCCACAAAATGCCACAACCATCCAGGCAGATCTCACCGACCCCGGATCCCTCAGTTCCCTCATCTCATCATGCCTACCCCTGGATGCAGTATGCATTTTCCACGGAATAATGTCAGCCGGCTCAGAAGCCAACTTCGAACTCGGCATGAAAGTAAACCTACACTCCACATTGGCGCTCCTAGAAGCGTTACGAGAAGCAACCTCCAAACCCGAGGAAAAGCCCCTAAGGGTGCTATATGCCAGCTCGCAAGCCGTATACGGCCAGCCCCTCCCGACCATCATCGATGAAAACACGCTGCCTACACCAGAAGGCAGCTATGGCACGCAGAAACTCATCTGCGAAAGCCTGATTAACGATTACACGCGCAAAGGTTATCTCGACGGGTACTCGCTCCGGTTCCCAACCATCGTGGTAAGAGGAGGGAAACCTAGTACTGCTGCGAGTTCCTTTTTGAGCGGAATGGTAAGAGAGCCTTTGAACGGCCAAGAATGCGTTATTCCGCTCAAGGATAGAACGTTTAGGTCTTGGTTGTGTAGTTGTCGTGTCCTGGCGGAGAATTTGGTGCATGCGTTAAATCTACCTACGGATGCGAGGCCGAGCCATACGAGGACTATTAATATGCCTGGCTTTGGGGTTAGTGTGCAGGATATGATGGATGCGTTTGCGAAGGTTGCTGGGGAGGATAAGTTGAGGTTCTTGAGGGAGGAGACTGATGAGGGGATGGAGAGGATATTGAGGAGTTGGGGGACGGAGTTTGATAATAAGCTTGCTTATGATTTGGGGTTTAGGAGGGATGATGGGTTTGAGAGTGCGGTAAGGGATTATATTGAGGGGTTGGAGGGTTGATATGGGATGACAATTGATGATTGGAAGCTGAATGAACATGAAGGTAAAGCTTGAGAGGTTTAATTCAACTCGTGAGCTATAACTGCTACTAGCTATAGATATTATACTATATCTTTCGTTAATAGCAATAATATAAAACGGTGGTAGGTCTATTAAACAACTCTTACGATAACCACGATTGGGCTCACTCACTTTGATTATGCCAGGTCATAAGTAAATGGGGCAAGAGGATCTAGAATCCCAGGCTCTGGCAGGAATTCTCGTAATATTACAGTTGAATATGGCATAGTAAATTTTATTTATTTATTATGCTGGATTAATAAATGAACAGTCCTACTTGTAAAGTAATATCAAAGCTTACCCCTATTGCGGAGTTATTAACTTGATAGGACCCCTCGGCAAGCCTTCCCCGTGTGATGGCGGGGTACTTGAGTACAAAAGTTCCCCGCACATCTCCGCCTCCGCGGGCCCATATTAGCCGGTCATTCTTCCTCTACGGAGTAAACGATAGAGCCCTAATCTACAAGTAGTAACCCGTAACATCATTTGTTCTCTATTCCGGTTTATTTAAACATACCTGACTTATATTCCCCTCTACAAGTAGTAACCCGTAACGTCACTTGTTCTTCTGTATTCCGGTCTGCTTGAACATAAACATAACATATATCCTCCTTCCCTTCATTTCATCTCTTGTACACGTACTTGTAAAACTAAGTTTAGCAATCCAAAATGGCGAAATCAATGAAGGACAATAAAGCGGTGCAAATGCTAAAAGCAGCCGAAGAAGGCGGTTATGGGGTAATAGGAGTCGTTTCAGTAAGCAGCATCTCCCCAATTTCATATCTTTCTTACCTTAACGCCTTTCTACAGTACAACCTCGAAACTATAACCGCAGTCGTCCGCGCCGCCGAAAAGAAACGTTCCCCAGCACAAATCCTCCTCTTCCCCTGGGCTCTTCACTACTCCCCACTCCTCATCCACCTCGCAGCAGCCGCCTGCGCTACAGCCACCGTCCCAATAGTACTGCACATGGACCATGCGCAAAGCGAAGAAGAAATTGTTGCTGCGTCCGAATATCCGTTTGATAGCATTATGGTAGATATGTCGCATTACGAGAAAGAGGAAAATCTTGAGAAGACGGAACGGATAACGAAATTTTTGCATGAGAAGGGGATTGCGACCGAGGCAGAGCCAGGACGCATTAATGGTGGGGAGGACGGTGTTGCGGATACAGGTGATCTGGAAGGCTTGTTGACTACCCAGGAGGAGGCTGAGCGCTTTGTGAATACTGGGATTGACTTTTTGGCCCCGGCTTTTGGTAACGTGCATGGGAATTACGGGGGAATTGAGAATATCAAGTTGGATTTCAAGAGGTATGTTCGATTTCTTTATTGATCCTCTGCCCGAGTTTCTAGGGTCTTGTGGATGAGAACGGCGCTGATCAGTGGGTGGATGGACAGACTGGAGTCAATCCGCAAAGCCACAGACGGCAAAGCTCAATTGGTGCTCCACGGAACGAATACATTCCCCGACGAGACTATGCAAGGATGTATCAAGGGCGGCATGACAAGATGCAATGTGAATGAGCTTGTGCTGTTTAAGTACAACAAGTACATTGTGGAGAACACTGGGAAAGTTCCCCTAACCGAGTTGATGGGCAGGGGAACAGATTTAATTCAAGAGCAGATTGAGTATCAGATGGATATCATGGGATCATCAGGGAAAGCATGAATTAGTAGCTGAAATTGCCAACTATACATGTAGTCTGAGATTTTAACCTTAAATGCCTAATCGAGCAGCTCGATCTGACAATTCCCAATCCCAAAAGGTTTAGCGCTAGCTATCTTTAAACCCGTCTTCTTGTTTCAAATGCATGTTCGGGAAGAACTCGTGGATTATAATGAGAGCTGTGGGTCATTTGCACCTTAACATTACGACGCCTTTTAACTTTCTAAAGTATGTTATCCAATCATACAAGTATAGGATGCTTGGTACTTGCCACAGGAAAAAAATACACTTTGTTGGGGTTATATAAGGTATAGTATATCCCACTCCTACAAGACGCTCAAGACGTACGTGGGGTAACTTTGTTTTGACTTACAGTCCATTTTGTGCCGCAATTGATGTCATCATTGCGATATGAGCCGTAGTCTATTTCTGAGCTAGCTAGAGAAGATGGCGGCGGTGATTGTGGGGTTGGCGACGAAGTCGTCGGGGTCATGAAACTGTCCAAAATACCTTGTACTCCGTACTCGTACTTGTAGGCTCTTGTTTCAGGGTCGCTTGCCGAGGCCCCTGTTAAGATGATGTTCAGCTCCTCCCCGCAGGCTGCCGAGCACGCCCCTTTACCTGCAAAGTATTCAAATTCTTCTATCGTGAATAGCAAGTGGCCGTTATTCTTACCGTCGGAGTCTCTCAAGCCTATCTTTCTTGTCGCTTAAGGCTTGAAGTCCGATCCCAGTCCCGTCGCCATGGCGGACGCTTTCCACATTCCAAGCTTAGACAGAAAGAATAAAAAACACCTAACACTCCGCCCAACACTCCCCGGCGCCAAATGCTCACCTGATAATGCCGATTATGTAGGCCGAAAGGATAATATCACAGTCGAATTCAAATTGGGTTACCAGCCCGAGGAGTTGAGAAACCAGGACCTGATCCCGCTAAAACAGCTTAGTGGTCAAGTTACGGTTGTTCAACATGCGCCTAGTGGTATTGCAATGGTGCGAAAGGTTAGACATGTAGTCCGAAATTACTAGATTGGCTTTACCTACTTACATCTTTTAGGTTATTCCTGTAGAGGGTGCACAATCTGTCCGGAAACAGATTGTTCGAGAGTTACGCATTATGCATGACTGCGTACGTTCACCATTACTGTTCTCTTTATTATCTATATCCCTACCTTCCTAATACCTGCTGTTACGTCTCATTCTAGCCTCCTTCACTCTCCGAGTCCAAGACTCTAGGTTATTTCTTTTTCAAGATTGCACACTGATATCAATAGCATTCAGAGCATGTATTGGAATTTTATGGGGCCTTTGATGATGATATGAAACGTGACATCTTGATGTTCACAGAGTATATGGATATTGGGTAGCTCCCCTTCTATGGCCGTTTCAACAATAGCCTAGCAGTACCCTAATATATATTGCTATTATAGTTCCCTCGAGAAAATAGTACAACTTGGCTCAATCCCAGTCGATATTTTGGGCAAGATTACAACAGCCGTGTTGGGTGGCCTAACCTATCTCTATACCAATCATCGCATTATGCACAGGGACATCAACCCCTCCAACATCCTTGTGAATGCTCGGGGTCAATTCAAACTGTGTGGTTTCGGGGTCTCTGGCCAGTTGATGAATTCAATAGCAGACACGTTTGTTGGGACAACGACGTATATGGCGCCCGAGAGGATCCGAGGCTTGGAATATTCAGTCAAATCTGATGTTTGGGGCCTTGGTGTAACATTATTGGAACTCGCTACAGGAAGAGCTCCTTTTCAAGGAGAGCATGACGGTGAAAATCCTAGTTCAGTGTTGGAGTTGCTTCAAAGTATTGTTATCGAGCCATCGCCCACCCTCCCTACAAACGGACCTTTCCCATCGACTCTTTGCGAAATGATTGATAAGTGTCTCATGAAAAATCCCAAGGATCGGCCCACTCCGCAGGAGTTATATGTATGGAGCCTAGGCGCATAGCAAATACATTCGATTACATGCTGACTTGCGATAGGATTCGGATCCTTTCATAGCTGCTGCAATGCATACCCAAGTCGACCTTACAAGTTGGGCTACCACTGTTATGAAGCCTGCTTTATCCGACAATGTGCAAGGCGGAGTATCTGGTCAACCAAAATCCGCGGCAGATCCTCTTCCGATGTCCCATAAACTGGACGTAAAATCGGCTGAGGATACAATGGCCATCGAAGGCCTCCTCCTACATTTGCAAAATATGGCTTCGATGAAAGACTTGGATCGTGCAAGGAAATCGCCAGCATCCCTTTGCGCTCGTTGCACAGTGCTGGTGCAGGATTTTCAACCAGCTACCTTGGATAAGCAGGAAGTTAACGGAGGCGGGGCAAAAGAGTGCCCGCTCTGCCGAATTATTCTCGATTGCCTTCCATCCATGGGAGAGCCTCAGATATCAAACGCCAAACCCTCAAATAGGCCACAAAACAATAGCCATCTGGTCCTAAAAGTCGGAAGCCAATATGGTTTGTGACCTTCTTTGCAAACTCACCATTTGCTAACTATCGTAGATTTAATGAATCATGTAATGGAAACTGAGGCTGGACTTGAAGATCTAACTACTGGATCCCATAGCTCGTTTCAGATGGCCGCAGCATGGATGAAGTCATGTCTTACGACCCACAGCAAATGCATTGCGGCAGCAAATCTTACCTTGCCTATCCTCCCCACACGTGTCGTGGATGTAGGCGGCCCTCACGAGACAGGGAACGTTCGACTCCACATGGGCGGTGGGCAACGAGCCTTATATTTTACCCTGAGCTACAGGTGGAGCCAGAAGAAACCTGTGGATTTCGAAACTACCATTTCCAACCTGGATGCCTACAGAAATTCCATCTCACTAGAGACCCTCCCTCAAACTATGCAGGATGCTATCGCTACCACAAGGAGATTCGGCATTCGATATCTTTGGATAGACGCTCTTTCCATTATTCAAGACTCCCGGGATGACTGGGTAGCAGAAGCACAGCAAATGGCTAAGATTTACAAAAATTCCCTTCTGACTATCGCCGCCGCAACTGATGGTGATGCATGGACGGAAGGTTGCTTCCAAGCCCGAGCAAGAATGCAACCTCGGCCTTTGATGGTCAAGCCGCACTCTATTGGCACACCAGCCAAGTATATCTTCGCTGATCGAAGGCTCACTGGTGATGGCATAAGGCCACCTAGCGCTTTAGACACAAGAGCTTGGGTCCTCCAGGAACAACTCCTTTCACCTCGCATCCTGACGTATTCCAATAAAGAACTATATTGGGATTGCAAGTCCACAAACGCCTCTGAAACCTTCCCCAATGGAATCCCGGGGTTTTATGATGCAGAGCTCAAGCACTTAGATGAGAGACTCTTTAAAGAAGTAATACTAAGCACCACCAAGACTGAGATCAGTCCTGATCGCTTTTATACTTCCTGGAAGAAGATCGTGGAAGCATATTCAGCGCGGCAGATGACCAAAGAAATAGACAAGCTCGGGGCTCTCTTAGGCCTAATCAACGAAGGATCTACATTCTTTGGAGGAGATTTATATCTTGCTGGGGTGTGGAGAAAGAGAATCTGCACAGAATTGTTGTGGTGGGTGCGGAAACCAGAAGAGGCTACTCGTCCTACGTATTTCACTGCTCCGAGTTGGTCTTGGGCCTCTTTAAAAGCGCCGATATCGTATGATTTAGGTGGCTTCGACAGTGATGAGAGTATTCAAGTCTGCGCTAAAGTTTTTGGTTACGGATATACCAGGGAAAAGACTGATGATAGTCGGGCGATTCTATCTGGGCATATAACGCTTCATGGGAAATTGGTTCCGTTGAGACCACAGGTACCATTGAAAGTAGATGGTTCGAGCCATTCAACGCAATTACCAGCCCCTCAGATCCCCTCTCCCACCTGGATGGAAGACATTAACGGTCCTGATCCATCGTTAGTCAGATGCATAGTAATTGCAGCCTCCTATCACTATGTATATGCCGTCGGACTCATGGAGTTTGGCGGCGATGACACGCAATACAAGCGAGTTGGTTTGGTCCATTGGAGAGCTTCCCCGGATTTGTTTGGCTGGAATCGCGCCAAGAGTAAATGGAATGAGGAAGGGGAGTTGGAGACCGTCAAAATCGTGTAGTATGTTGCATATACCAAGGCACTGACTTAGCCGGAGAGCCCAAGATTGGGGCATAAAAGTGTCTGCTAGCAAGGATGCTAACATGATAGCCGATAGAACATCAATAAACAAGCAATAGGGCGCCGTGCTCTATCCGGTAAAAATAAACAGCCAGAAAGGAGCACCAGATACATACCTAGCTAGACATTGTTAGACGACTATAGCTTTGTCCACAATTGAACCCTGGATAAGTTACCCTTCGTTGGCTGAAGACAATGTGCCCATGAAATGGGGTTCTCCAGATGACATGTTGATTTTCCAACTGCCAGACAGAGATTCCACCTCTATGTCTTGGTCGGAATGTTTCTGACCTGTGGCTATCTCGATGAGGCCGACTGGCACTACGAGGTTGATTCATTGCTAACAAAGTCGTATACTTCTTGAGCAGAAGCAACCTCGAAGTGCCAACAACGCTGGATTATCTCCCCACAGAGGATCTCCGTTACATCAGAAGGGAAGTTGTGAGCTTTGTAACGTTTCTTAACTTCATCGCTCCCAACATCCTCGTACGGAGCTCTGCCGGTCATGATAAAGTAAACCATAGAGCCGAGCGCGAACAGATCATCTTGGATCGTTGAGCCTCGAAAATCATGACTAGGAGATTGGAACCGTATTGGTGGTGCACAAGCTGACGCCCGAGAGCCTTCGAACGAAGATCCGCTAAAGTCGGCAATCTTAAGATTAAGATTGGCGTCGAGTAGAAAGTTTTTGGGGCCGACATCACAATGAAGGATGTGGGTAGAATGTAATAGCTGAAGCCCTTCTGCCGCCTCCCGCGCCCAGCGAAGGCGCTGTGCTACCAATATCTCATCGTTGTGCATCGTAAGGTAATCCCTAAGGCAGCCATTTGGCATGTACTCCATAGTGAGAACGCACTCGTCGGCATCCCATGCGATTATCTTTACCAGCCGAGCGTGAGGGCCTAGATTTTCATATATGCGCCTCTCGAGTGCTATTTCAGCACGGCAAATAGCCTCCTCAGAACCAGTCCATGGTGATTTAACTACGTTTCCCGATGGTAAGCGTTCCACGAGCCCGGAAACCCCGCCCCCTATCGTATCGCCCCGTGATATCTTCTCAGCGGACTGCATGTTGCTTATGTATTGTTTGGCCAGTCCTTTCGATATAAACCTGCTTGACAGCGAGCATCCTGTTAGCTAACACTATATATAAATTGGAAGGCTTACCTCTCATCTGGGATATGAGATGCTCTCTCTGCACAGCTTAGCGTGTCGTAAAAGAAACATGTGTAACAAAATATGTGACGTTGTGTGGGGAGACTTGTTGCGGGAACTTATCTGATGAGTATTTAAGTACTTCGTACTACCTAAGGCAAGGTACGCACTCGTGGCTGCATGCGGGCATCGGCAGCTGGGGCGGCACCAAGGCCAACCCCGGAGGCTTATATAAGCCCCGTCCCGGCTCCCTGGTGTTGTCCCGGACCGGGACGGGATCTAACAGGGGGTTCATATAGCACCTGGCTCAGCTCCCCACCAGTTCATTGACATAGAATGTTGTCGGGACCAACAGCTTCACATCTACCCTATTACCACGTAGTATAGAGCACTCCGTATGCATCTAGTGGTTCGGTGGAGGCCGCTCTGTCAGACCCACGGTGATCGTACCAATTGGGACGTTAAGAACCACATCAGAGGCGCTCTGATACCAAGCGACTGAGACAGCGGGCCGAGGCCATCGGGCGTTATGGAACTTACGATGTCCTACCACCAGCCACATATTTATAATCGGTGCAATTATGTGGTGACATTTCTGCTTATGTTTCTTTTAGTAATCGTTGGTGCCAGGCTGCCGTCACTCTAGATGAGACATCACGGTTGAAAAAGCGCTGGGCGTTGCAGCTGACAGGACTCGTATCTGCTGAAGGCATCACCTCGAGCCTAACGCGCGTAGTCCAGATAGGATTCTGGATTGGAGTCATCAACCAATATGAAACCAGATCAGTGCTAGATGTTTAATTTGCAACAGGGAGCTGCCAAGAACTTGCTTAGTAGGGGGCGTACCCACAAGACTAGCGAAGATGATTCTTAAGTTCTCTTGTGCTCCGCCATTTACTTTCGCCACCCCAGGGATCATCCGCTGGACATCTAGCTCAAGTGTGATATCCAGCTGAAAAAGTTGTCTTGGAGCGTGCAAATAACCAATCACCAGTCGTCGGCGCCAGGCTGCGATTGTTGGAACATCGGTCGGAAGTAAAAAGTTCCGGTCATCGTTGAGCTCCACCGAGAATCATAGACATGATCTCAATTTGACGGCCATGATGTTCTCGAAGTTGGGTTCTGTACCCTACAACTATGAGTTTGTAAACACACATTTTCCTGTGCATCGATCAGCATAAAATCTGATTAGAGGGGCACAAATGATGCTGAGATAGGTAGGTTATGAAGGCACATTTCTCTGTACGTATCTAAACTAATACTTTAGTTTGGGTCATAGATGACATTTGGCGTACCTGGGATATACCCTCTAGGCACCCCTGGAGCTTGAGTAACAATATCAGCGTCTAGTTTGGGCGAGGGATGACAAAAGGGGCGAGACTAACTGGTACACGGCCTTCCCTATCGGAAGCCTCGTAGGTGGAATGTCGGGTATGTTGTATCTCGGTCCCGGCGACTGGAGATTTCCCGCACGTGGCTACGCTAACAAACAAAAGCAATATTAAATTCGCAAGGCGTAACAGATGCCATCAATGCACCTATCTATGCTCACTGACCACCCTCAGTCGGAGTCCACAGTGACTTGCATAACAGCCCTGACGCAATATGACAAACTTTTGAGAAGTTGAGCAACAATATTTCTAGCTTCTTACATTGCCTTCGGGCCGTTCGGGCACAATAATATGCCGTCCGGCCATGGTTGGGTGGGCGGCATCACCCATACCCTCCTGCCCTGGATGTGACTGCCTTCCAACTATTGGAAGTCTAAAGAACACGCCTAAAAAGGATAGTTACCTTCGATTCTTTCCATCCCGTGTCTCCCAGTCTTCATTCCTTAGATATGATTCAGCCTCGTGGAGGCGCCTTCGGGGGCAATAGAAGGAACACCGAACGATTGTCTCAGCTTAATCGAGTACATCCAGACTTCCGGAATGGTCCGCTCGCTGATCAAAGCAGCTTTCAACTACAGTATGCCAACAGAATCGCAACATATCCTCCAGCCCCACGAGAATCAACGAATCGTCCACTTGGAAGATGAACTCAAGGCTGCGTCAAATTTCTTAGCCCATCCATCCCTTGCTCAATAGAGACTCAAGAAATTGCGCCCACCACCATACTTCGCTACATTAAAGAGATGTTGTTGCGTGTGTGTAACAGTGCTATGGGTATAATTTGGATAGCCATTGTACTTGGGACCGACGATTAGAAGGGCAGAGTCAATAACGCGTCCACTTCGCATGCCGGTAAGTGCAACTCCAGAATAACCCCGAGTCGTCCATATTGAGCGTGAGATCAACCACCTCCCATAGAAACATTAAAAAACACGCTTTAGTCATTCCATATCTCTTTCAAGAAGGAACGCCGATTGGGGCACACCTAATATTTTCAATCTGGCTGCCATTCAGCACCCTTGTTCAGCTGATGTTTATGTGTCATATAAGTTGACGAGAGGCCCTTCAGAAAATCAGGCATTTGCTCACTCTCGGCATATCGACCTTATTCGCACAAACATAGAAAATCCATCAAACTTTGGGCTGGCTTGTGAAGAAATCTATACGAGGACTAGCATAATCAGGTAAGCATGCGTTTAAAATAGTTGAGAATCCTTATGACATAGCTGTTATAACCAAGGGACGAGGTCGAGCGGCTAGGATGAGGATTCACAGGAACCGCCTAGACAGCCGCAGTAGCATATGTCAAGAGAGGCCAAAATAAAACCAGCATCTTTGCGGTTGGCCCTAACCGGATATTGACGATGAACAGGTCGTGGTTCCAACCACGCGAGCAGATACCCACTATGGATTCCACGACGTTGGCTTTGGCCATTCAACCGCCTGTCCGAGCGAGACCTGGGGTAGCTTTATATCCACCTGTGGCGGCTCGGTTGAGCAGCCAGGCCGACATAATCGGGCAGCTCTCCCAAATCTGGGCTGTGGCAACACTTGTTGATCGACAATCTGGCGAGATTGACGACGATAAACTCGACGGAAGAGTGTCCGACTCAGCACATCCTCTGGCCCAAGATACTCAGCGAAGCAGTGTTGCTGTGGAGGACAGAGCTTATTTTTGTTTTCCAGATCTCATTATCCACAAGCCTGGCAGGTACCGCATCAGAGTCAACTTGATGCAGATGGATTATTCTTCCAACTCTTTTCCTGACGGAATTGCGAGGGTGATTGAGTACGTTGATAGCCACTCCATTTCTGTCGAACACGGTGCCACGGATTGTTCCAAGCCAAGTAAGTTATGCTTAGCTGAGCTGAACGGGAGCGTAATTAACAGTGTCAGACGCACAAGAGCGTGCCTTCCTTCGATTGCTGAAGCACGATGGCCAGCGGATCTCGTAACTTGAGGCTTATCGTCATTACTGGAGGTAAAGGGCCGGCCTGCCAGGCCAAGTAATCATGAATGTGCTATCAACTTGCTTCCTGAATGGGGAGATGGATGGTTCCAACATTGGCAACTTGGATAATTTTCTATCTAGCCAGTTAATTTGGTGCCGGCTAAGTGTCAGAGGGCAGGCAGGAAGCCAAGGGAAGGAGTATAGACTGGAGGAGACATCACTGTCACAGCACCATTTCATGAGCAAATTTCGTGTACGGTTTAGATTATTTGAATATCTTCAAACTTACCTTAACTTAAAAGCATCAAGCCATGAGACAAGGCAGCACAATTCTTGCACACCGTTCTAGACGAGCAATCCAAAGCCGTAGCAATCTGAAACGTGGATTTTGGTATGAGAATATGCGTGGCGGAATATGGTCCTCAATAGACGGTATCTCTCTATGATGTCTTGAAACTATTCAATATACGTAACGATTATTCGAAGAACTACAACAATTCTCATGATTTTGTGAATTTCATCGTTGTCTGTGGAGTGGAATTAGAAGACGATGCATCCGATGGACTGGAGAGGAGGCTTCTGACTCCATTAGGCTTGGCAGGTATAATGTGGCGCAAGTGGCGTAGTAGCAGTGTTCCGTCACGTGCGCACGGCTGTAAGGCTGAGAGTGGAAACAGAATTTTGTCCACAACCTTGAGTCAGAGCCCAACAGTCCCGCATGAGTTTCTATTGATGAATTCCTTAGTCTCTTGCATCGCACGAGTATCAGGACACACTCTCAGCAAAAGAATTCTCCCCCAATTATCCCGATCTCCGCGCGCAATCCACATCACATCCTACCACCGCAAAATGGCAGAAACCACATCACCCCCTCTATCTGAGAGTCTTGCGAAGTTAAGCCTGACGCAGCCCTTGCCAAAATTCCCAAACTGTTACCCAGAGTTCAACCCAGTCGACATTTATCGAGCACACCTTACCTCGATTTTGGCAGACGTTACTGGCGTCGACTCGAAAATTATATATCCCGCTTTACAATGGACACAAACGCTGGAGAAGGGCGACTTGGTACTTCCCGTGGCCGCGCTGCGAGTTAAAGGCAAGAAGCCGAACGAACTGGCTGTCGAGTGGGCTGAGAAGGTATTTCCCATCTGTCCAGTTAGTTTGGGATCAAGGAGCCCTGCTAATCGCCCTCCAGTTTCCTGAGTCTCCAATAGTCGAAAAGCCCTCCGCCGCCGGCACTTTCCTGCAGTTCTTTTTCAAAGTGGACAAGCTCGCACAACTCCTAATACCATCTATTCTGCAACGGGGCAAGGACTTTGGACTAAATCCTGCACTTGGCTTGAAGGACCCGGAGGACCCCTCGAAAGGCCCCAAGCGAATGATTGTAGAATTCTCGTCTCCGAATATCGCGAAACCCTTCCATGCTGGCCATTTGCGAAGCACAATTATCGGTGGTTTTCTATCCAACCTGTACAAGGGTGCCGGCTGGGATGTAGTAAATATTAACTATCTGGGCGATTTTGGAAAGGTTAGTGGAGCCTTCAGCTATTTTCATCTCGTTTACTTATTTTTATCAGCAATATGGGTTGCTAGCTTTAGGATTTGGAAAGTACGGTAGTGAGGAGGCGCTCCTGGCCGATCCCATTAACCACCTTTACGAGATCTATGTCAAGATCAACGTGGATCTAAAAGCCGAAAAGGACGAGATCAAGAAGCTGGAGGAGGAAGGAAAGGATGCGTCGGAACTCAAGAATGAAGGGCTTGACGAGCAAGCCCGTCGGTACTTCAAAGCTATGACCGATAACGATGAGAAGGCGATTGCACTGTGGTCGCGCTTCAGAGAACTCAGCATCAAGCGATACAAGGAGACGTACGCCAGGTTAAACATCCATTTCGACGACTACTCCGGAGAAAGCCAAGTCAAGCAAGAGAACATGGATGCGGCAGCGAAGAAAATGGAAGAGATGGGGATTTCCGAGGTATCGGAAGGGGCCGTAATCATCGACTTCACAAAGCACGTACAAGGGAAAGCAGGCAAGTCTCTAGAACGACCTATCATCAAAAAGAAAGACGGCACCGCACTTTATCTCACCCGAGATATCAGCGAGATGTTGCAACGACAAGAGAAATACAACTTTGATCACATGATCTACGTCGTGGCATCACAACAAGATCTACATCTTAAACAACTGTTCAAAATCATAGAATTGATGGAGTACCATGACCTTGCCAAGAAAGTCCAGCATATCAACTTCGGTCTCGTTCTAGGAATGAGCACCCGAAAGGGCACAGCTAAGTTCCTGGACGATATCTTGCGGGATGTGGCGGAGAAGATGCATGAGGTGATGCAGAAGAATGAAGCCAAGTATAAACAAGTTGAGAATCCTCTGGCTGTGGCGGATATCCTTGGTATCAGCAGTGTTATGGTCCAAGATATGAGCGGAAAGCGGTAAGTTCTTCACTCCGCCAGTCCCCCTTTTTCATCGCCTCAAGATGTCTGTTTCCGTAATATTTTTTTAACTTACTAACATGAAAACCAGAATCAACAACTACGAATTCAACATGGACGCCATGACCTCCTTCGAAGGCGACACAGGACCATATCTCCAATACGCCCACGCCCGTCTCTGCAGCATTGCTCGCCGAGCAGACATCCCCACCTCCGAACTCCTTACCGCAGACCTCTCGCTCCTGACCGAGCCGCACGCCATAAATCTCATCCGTGTGATCTCCCAATATCCCGACGTTGTCCAAAACACCCTCAAGACCCTCGAGCCCGCGACGGTGATTACGTATCTGTTCAAGATGACTCATACACTGAGCAGCAGCTACGACCACTTGCGGATCGTGGGCAGCGAGAAGGAGCTGATGAAGGCGCGGATGGCGCTTTATGATGCGGCGCGGGTCGTGTTGAATAATGGGATGAGGTTGCTTGGGTTGAGTCCTGTTGAGAGGTTTGTGCGCCCACTTTCTTCCTCCCTTTAAAGTTATGGTTTCATTTACTAACATTGCGAATTTAGAATGTGAGAACACACGCAATGCAAATTCGTAAAATCGAAGATCATTTTCAAACACATCATCTCATAAGTTATACCCGACATCAGCAGTTGCATGATGATCTATCTAACATGACTTTGCCTTGCGACGATGGATGGATCAACGCCCTAGAAAAGTGTGTACCGCAGCGTAGCGTAGAAACCGAATGGAGAAATATCAAAAGGGCCGCCTATCCCACTCCTTATTATCTCGTAGATGTTGAAAAATAACAATTGATTCATGATATTACCAGTCAAGTTACATGGTATGATATGATATGGTATAAATATGCCTTCCAACAAAACTCCACCTATCCCCTACACCGTCCCTAGCCAATCCCTAAGCGTAGTATCAACAAGAACAAATAAAATGGTATATAACAGCTGGTTTCATTCTCATTCTTCCATTTCCATTCTTCATCGACTTCTTGAGTAGAGTATCATCACGATCACAAAATCACAAGCCACAAACATCCACTTCCTATCTAGTCATCATGCTGTCTCATCCCGCCCATAACAATCTCAGCCAATTTCACCTCAGGCTGCTTAGTAGCCAATCTAATCGGAATGAAATTCCTCATATCCGACTCCTGTTCCGCGTTGTTGCTTTGTTCAGTGTCAAGGATGTATTCACGACCATCGCCGACTTGTCCTAGCGACGGGGGTAATTTGAAACCCCCTAGAAGCATGGAAATTTCGTCCTCGTCCGGGAGGAGGATTTCTGGCTCTGTTGCACTCTCGTCGTTCTGCTGTGGCGCTGGTAATGTCTCCGAGGTTTCCGTGGGGGTAAATACATCCTCACCACCAGGCAGACAAATACTCCTCGCACCCAGCGTCTCCTTAATATCACGAAGGAGAGTATCCATCGGGCAAATATACGCGACTTTCTTCTTCGAGCTCCATGCGAGGACATGTCCGCACGCTCGTCCCTGTTCATTCTCCACCAGCCATGCACCAGAGTCGCCTGGCACGCCAAGTTTACCTGCGGCTTGGTAGCTGCTGGATGGTGTTTGGCGGCCGTAGATCTTCACGATAACCATAGCAGGTAGGATACGACCGCTTTGGAGACCGGATGTGCGGGCCATGCAGTGGACTTCTAGATCAGCTAGATCTTTGGTCGGCGCTACTGCGACGGGGTATTCACCCTCCTTTCGACGGCAAAAGCGCTCGCCGCTTAGGATACGGTTACTATCAGGGCAGCGGTCGGAATTGAACTCGAAGAGTGCCCAGTCGATCTCATGCACAATGCCGTCTTCAGTGCGTCGTCGGATGCCGGATGAGGCGTAGACCTCACCGAGACCGAAACTATCCAAGTGATCTTCATCGCGAGTTTCTTCGCTGGGATAAAAGTCTTCATCTACATCATCAATTGCTGGCTGAGTGATCAGGTATTCTTCACCGCAGCCTGGTGGGATTCCTTTGATATCCCCTGGCTCAGCTTCTTCATCAGACTCATCCTGATAGTCATCGTCATCGAACTCGGATTCAGATTGTTCGTCGGAAAAATCCGAGTCATAATCGGAGAGCGAGTACATAAACTCTTCATCGCTACTGCTGTAGATCGAGGAGTCAGAATGCGTCAGCTCAGGCATTTCAATAGAATGTGCGCTGGAGCGGAGAACTGGCACTTCGGCATCGAGTTCCTCGTCCTCTTCCTCTTCGGGCGCATCCAGCATATGGTGGACCGTCATCCCATAAGGCTTATCATCGACCATGATGAGGCCGCCGAATGAAACTGGTGGCAGGTGGCGCTCGCCCACGTAGGCGCCGATGGAAGCTCCATTCGATGGCTTATCTTGGTGTTCCGCATTTTCTGGCTTGACATCCTCGCCCAACTCCTTCGCCATCGACCGCTTGACACCGGGTTTCCGGGATCGTATGACCTTCCCTCTGCAAACTTTAAGCCCGAATGTGTCTTTATCGTACACTAGGTGCTTCTTCAATATACTGCGGACCTTGTTGACGCTCGTGCAAATGACCAGAATGGTAGGTTTGGTCGTTGATGACGATTCCCCGATGCTCTCCAAGCTTATCTCCACGGATTCAGGGTACTTCCTATAGAAGCCTCGAAGTACATGGTTGATGTGTGGCATAAGCCCCGTGTGCCAGAAATCGAGATGTTCTGGGCTTATTCTGATAGCGGGGTATGTGCGAAGTTTGGTCTTTGTTGGTTTTTGTAGGGGTGGAGCTAGAACTTATATAAGACATTAAAATCAAACAAATAGTCGAGGTTAACTTACCAGTGGTCTTAGCAACCGGCTTTTCAGACCAGCCTGTCTTCTCTGGAAGAGATGGATATGAGGGTTTCTCGGACCAGCTTGGACGGGTGGGTGTAGTTGGCCCTGCTGCAACTGCCTGGCTCTTCGACTCCCGTAGGACTCTTCGAGCGGGTGTGGCAGGACGCGATGCTTTTGAAGGCGTCGAAGGCATCGGTGGAGAATCATCACCCCCATCATTGTCCTCGTCTGAGCTCTCATCGATGGCACAGCAAGTATCGAGTGCCTTGGATACCTTCCAAAACACTTTTTGATGCATGACATCAGCTCTTGTCCGCTGGGACAGCTCATCTGTAGGAGCTTGCCAGCAGGCTTGAACAGCCTTGAGATATAAGCTGCCGCACCTTGAAGCAAGCTGCTTGAAGACGTTGGTGGGGTTTTCAGGAACAGCACTGCTCATGGGGAAAACATCCGAGAGTGAACTCCAAAGACCAATTTCTAAAAGAAGCATAGCAAGGCTGTACAGGTCGAGTGACTTGCTTTCCGATGTAAGATGTGTGTACCGAGTGATCCGCGGGTCCAATGGATGTCTGTAAAGCGAAGTCGTTGACTCCGACGCACCCTCGGAACTGTCTGTAGCGTTATCAGAGAAGAGGTCATATGAAGCGAGGAATGATTGGCGCATGTTGACTTGGCTAAAGTCCTTTCGGTTGATCGATTGGGATTGATGTTCGATGAACAATATATTAGACGATGTAATGTTGCCATGCACAACCCCTTTCGAGTGTAAGTCGAAGACGGCACTGGCAACATTGTAAGCGAGTCGGTATTTGACCTCAAGAGAGGGCTCATAAGGACTGAACAGCATATCCGACAGGCTAGAGGTCGAAGGCATCCTAGGACTCTCTATATCCACGGGTCCAAAGTGGGTAGGTAAAGCGAATAGAAGGCAGAATCTGGAATGGTCCGGCTCTTCAAAATAACCAATCAAGTGCAACAGGCCAGAGAGGATCCTCCCGGAGGAAATGTAGGATTGGGAAAGGGCAGCAAAGAGCTTCTCAAACCGCGTCATGGATGGAGTAATGCCGGTAATCGAATAGATGGGGTCATAAGGGGCATGCTCCAAAAGGACCGGGACGATGGGCGTCTGCTGGCCATATTTCCGAGAATCAGGGAGAGACGTCGGCCGACGCATAAAGACTATCTGCCTGGAATAATTAGCTGGCGGCAGCATGCTCGATTGAATCCCTTTGATATTCCGGGGCCAAATTAGAGTGGTGGGATCAATTTGTTGTGGAGTTTGCATCCGGGTGGACTCGAACTGCCTCTCCTCAACGGCATGGGACTTGGTCTGCAAGGAGGCAGACGATTCCGAGGCTTTGGTAGGGGATGCCTTCCGTGCAGACTGCCTGGTCCGTGAAAGGTCATACAACGTATCGATGGACATCGTCAAGTCGCGGACCAAATCCTGGAATCTCGACTTGTCCCAAGTAATTGATTTTTCGGGCAGCGGGGCCTTCTCATCCGGCGTTCTTTTCGACGACTGCCATAGCGGTTCGGCCTCGGCCAGGATCTCCTTGATGGTCGACATGACGCTTCCCACCAACTCACTCAAGCCGGCCTTGTTGATGGACTCGTCGATGTCAGGTGACTGCGAAGGATCCGACCATTCCAAACCCCACGACACCAATCTATCCTTCTGGATGCGCAGCTTCCGATGCAAGGACATCAGCTCCGGGTCCTCTGCACTCTGCACGGGTTCCTTGACGAAATCATAGGAGCTCTTCGTGTCGGTATACATCTTGGTCAGGCGCCGCTGGAAGGGCAACGGGAGACTGAACAGCGACTCCATGGCTGCGGCTGCGGTGGGGGGGGGGCGTTGTTGCGGGCTACTACAAGGCGACGCAGCGCAGCGCAACGACACACAGCACAACGCAGGATATAGATGCTATTGAAGGGGGAGCCAAAGGACGATTAATATATAGAGTGGTGAATGAAGGAAGAGGACGATGGCATTCGGAGGATATAACAATAGCGACACGACACGAAGGCGCGGCCATGGGGGGGACTGGGAATGGGAATGGGATATCCGTCTGAATTTGGATGCCTACTGGGAGGCCCCGAATGTTGCTGCCTTGCAAGGGACCCCGGCCCCTGATTGGCTCGCCTGGCCGGCGTCTCTACCTAACCCCCAAAGCGGCCATTTGTGGGTCATTCTCTGGGTCCGTCACGTGAGCAGGCCCTCGTCAGCCTGCAGATCTTGATTTGGACTCGGGGCATTTTGCCTTGAGTAGATAACAGCGAAACAAGGACGGGCTTGGATGTATATGGATGTATATAAAGGATATATCTCTGCGACGTCGGTACTTTAGAGTTCATACTGTACACCACCCGGCCATCCAGTTATACCCGCACAAGAACTAAACTGCCTGTAAGGGACAGTACTGTACTGTACGTGTTGAAAAGTTTGAATGAGTCTTCGCTGTGCACTGCTCTCCCACCTAAGGTACTCCTGTAACTACTCCGTACTACAATAATACAGTACGTACAAACACTACTCTCGTACTGCCAGAAGTCCCACCGAACACCTTACGTGGCTTACTTAATAACACGGAGTAGCCGCAACAAGACGCTGCCGCCTAAGTATCAGAGCAATCCGGATCCGCTTTGATCGTGCCCAGAACCTCGTCCTCCGCTAGACCCAACACAACCCGCTGAGCTGAAAAAAAGATTCCAAGGTGACAACTGTAATAAGGCGCCGAGGGTACTGCCGCGCCGAGGCCCAGCTGAAGTATGAAGTACTGTAGGCAGGCATGAAATATGATTTAATGATAATAATAACATTAACATTGAACCCCTTCTTATTTACGGAGTACACCGCTTCAAGTATCGCCACGCTAAATATATCCCAATACCAATATACAATATGTGTGTTGCCGGCAGCACGGTCGGTCTGCCAAACCAGGCGCATAGAACGCCGATCCATAGGTATCCACCTCTTTTGATAAATCTTTGACAAAAAATCTTTGAAAACTCCCAATGAGCCAGATAACCCCAGCTGCCCCGAATATCCAAAATCTACCATCGGGGGTCGTATACCTGCTTCTTGATCCACGCAGTTAATGCGACGTCTCCCCATTCTTCCCATTCAACCCACGCCTCTTCGGGAAGCTTGCTCACGCCGTCTCTCCTCGCTGCCTTCATTACCTCGCGCGCGACGACGACGCTGGCATCCCGCACACGCTCGATCTTCGGGTAGATCAGGCCCATCTTGATTTCCTCGCTGTTCAGGCAGTCTGCCAGCGCGGCTGCCGAGATGTACACCATTGCGTCTGTTACACGGGATGCCTTGGCTAGGATGGCGCCTAGTCCTAGGCCAGGGAACACATAGCTAGAGAACAACGAGTCAGCTTCCTGGCCACTGGATACGGGTACCTAGAGCAGACTTACACATTGTTTCCCTGGTTGGGATAGTAGGTGGTAATTGAATCGTGGTTCTTCATGGTAAATGGAGAGAAGGGCGATCCGGATGCGAAGATGACCGTACCCTCGGTCCACGTGACGGCCTGCTCGAACGTGCATTCTGCCTTGGTCAAGGGATTGCTCAAGGGGAACAGGATTGGTCGTCGTGCAAGGCCTCCAGCATCGACTGAGATCTTCAAGGCGCGGACGACGGATTCGGTGAAGACGCCGAAGGTTGCGGCCAAGCCAATCAATGCGGTAGGTTTGACGTACTCGATGACTTCCTCGAGAGTCTGGAATTGGTGTCCATTATTATCGCTTCTCGCAAAAAGCTTCTTGTGCTCTGCAAGCCTGTCCCCCCGGTCCTTCGTTACCAGGCCCTTGGTGTCGACGAGATAGAATTTATCTCGAGCTTGTTGTTCTGAGAGACCGCGTCGAGTGTAGTATTCCATCACCTGTTTGGCCACACCGACACCTGCGGAACCTGCACCCATGAAGACAAGTCTCTGGTCTTCTATAGGCACACCTGAAAGATTTACTGCTCCGATATACCTGCTCAATGGTCAGCAGTGGTCAAACTAGGCAATCGCCGGATCAACTTACCCTGCCAAAATGACAGCTCCAGTTCCCTGGACATCGTCATTGAAGCACTTCTCCAGCTTATATCGTTCCAGGTATTGGAACGCCTTCTCGGTCTCAAAATCCTCGAACTGAACCAGCATGTCCGGGTATACCTCCTTGACGGCAGCCATAAACTCGTCCATGAATTCAAGAGCCACGTCGGTACTGACACGCTTCTGCCTTAGCCCAAGATACAGGGGATCAGCCAGGTTTGTCTCATTTGCGGTCCCACAATCGAGGACAATCGGGAGAGTCTGCTCGGGATGGATGCCTGCTGCGGCGGTGTACAGAGCAAGTTTCCCAATCTAAGTACTGTCAGCATACCATCCGAACGTCTAGGACTAAGTACTCACTGAAATACCAACTCCGTTAACCCCGAGATCACCAAGTCCGAGAATCCGCGAGCCATCAGTGACCACGCAGATTGAAGGGTTTTTGTATGGCCAATTCCGTAGGATGGTCTTGATGGATTTGCGTTGCTTGATGGAGATATACAGGGCCTCGGGTCGGGTATATAAGGTCGAGTATTGAAGGCAGACGTCTCCAATCGTCGGGGTGTACACGAGGGGCATCATTTGCTCGACATTGTCGATCAGAAGACGGTAGAAAAGGTCGGTGTTATTGGCCTTGATGGAGGAGAGGTAGAGGTATTTGTCCACGTTGGTTCCACGGCTGTTGATCATCCGCAGGGCTCGCATGCATTGGGTTTCGAGGCTCTCTAGGACATGAGGTATGAGGCCAGTGAGGTTTTTTGAGATCCTTTCATCGGGGCTGAATGATGTACCTGGAGAAGAGCATTAGCTGATGTCCACTAGTCGGAAGAGATTCAACTCATTACCTTTGTTCCAGGCTGGTTCTCGGAGAACTTGGTAGCCCGCAGCTTGGGACTTGGGGGTATACTCTGTCTCGGTGTATTGTTTGACTTCGCCGTAGTGCTCTTGAGAATATCCCCGGAGAGTATCGAGGGATGCCATCTTCATGGCAGCTTCAATTACGGCAATATCAACCGCAGCCATTGGGTTGAAGCCTGACATCCGTCGTCCTGAGAGAGACATTCTCTTGCTCACCGTCGTCGTTGACGATCGACTTGTGGTTGAGGCTGGGGAGGACGAGCGGGGAGTCGCAATTGCTGAGCTTGTCGAGCTATAATAGTTAGAAGCCATTCGAAAGGTTGTGAAAAGGAGAGTAGATATCGGGTGCGGTTCTGCGGGGGGCACGTACCTCATATAAAGGCCGCATGAGGTCTTTCCTGTGGAAACATATCTTTACGAGGCTGTATGGCTTTTTTGCACGGGAACCGCCGGGGCCACATGTTACACCGGGCATTTTAATGTCTCGTTTCGTTGGGGTTTCAATCTCACTCTGGGCCTGCCGGCGGCGAGGAAGTCAGGCTATCGTCTTCCTCACTCGTCAATATCCCCGCCTGCCAATATAAGAAGCCCGTGCCGGGCATGGAACGGTGGGAGAATTAGGGACAGGACAGGGCAACAGAGAGCCTAAGAGGAGGGGGACATTGTCACATTGGGTAATCGATCGGACGGACTCCGAATGAGCCAGGATGGCGCGTCCCGCCGAGGGATTGGGCTCCAACGGCATTCTTCAAGTTATCGATACCGTGCAGCACTTGGTGCAGAGGGATGAGTGCTTGAAGGACAGCTCCGTGCCAAAGCAGCATGCCGTGAAGCTACACTGGTTGGGTTTGGCCGCTGCAGGAAGGATTTGATGTGGTGGTGGAGGACATGAGAAGCAAAGTCACCAATCCGAAGTACTCGTAACTAATAACAAACAACGTTATAAAAAAAGTAAACCGTCCGTCTCCCTGTCGACCGGGAAGTTGGAAGCACGGAGAAGGTCGGAAGCCCTAGCGATCCCGGCGACGTGTCACTTCGTTCCGAGCCGCAGAGTCGGGGAACAGATTGGACTACGACGAGTGCTGGCGAGTGGACTGCCACCGCGCAGCTGCACAGACATATGCGGGTTCAGCAGCTGCACCGAAGCTTCTCGGGGACCGGGATCCGATTTCTAATCTCGGGGAGGGACCAGGACCAGGACCAGGAGCAGTTGTTGTGCTTGTTGTCGTTGTTGTTGTTTTGTTGGGGCAGTAGTTCACATGGTGCTTCGTACAAAATACCTGTTCGAGACGCAGTTACTACTTACTACTTACTACCTACTACTTACTTGGTACCAGCAGGTATTTATTATTCCAGCTGTGTTAATGTTAGAGAACATACGTGATACAGGAGTACTTCGGACGTACCCCGGATACCTATGGTACGTAGTGCCTGTACCTTTGTACTGCAACAACACGCCCCACTATGCCTCGATCCAGGAGACAGCGTGATCTTGCCCCGGAAATAGAAATGCGCATTAACAAGTCCCCATCCAGAAGCTACAGCACATGGGATTCGAGACGCTGGTGTGGGCGATGGGGAGTTGCTCGCGTGGGTGGTTCCTCCCAGTTCCAGCGTCTCAGTGTCTCAGTGTCCCACTGTCTCAGGTTACATGTGCTGCTAGTGATTCCTAGGCCCCTCGACCCCTTTTTGCGTCGCTACCAGTCCGACATCTCCCGATGCTGACCCGTTCGCAGTTGTCGCTCCCCCAATCACCAATCTGCAATTCCTCGACCGTCTATTGCCAACCAAAATACGGAGGTAAGGGGAAACTATATGGACAGAATAGGAATGGTGGCCAGGCTGGCTGACCAGGAATTAATTACTGCACCAAGTTCTCCCGTGTTCCATCCTTTGCACTTCCGGCAGATGAATGGCTGGTAACAAGAGGCTTTCCAGCATGTGTTTCTTCTGTTTCTTCTGTGCAAAGCCAATGAAACTCGTCTGAAAAAGTCTCAGATGAGTTAATGGTTCTGCATCCCTAAAACGAGGAATTCTCAGAGCTTTTGATATACTCGTGCTTGTCGCATTATTTTACGGCTTCATGTGCTCCTGCAAGTGAGGTGATGTGAGGGGAAGGATTATATTTGGTTCGGCATGTATTGCCATGTGCGGCTCAGCTGCCATTCTGTTACCAGCCTCGGAAGGTTCGTCTCAGCCCCCTAGTCGTCCAAGCATCCGACGAGTACCCAAAAAGGATATCGTTCTTTTCCGGAAGCGCCGATGCTTGATCAGCTATATGTTCAAATCTACGATCCGGACGTCCAGACGTCTGACAAGGACAAGGACAATCATCTTCCGGACTCCCGACTTGTAGCCATTTGGATGCTTCCTCAACAGCGGATGATGTAGTGAGAATCCTGACTTTTAGAACTCGGTATATTACTGTAAGCGTCTTGCAGTCCGTAGGTTCGGTGTCCGAACTGCCGCAATGTAGCACAAGGGATGTAGAGAGGGGAAACCAAAAGCAAATGCTGTTGGAACCAGTTGCGGCATCTCGAGCAAAACTAATAAGATTACAACTCCTGGTTACAAATCTCTACAGACTGGAATTTAGTGATTAAGCAGCTGAAAGCTTAGCGGTTGCACAGCAGCGAGAGATATCTCCTAGTGTCCGCCCTGGATCCCAACACCATCTCCACGTTTTTATAATCGCTCATTTTTATCCGAAATTATTATCATTCCCTTGCTTAGTTCCGCTCCGCACATCCGTCTCTAGTTTTACCCCAGGTTTTGGATTTGTCACGGCGTACCTAGGCTACAGAACTCCTCCTTTGACATTCCACATCACACACAATCGTATGATTAAAGCAATATATCTTTCGGGATCTGGGTGTTCTATTAATGCTAATGGTTTCGCTGGGGTAACTCCGTTGTATTCTCCACAGTATTCCTCCAGTCACCAGTGAGTTAAAATATAAGCAGTATATTAAATTCAAACCACATCTTCTCACACAATATTCGATTATAGTTTTGCTGTTATCAACTACATGAGGTGGAGAAAATCTGGAAATCACCAACTTACTCACGAATATTTGCTTTGTTTGATTTGAAGAAATATCCCAGGATATTCGAAAAGACACTGAGTTCAAAAGGTTCTTATTTTAGAGACTGTGTTCCGCTTCTTATGCACAAAAAATGCGATATTAAGAGTTTATCGGCACCACTTGTTTATGCAGGCTATAGATAAGGTAGCTAGAGGGTGGGGATCTACTCAATTTCATTTCTAGTACCCGTCTTGGCTCTGCAAGTAAGCCGAAAGGGACTTTTGGGACCCAAGCCGGCCATTTGGTAGATTCAAATCAGCTTTGGCAGCGAATTCGGCATCTCATCTAGCTTTTCTAGGCTTCTTGCGAGAGAAAATAAATCAACTACAAAATATTTCACATCCCATTGTTCAGGCCACCTCTCAAATATTGGTGCAGCATCTCAAAACTGGTTTCCGCTTTAAAATATGTGAACCGATATTAAGGTAACGAATGAGCAGGAGTTCAAGACAATTTAAAATTGTATCAATGCCTTGGTATATCATCATATGCCACATCATGAGACTCGAATTACAAAATGTTCCTAGGCCATCACTATCACTCCCTAAGATTCTGGAACTGAAACAATGTTTTTTAGTCTGATTGCGATTCCATGGAGGTATTCACCCGCAACGCGAATTCTCAGCTCCGCTATATATCGTATTACTCATACAGATGATAAGTTTGAGAGAGAGAAATGTACCACAGCTAATTTAAAGGGCTCTTCAAGGTCCGCATAATAAATCCAACGGATTATCAGAAAATAGCGGTAGGGAACCTCGTCATACGCAAAGAAACATACATCACATAAACGACATGGTCAATATCTGGCTAAAGAAAACGACCAGTGTTTCGATATATCCATAAACTCGAATACCAATTTCAGGGTTGAATTGAAAATCGAGGGGAGGATATTTTCTGAGCACCGGTGAAACTGCCATAAGAAGGCTTACGATATCTTCCCCGTTACAAATAATTCTCGGGGCTTAAGTTAATGAGACTGCTACAGTTGCCGACGAGTGAGATTGATTGGACAATTACGCCGGCGCGGATTAGAAAGTTGGCTGCTGATCTTACCGCCGCTCCCAAATAACTCACGTAAGGTGGGCTTCTATACGCCCTTGTATTCAAGCAGAGTTATAAGCCGAAGAATTTAGAAATGCTATTACTACCGGAGGAGCAGTTATTTCCGAGTTGAGCCTGCCACATGACTATAAATGTGGGATTATGGCTTCATATCACTTTCGGCCGAATTATCTCTCTCCTAATCTTGTTTGTTTTGAAATGCGTTGCTTCCACTAATTAGGGTTGGGCCTGAAAACCGAACGGGATCAATCAGGTGCTTCTGTAGATTTGTTTCTTCTGTGCGTTTATATTAGTTAGTTAGTTTCAAGTAGGACACCCAATGAAAGAAGCTTTCTGGTAAGAAAATTTATCGACTTTTGTAGTTGCTTCAGGGAGTATGGATATGGCACCGTTTTCGTTTAAGAAAAGCCTCGGGGATCGTTCGATGGTGGGTGGACTACCCATCAAGATTTACTTTTGGCTGGCTTGAAGGTTCTGATTGATGGAATATAGGAAATGATATATTATCATTAGATATCTTTATACAAGTCTTTAAAAACAGATAATTGAGCATATTACTAACCCGGATTGGAAGGAAGTTCTAGCACTGCAACCACTGGTTAGCTGGCAATATATAATATCTGCAACCTGCTAGTTTATATCTAGATATAAATTGACTAATTATTTATATATTTCGGCAGAAATTATTAGCCTTATATTGATTATAAAATTAATTAAATAACTGGAGTACTTGGGGTTAAAGTAACATGCATTTTTTCGAGTTATTATTTTTCAACTTAGAACTCCGAGGACTCTCTCGCCTTCAATTTATTTTACCTGAACCCGTGCTAGACACTACGCAATATGTTTCAATAGCTTGACGGTATCTTCAAGGCTATATTGAGATTTAGCTATCCCGTAATTGCTATAAATTTAAAATTTAAATATTGAGGCTATAGTTGATAACAAAGATACAGATTAGTGGAACCGCTGTTTCACATGGAGTTTGGACCAATTTGAATCAAGTGCCTGACTAGAACCCGAACTATCAGTCTGCACAGGTAGTTTATTCTATCAAGCTAGAGAGGTTAAACAGATCACGGAGAAATGAAACTAGCTGTCAACGATAACGATAATTGAAATGGGCATTGGCCCTTGTAAAAATGCCACAATTTTACGGACTGGATTTGGCTTTGCTGGTCGCCACTATGCCGTTCATACTAACTGCGTCGGCTTGGAAGATTACTACCGAGCACCTGGTGTAAAGAGTAATATCGGATATCCACATTCACTGTATGCTACACTTTGAATATTGGGGCTTAGCTCTAGGCACATTCCCATAGTTAGATATCCAGGCATAGGCCTCGTAGCCATAGATTACAATACAACTTCTGCTTTCCACTCTATGCCCACCGATAACCTCCGACAAGTATTAAGGACCTGATTTACCTATAGTCACTTATGGAGGCAAAACGCTATGTATATAGGGTACTCGAGGACAATTGCTTTTATTTGTCTAGGAAAAGGAATAAGGAAACTGTGAATGACAGTACTCTGAAGATTGGCAGCATTTGAAAGTATGACACTTATCAGTAAGTTGACAACAGCACATATGCCTAAATCATTTAGCAAAAGGAAAAACAGAAATTATCCATCGGACCTAATATCGTATACTTGGTTAAATGATAGTTTAGTCGCCTACGCTATCTTTTTAAGTCAGAAATCAGAATCTCCCGCAGCTTTCAGCATGGTCTTCAAGGTGCTACCGAGAGCCATTAGCACCAACCTACTCTCGGTTGGACTTGTATCCTCCATAATGCCCGGACTTCTTTTTGATATTTAGATTATGGACCGTTACGTCTTACTTCTTGCGCTTTGTGTCTGTGTTGTCGCAAGCTAGAAATATATGCAAATCATGGGCTTTTCGCTTTTGCTATAAAAGGAGATGCACACTTATCGCAACTCAAACCGGCTTGTCTGGTTTAAATGGCAAATAAACTCCATGAAGAGAGTGAAGTCGGTTGGTGTGGCAAAGTCAGATCCAAGCCTTCCTCGCCGGGTGAATTTTGGAGACTTCGACGCTTGGATCGAGGGTTCTCGGCCTCCTCGGTTCCCTCTTCCTCTCGACTCTAGATATTTTCATTGCTGTATTCTCTTAGTAGTAACCTTCTCCTTCCTGTCCTCCATCACTGGGACCTTGCCATTTTTCTGTGCCGTTTCACACATCGAGAGAGATAGATGGTGGTGCCAAGCATGGTATAGTGTCCGTCGTCTATCCTAGGTATGTTCACGAGATCGAGACGAAGAAGTAGACGATTGCAAAGAGAAGCATATCCACCAAGGTATTATACCTGTACCGTGGAGCATCTAAGGATATAGCGTGAAGAATTTAAATTTAAAGTAAGACCTTGCCTACGGCAGGGTCCGCATATTTCACATGCTGCATTGAAACGAAGAACTACTACTGTAACTTAAGAGTCTAGATACACTCAAGGAACGCAAGCATCCTTGCGAAGAGTCTGTATGTTGTACCCGGGGAGGAATGGACCTGAAACCGGTCCACTGATCCGGGAGTCAAATATCGGATTCGGTATTCCTCGATGGATATTTCTGAACTTCCTCATGTCTCCGCGTTTACCATGAGAAGCTTGACTGGCAGGGGGTTTGGAGGATTCCATTATCCTAATGAAACCGAGGTGGGGTTTTACACCTATCAGTGTGCTTTGCTGTTTCAAGCTCTTATCCTCATCATTGGCGCAGTCATATATCCACTATGCGGCCCTGCCCAATAGAGGAGTCTCAGCGTCAAGGAGCATTGAGTCCGCATTTTACCGTGAAGCAGCATGCGCATCTGTCGCCGTGTGAGGAGCGTTCCTGGAACATTCTGATCCCGCTAGCGATTCCAAGGCGCAACGAACTCTTATCGCAATAATTAAGCATGGAGATAGGTAGATGAACAACAGATGGATCTCCATGAATTCCGAGTGTTGATGATGTCGTTGCAAGTGGTCTCTGCCGCCCGCCGTACCACCTCCAGGCCGATAAATTCCCCGGTTGCCAGATCAGCGATAATGCAGGGGCAGGGGTTTGGAATCTAAGCATCCCATCAACATCACACGCAAACTTCAGGAGTCGGAAACAGCGACCATCAACACCACACGACCCGACGACGACAACCAGCGCCCGACGACCAACGACCGACGACAACGACGACCTCGACACCGGACGACCTCGACGAATACACCTATTATATCGCCCATCCCGAATTATCAAAATCAGCGCCAAAGGACCAACCGACCGACCGATCTACCCCGACACCGCCCCGGGATACTGCGCAGGACTCCATACAAACACGATACCGATACGACAAAGACACGCGTAACTTATATACGACAGCTTCCACCATTACAGCAGCAGCAGCACCACCGCGCTTTAAAATCACTAGCTCGCCGCAACTTGCGCTAATACGGAGAGGCGCTTCCTTTTACGACCAGAAACTTGCGAATGCCAGATTGTGCATAGTGGAGACACGTTTTGATCAGCACGATGCCTATGGATGATGTACCATCATCCCCACCGACAGATCTGTCCACACCGGAACATGCCCTCGTATATTACAAGTCGCAATATGAACAGCTCGAACATGAACTAGCGGAATTCCAAGAATCTAGTAAGGAGCTGGAGGCGGAGCTTGAGAAGGATGTGGAGGCCGCAGAGAAGAGGGAACGAACGCTGCAGGAGAAGGCAGAGAGCTTGGGATTTGAGGTTGAGGAGTGGAAGGTACGTGGCATGCGCTGTTGTACCGCCCAGCAGTCGCCGTGGTACGATAGAAGTTGCCGATCTGTGGCTAACACGCTCGCAGACCAAATACAAGCAATCTAAGACAGAGGCGAACTCTGCGCAGAATACCTTGCAGAAAGAAATAACCACCCTGCGAGATTCAAACCGGACATTACAGCTGCGACTCCGTGATATCGAGGTACAAAACGATGATTTTGAACGGCAGGCTCGAAATACAACTTCGTCGCTCGAAGATCTGGAGTCAAAGTACAATGTTGGGATCGAGCGGGCTGTGATGATGGAGGAGGAGATCAAGATTGGTGAGAAGGAACGAGAGAATCTGAGAATCGAAACCCAGCGCTTGCGCGACGAGCTATCTGATCTGAAGATCGAAGCGGAGATTATGCAAGATAAACTACGCAAACGACAACTATCACCGATCGCAACAGATATCACTGCGCCCAGCTCCCCAGCGTTCGATGGAGAGCGTTCTCCAGCTTCTACTGCCTCGTCGCCGATGGTCACCACACCTCTGGACACCAAATCAGTTTCAACTGCGGATACAGTGTCTGAGACGCCTACACCGCCATCTCCACCTATGTCGGAGTCCTCTACTACTACCAAACCTGTCGCAAAAACACCCATGAACCATCCAAAGAGCAAACTGAAGCTTCCTTCTGGCGATTCTAGTACGACACCAAAACCTTCAACTCGAATCGCGTCAGGCACTTTGCGCAGCTCCTTCGGACCAACTGGACCAACAGCATCCTCTCGCATGAGGAATGCCACCCCGTCCGTCATCCGAAATGCTAGATCAAAAGCACCGGCCACCCGTGGCTTACCAAGTACTACTACTTCTACCTCCCTCACTCACATCCGTACTCTCACCGCACAAATGCAAAGACTGGAACAGCGGGTTCAGTCGGCAAGGTCCAAGCTTCCAGCACCGATTAATACCCCGCCACGCGCATCTCCACGAAACGGTTCCGCTTTGGGTCATAACCATATCCCTTCTAGTGTGACAATACGGAGTAGGAAACGGACCATCGGGAGCACAGCTAGTGTTTCTTCAATTGCAACGGACGATACCCCATCTACGAAGCATGTCAGCAGGCTATCTACGTCTGGAATCAGCCGTCTATCTTTCGGTCCCCTTCCAAGTCGCGACAATTCCGAGAGTAGGCCTAGCAGCAGAGCAAGTGCTAGCAGCTATGTCCGCCCAGACCGTCCTGTGAGCAGATCTGAACTCTCTCGGCCTGTTAGTAGAACCTCAATGAGCGGGTCGCGGACCCCATTGGGGCACTATTCCCAATCACAAATTGCCGAGTCTCGGAGACCGAGATCAAGCATTGGCGGTAGCTATCAAGCTTCACACGGACACGGCCATTCCCAAAGTGTATCCAATATCGATCTTGACGAAGACCGACAATTAGACTTCGCTACTCCAAACCGCCGGAGCACTTACGGTAAAGTGGACCTGGAAAATTCCTCCCTCCCAGCCCCTACTTCCTCCCTTCCTCGGCGGAAGAGTGGCGGGATTGCCATGGGGAGAAGGACGAGCAGCAGTGGTCAGTTAAGAGACGGAGATGGTAACGCTGCGGACGGTGCGATGAAGCCGCCTGGGCGACCGAGAAAGATTAGCGAGGTTGGAGAGACGTATTGAGTTTTCAAGTAAATAATTCTTTGCCGGCTATTATGGCTTGTATGCGACGATTGTTATGACTGCTTTAAATGGGCTTTGGCTTTGGGACTCGGTGGTTTGGGCATTGCACGGGGGCTATTGGCGTTGGGGCATGTATGATGCTTCAATTCAGGGATCCACGGATGGTTGGGAGGTTGCATTTTTCATTTGTCATAGGAGATGGTGAAGCGCGCGGTGCGGATGGGGGCGATGTATATCCAATACCAGGATAGTGGTAGTTCATTACAATCGAATATTGATTTAATGCTGAAGAAAGTAGCCCTTTGTTGGTTTATTAATCAAGGGATCGCATTCCAGACATTGAAATGTTAAACATACCAAGCCCGGAGCTCCCGTCAAGATGGTTGAGCCCCACTCCCTTACCTAGGTACCTAGGTACATGTACAGACCGAAGGAGTACACATAAGATATGGTCGCCGAGCATCAAAGTCACCTGCTATCCGCTAGCTGCAGAACATAGTTATTGTTGCACATCGATCATTGCGCCATTGGAAGGCTCTGTCGGGGAGTTGATCAAGGTCAGAGGCCTTGTTGGCCAGCTACCAACGGGAACATCCGCAAGCGCCCACCCTCAAAATCATAAGAAATGGATATGGAAATAAGGTCTGAAAGCCGAGGGAAATTAATTTGAAAGACTGCTTATCCTGCCTCAATATTTGTTGGTGGATACGTTACAAGGGAAACGAATTGAGCAGGTCGGCCATTGTGTTGTTGGCTCCTCGTGTGGAGGAGCAGGAGTGTGAGTGAGGCGCGGAAAGCCATCGTTTGCACCACCGACCTTCGCACCTCCTAAGTGCCACCAGAAAAAAGTTGTGCGACTTGTGAGACCAGAGCCCGAGAATGAGAAATACAGAAGCATTCTTCAGAGTCCCATGTTGCACACTGTCTTGAACCCCCACCAGCGCTGCAATTGAGACATCGACCGACTTGGCCTCGAGGCCTCCCACTAGCCCGGATGCTCATGGCTCGGGGGGTTTTGTTGCACGTCGCATTTTGAAGTCTAAAAATGTCCCAGGATATTCTTGGTCGTTGGAATCGTTGCGATCCTGGCCGCATGAAGAGCATCTGAATATAAATAGCTGGCGCCAGCGCTGAGGGCGTAGTATTGGAAGGATTCATGGATGCCCCCTCGCCGGCTTTCTCATTTGTCGCCCTGGTGCCTCATGAAGTAAGCAGCCAATTTCTGAAGCCAGAGAAGCGGTGGCTAGCTGCTAGCAATCGGTCATGGTCATGCGTTTAACGAAATGGACAAGTCATCATCACGGTCTAAAAGCACACTTTCCATGCGCAATGCCGGGGTGGCGAAGTGATGCTCTCTCAGGGCTCTCTCTGTCTCTCTCTTCTTGGTCTGGTTTCCAGGGGGCGTCGGCGCGGAACTCACGGTGGTCGCGGGTTCAACAGCGTTGGCGGCGCCACAGTGTGGCAGTGGGGCCTTTGAACCCAACAATAGTTCGGAGATAGTGTCGAACTCCCCTCCTTGCATTCCTGCTCCCCATTCCAGTTGATCTCCTGTTTTGGCAATCATCGACTTGGACGTTGGGGTATTTGCCCCAATGCCGATCCCCACAATCCCCAATCTCCAATAATCCCCTTGGCTAACAGTTGCAAATGCGACAAAACGTAAAACGTACTCTGAAAAACGTGCTGCTCCGCCGCCGCAGGCCCACAGGTCGGGAGTCGGGAGTCCGGGGCGTTGGAACTTGGCATATCAATCAATGACACTACTGCAGCGTAAGACTGTCACTCTGTTAGACGGATTCCCTCCCTGCGTCATGGCCGCTGGGCCTATGGTTCTGTTGACTGCTCAGAGTGCTGACAAGCTCCTCCTCGCATGGGCATGGGCATGGTGGGCTGCAATGATAATTTAATAATAATTGCTGGGGAGAGTAGGGAGGGAGAAAGATAGCAGTAGAGAGATTTAAGGCTGATTGATCTGAGAGGGAGACGGATATCATTCGGACGGTGTCAAGAAATGCAAGAGGTATAGGGATATATATACGGGAAGGAGAGGAATTGGGCTTTCATAAAGGCTTGTATGTAGTAGTACTTGTAGGACTTGTATATACTTCCATAGAAGGGTTGGGGAGAGAATGAATTGTTGTCGTCCATCATATTTTTTTGTCTCTGCGATAAATTGTCGATTAGCGGCCAGTCTAGGCCCGAAGCGGGAAAGGCCGCCTCAACGCGACGCTCGGTCACCGACCCCAAAACCAAAACGGGTGAGCGAGCTCAGGATCATGAAGGCGTATCTTATTTGGTAGTGTTCACTCGAGAATTAATTGAGGACCGAGAGACAACAACAACAACAGCCAGAATCCCGTCATCCACACAGGGCCCGCCAGCCACAGCACAGCCCTTCACAGATATACGTTAATAATATCTGATCGTCTCCCCGTCTTATTATCTCTGTCATACTATACTCTTACTCCTTTTGAAACTTCCCTCTTCTAGATTTGTTTTAATACCCGCAATTCGGCACCAGCCAGGGAGAGCTGTATACCTTCGCCGAACAAGTCTACTAGGCGCTGCTACGTTTCTTCAGTCTTGGGATTCCCGGTGCTCGAATCTTGGGTATTGGGAGTTTTCTGAGCGCGGGAACACTCGGATTTTACCACTGGCGACGGAATTGCTTTTGCTCGTCAGCAACGAGCTGTGTGAGATATCCCGACAATGACACAAGTCAATGGCACGGCGAAGCCGCATCCCAGCGGAACGGTGCCCATCATGAAAGCCCCAACTTCATACGCAGCGAAGCATAACCTGGCAGACCACTTCATCGGTGGGAACAAGCTAGAGAATGCCCCATCGGGTCCTGTGAAGGACTTCGTAGCTGCAAATGACGGCCACACCGTGATTACGAATGTTCGTCACCCTATTGAGAAACAGGCGGCTGGTGAAGCTTCACTCACTAACAGCTGATTAGGTCTTGATTGCCAACAATGGTATTGCAGCAGTCAAGGAGATTCGTTCGGTGCGAAAATGGGCCTACGAGACCTTCGGCGATGAGAAAGCGATACAATTTACTGTCATGGCGACGCCCGAAGATTTGCAGGCGAACGCAGATTATATCCGGATGGCAGATCAATACGTTGAGGTGCCAGGAGGAACGAACAACAACAACTATGCCAACGTTGAATTGATCGTGGATATTGCGGAGCGTATGGATGTACACGCCGTCTGGGCTGGATGGTAGGTCGATTCCTTTCCTCATGAGAGTAGTGGGGGGTGTAAGCTAACTCGGAATAGGGGCCATGCTTCAGAAAACCCAAAATTACCAGAGTCCCTCGCAGCATCACCGAACAAGATTGTATTTATTGGACCCCCAGGCTCGGCTATGCGATCGCTAGGAGACAAGATTTCATCTACGATTGTGGCACAACATGCTAAAGTTCCTTGCATTCCTTGGTCGGGAACCGGCGTCGATAAGGTCGAGGTTAATGAGCATGGCATTGTAACCGTTGAGGACGACATTTACATGAAGGGATGTGTGCAATCATGGCAAGAAGGTCTCGAAAAGGCGCAGGCTATCGGCTTCCCAGTCATGATCAAGGCTTCAGAAGGAGGTGGTGGCAAGGGAATTCGCAAAGCAGAGTCCGACGAGGGTTTTGAAGCCTTGTATAAAGCCGCTGCAAGCGAAATTCCTGGATCCCCCATTTTCATTATGAAGCTTGCAGGCAATGCACGGCATTTGGAAGTCCAGTTGCTAGCTGATGAGTACGGAAACAATATTTCTCTTTTCGGCAGAGATTGCTCGGTTCAGCGTCGGCATCAAAAGATTATCGAGGAGGCTCCGGTGACAATCGCAAAACCGGCAACTTTCCAGGCAATGGAGAAAGCTGCTGTCCGTCTCGGCCGTCTCGTGGGTTACGTTTCGGCTGGTACAGTCGAATACCTGTATTCCCATGCGGAAGACAAGTTCTACTTTTTGGAACTCAACCCTAGATTGCAGGTAGAGCATCCCACGACCGAGATGGTCAGCGGGGTGAACTTGCCAGCTGCACAACTTCAGATTGCCATGGGACTGCCATTACATCGCATCCGGGACATCAGAATATTATATGGGGCCGACCCGCACACTGCGACGGAAATCGACTTCGACTTTTCGAAGGAGGGCAGCTCACTTACACAACGACGACCTGCTCCTAAGGGCCATACGACAGCCTGTCGTATCACATCTGAAGATCCTGGAGAGGGGTTCAAGCCTTCAAGTGGTATGATGCACGAGTTGAACTTTAGGAGTAGTTCCAACGTCTGGGGTTACTTCTCTGTCGGAACTGCTGGTGGTATCCATAGCTTTTCTGACAGTCAGTTTGGCCACATCTTCGCTTACGGCGAGAACCGTTCGGCATCGAGGAAGCACATGGTTGTCGCTCTAAAGGAACTGAGTATTAGAGGTGATTTCAGAACCACCGTAGAGTATCTGATCAAGCTGCTGGAGACGCCTGCATTCGAAGACAACACAATTACCACTGGCTGGCTCGACGAACTTATTTCCAACAAGCTGACCGCAGAACGACCAGACCCTATACTAGCCGTTGTTTGCGGTGCTGTCTGTAAAGCGCACATTGCTTCCGAGGGATGTATTTCTGAATACCGAACGAGCTTGGAAAAGGGTCAAGTTCCTGCCAAGGATATCCTGAAAACTGTCTTCCCTATAGACTTCATCTATGACGGCCACCGATATAAGTTCACAGCAACTCGATCAAGTTTTGATAGCTACCATTTGTTCATCAATGGCTCTAAGTGTTCTATTGGTGTACGGGCTCTTAGCGACGGTGGTCTGCTGGTCCTGCTTGGTGGCCGAAGCCATAACGTCTACTGGAAGGAAGAAGTTGGAGCCACGCGTCTGAGCGTGGATAGCAAGACCTGCCTTCTGGAGCAAGAGAACGACCCTACCCAACTACGAACACCATCCCCAGGAAAGCTCGTGAAGTTCACCGTTGAGAATGGTGAGCATGTCAAGGCCGGTCAACCTTTTGCCGAAGTGGAGGTGATGAAGATGTATATGCCACTTCTTGCACAGGAAGACGGTATTGTGCAGTTCATCAAGCAGCCAGGAGCCACACTCGAAGCCGGAGATATTCTTGGTATACTTGCGCTAGACGACCCGTCTAGAGTCAAGCACGCGCAGCCCTTCCTTGGCCAGCTTCCAGACCTTGGTCCGCCTCAAGTCGTTGGCACAAAGCCCGCCCAACGATTTGTGCTCCTCCACGATATTCTGAAGAACATCCTCGACGGATTTGATAATCAAGTCATCATGGCCTCAAGTTTGAAGGAACTCATTGACGTTCTCCGCGACCCAGAACTTCCATACAGCGAATGGAATGCTCAATTCTCAGCCCTTCATGCTAGAATGCCCCAGCGCCTCGATGCAAATTTCACGCAGATTGTTGATCGCGCAAGATCGCGGAACGGCGAATTCCCTGCTAAAAACATCCAGAAGGCCCTAGCAAAGTTTCTCGACGAACATGTTGCGGCAAATGATGTTGACCTTCTCAAAACCACTCTTGCACCACTGATCGAAGTACTTGATCGATATGCTGAAGGCCAGAAGGTTCACGAGTTTGAAGTCCTCTCTGGTCTTCTCGACCAGTATGCGTCTGTTGAAAGATTATTCTCTGGTAGAAGTTCCCGCGACGAAGAGGTCATCCTGAAGCTCAGAGATGAGAACAAGGATGATATGATCAAGGTCATTCAAACTGTGCTTTCTCACAGCAAAATCGGTGCTAAGAACAATCTCATTCTGGCTATTCTCGAAGAATACAGACCCAATAAGCCGAACGCTGGCAACGTTGCCAAGTATTTCCGCTCAGCTCTGAAGAAACTTACAGAATTGGAGTCAAGACAGACTGGAAAGGTTGCTTTGAAAGCTCGAGAGGTCCTCATTCAATGCGCTTTGCCATCATTGAAAGAGCGTGCTGGCCAGATGGAACATATTCTACGCTCGTCAGTTGTCGAATCAAGATATGGTGAGACGGGCTGGGAGCATCGGGAGCCGGATTTGGAGGTCCTCAAAGAAGTTGTAGACTCCAAGTATACCGTCTTCGACGTGCTGCCTACATTCTTTGGGCACCAGGATCCTTGGGTATCCCTCGCTGCTCTGGAAGTTTACATCCGAAGGGCGTACCGTGCATATTCCCTCAAGAAAATCGAATATCACAACGAGTCCACGGAGCCTCCCTTCATTGTCTCATGGGACTTCGTCCTCCGCAAGGTTGGCGTATCTGAGTATGGTATGCCCATCCAGTCTTCGGCGCCATCTACACCCGCAACTCCTTCCTACGAAAGCGGCAATCCATTTAAGCGGATCAGCTCCATCAGTGATATGTCATACCTCGTCAACCAGACCGACCATGAGCCAACAAGAAAGGGTGTCATTGTTCCTGTTCAGTACCTGGATGAGGCTGAAGAATATTTGATGCGCGCTCTCGAAGCCCTGCCACTTGTAGGAGCCAAGAAACGTCCTCAACCCAAAAATGGCCTGATGCCCGAACTAGGTGGCAAGCGAAAGCCCACTCTTAAGATTGAGAGCAACGACGAACTCACTGCAGTTTGCAATGTGGCCGTCCGCGATGCCGAAAGTCTTGATGATAATGAGACGCTCATCAGAATCGGTGCTATCGTGAAAGACTACAAAGAAGAGCTTTTGGCCCGTCGCATTCGACGGTTGACATTCATCTGTGGCCACAAGGATGGGTCATACCCAGGATATTTCACCTTCAGAGGCCCCACATACGAGGAAGACCAAAGCATCCGTCATATCGAGCCTGCGTTGGCTTTCCAGCTTGAGTTAGGAAGACTGTCCAAATTCAGGATCAAGCCAGTTTTCACCGAAAACCGCAATATCCACATCTACGAAGCCGTTGGCAAGGAAGTGGAGGGTGATAAGCGATACTTCACACGTGCCGTTGTTCGTCCTGGAAGATTAAGGGATGAGATTCCAACTGCCGAGTATCTGATTTCCGAATCAGACAGACTCATGAACGATATCTTGGATGCCTTAGAGATCATTGGTAACAACAACTCCGATCTTAACCATATCTTCATCAATTTCTCGCCAGTCTTCCCTCTTCAACCACCTGAGGTGGAGAAAGCTCTCGGCGGGTTTTTGGAACGCTTCGGTCGGCGTCTTTGGCGCCTTCGCGTTACCGGTGCTGAGATCCGTATCATCTGCAATGATCCTGTCACAGGCCTGCCATATCCACTTCGTGTCGTCATCTTCAATACTTCAGGATATGTTATCCAAGTCGAGATGTATGCCGAGCGCAAATCTGAGAAGGGTGGAGAATGGGTCTTCCACAGCATTGGTGGTACCACCAAGGTTGGATCTATGCATTTGAGACCCGTTAGCACACCATATCCCACCAAAGAGTGGCTGCAACCAAAGCGGTACAAGGCCCATCTCATGGGAACTCAGTACGTCTACGACTTCCCTGAGCTGTTCAGACAATCCATCCAAAATAGCTGGGCGAAGGCTGTTAGCAAGCATACATCTTTGGCCGACAAACAACCAGCCATTGGCGAATGTATTGATTATAGTGAGCTTGTACTGGATGACCGGGACAATCTCGCTGAAGTCTTCCGTGAGCCAGGTACCAACACTCATGGCATGGTCGGTTGGATTGTCACAGCCAGGACACCCGAGTATCCTCGTGGGCGCAAGTTCGTCATTGTTGCCAATGATATCACATTTAAGATCGGTAGTTTTGGACCCAAAGAGGACCAATTCTTCAACAAATGTACAGAATTGGCAAGGAAACTCGGCATACCGCGCATCTACCTATCCGCTAACTCCGGTGCTCGTATTGGTATGGCAGAGGAGCTCATTCCCCACTTCAATGTTGCTTGGAATGATCCTGATAAGCCTGAGTCTGGTTTCAAGTATCTTTACCTGACTGCCGCGGCCAAGAAGCGATTCGAAGATGGCAAGTCCAAGGATGTCATTACTGAGGAGATTGTTGAGGATGGTCAGACGAGACACAAAATCACCACCATTATCGGTGCGGAAGATGGTCTCGGAGTTGAATGCTTGAAGGGCTCTGGCTTAATCGCAGGCGCTACTAGCAGAGCGTACGAGGATATCTTCACCATCACCCTAGTGACATGTCGATCAGTTGGTATTGGTGCCTATTTGGTCCGTTTGGGCCAGCGTGCGATCCAGATCGAAGGCCAACCAATCATCTTGACTGGTGCGCCTGCTATTAACAAGCTCCTCGGCCGCGAAGTGTACACTTCCAACCTTCAACTTGGTGGCACCCAGATCATGTACAAGAATGGTGTTTCGCATATGACGGCTACTGACGACTTCGAGGGTGTATCTAAGATCGTTGAGTGGCTAGCTTATGTTCCCGACAAGAAAAACAACCCTCTTCCCATCGGCCCAGCTGTTGACTCATGGGATCGCGATATTGTCTATACTCCATCTCCTAGACAGGCATATGATGTGAGGTGGCTGATTGCTGGCAAGGACGACGAGGAAGGCTATATGCCTGGTCTTTTCGACAGAGATTCCTTTGTTGAGACTCTAGGCGGCTGGGCAAAGACTGTTGTTGTCGGCCGGGCTCGCCTAGGTGGTATTCCCATGGGTGTTATTGGTGTCGAGACTCGATCAGTCGAGAATATTACTCCTGCTGATCCCGCCAACCCGGATTCCATCGAGCAGATTACCAATGAGGCTGGTGGCGTCTGGTACCCCAACTCGGCTTTCAAGACCGCGCAAGCCATCAAAGATTTCAACAATGGTGAGCAATTGCCATTGATGATCCTGGCCAACTGGAGAGGTTTCTCTGGTGGACAGCGTGATATGTACAATGAAGTCCTCAAGTATGGCTCGTACATCGTGGACGCTCTTTGCAAGTACGAACAGCCAGTCTTCATCTACATCCCGCCTTTCGGAGAACTGCGTGGTGGTTCATGGGTAAGTTTTCCCCTTCTAAAATACGTTGACTTAACTAACATTTCTAGGTTGTTGTTGATCCTACCATTAACCCAGACTACATGGAAATGTATGCCGACGAGGATGGTCGTGGTGGTGTTCTGGAGCCCGAGGGTATTGTCAACATCAAGTATCGCCGGGAAAAGCAGCTTGAGACAATGGCACGCCTAGATCCCGAGTACGCCTCCCTTCGCAAACAGTTGGCCGACAAATCCTTGAGCCAAAATGAAATGAACGACGTCAAGGCCAGGGTCACCGAACGGGAACAACTTCTGCTACCAGTTTATACCCAAATTTCTCTACAATTCGCCGATCTCCATGACCGAGCTGGGCGAATGAAGGCCAAGGACGTTATCAGAATGCCACTCAAGTGGACTGAGGCTCGTAGATTCTTCTACTGGCGCGTCCGCCGTCGTGTGAATGAGGAGTACATTCTTAAGCGCATGTCTACCGCTTCCAAGAACCCGCTCTCATCAAGGACCCGCCACCTGGAGATCCTTGCGGCTTGGACTGGTATTCCCAACTTCCCAGAAGCGGACCGAGATGTGGCTATGTGGTATGAAGAGAATAGAAAGACGGTCCACGAGAAGGTTGACCTGATGAAGACGGAGGGTGTTGCATTCGATGTTGCGAACCTCCTGAGAAGCAATAGCAAGGGTGGCTTGAAGGGTGTGCAGCAGGTCTTGAGCATGTTGCCTGCTAATGAGCGTGAGGAGGCGCTGAGGTTCTTGAGCTCGACTTAGATTATTTATTTTCTTTCCTTGGGTTTCCGGGAACACATTGTAGCGTGTAGTTTGTATCGGCATCATGTAAATTGCGGCATAGGCGTTGTTTGATTCTAAATGTAACATTTATCATTCGTCTACAGTTAATAGATAGAACTTCACATATGGTTCGCTTGCTCGTCAGTGCAGCAGTGCTTCGTGAACATCAATCCAAGCGTTCGTTGCTCCCCCACAAATCCGAGCTCAAAAATTTTCCGGACCTTACGTTCCTATGCTATAGAACGTCGCCGTCGCATGACTTCTATAGTGCCTTGGAGCTCTTGACACATGCCTGATCGACATGGAAGTCCCAATCGGGCTCGATCAAATTTCGGTCCACACCTTTTGAGCTCCCTCCCTATGCACTAAATAATAACATCACGACATCCGCCAACGGTGCCGGTGAGATTCCGTCCCAAGTCTCCGGCGCGGATTGTCTCTCGTAAATTAGATTGGCCGTGCTTCCCGTCTCAAAATGAGCGTTTCCCTGCTGTCGATCTTGAAGATTTGAGGATCCGAGATCCGGGGCGCACAGACGACGACACCTCATCAGTGGTTACTCTTCTCCAGAAATCGCATTTTCAGTTGACAATTTTACATAGATGATAGTATCGGCTTCATAGTGTATTCAAGTCAAGCAACAGGAAAAGGCGTGTTTTCTTCCGCAAGGTTTGTGGATCTTTTGCGAGTGTTATCAGATGCCGGTAGACGAGCGTCCACTTCATAAGGACTACAACATCATGCTTGCGTTCATCTGAAAACCCTGATAAGATCCCGATCTATACCCCGCCGTCTCAATACGCCGATCACCGAAGATGAAAGTAAGCTGGGGTGGGGTATTATTGCAAGACCAGCTTCGAGACCCGGCGAACCATTCTGTATTCAGTTATGCCAGTCCCCAGATGATATTGCTTGCCATGCACCTTGCAGGTAACTTTTCTGCCCTGGGGTCCTATTTCATCCTTTTATCCCTCTGCCTCCCGAGTGGATTTCTTTTTTCGGTTTCTTCCTCCTTACCAGCTCACCATGTCTTTGGACGTTATCACTTTCATTGAACCTTGGTGTTGTTCGTTGATGTTTTGAAGCTTTTTGCTGCCGTTTACTATTCTAGGGGAGGAGCTGTTCTTTTTGGCATATCTCATCAGCACTTTTTTGGCTGAGCACGCTCTTTTGAACCTTTAAAAATCCCTCGGGATTTGCCTTTTAATATTCTTTTGGTGCCGGACACATTCTTTTGATACTATTTACTTTGTTTTACACATGATACCAACAACGTATTCGAGTTTCTACCGGCTGGAAACGCAGGCCCCCCGGGAGTTTTTGATAACGCAATTGGATGTCATCTTCGAGGAGGAGGCGAGATGGAGGAGGTGATGGAAATCCAGACGAGGATGGGAGTGATTATAGGAATTTCCCGCCGTCACCGTTACTTCCGCCATCACCTTTACTACCACCATATCCGCCCTTCAATTGCTCATATCTCCCCGGCAGTCCCTGCCAAGAATCAAGAAATGGAACGACGGTGACTTCAGTCATCACGATCTCGAGTTTCACAACAATTATAACATCCACCATATCTTCAAACGTCATTTCTACATCCACGGAAATTAGCTATTCTGTGACCCCAATTATTATACCACCCGACGCCTCGATGACGGCCAATCTCGCTGCCGAAACATCACTTTTTGAGGACGCCGCTGCCTTAACAAGGACCAATACCACCGCAACTGTAGCTCTAGGAATTATAGCCATTCTCCTCATAATCGGAATATCCATCTTCTTCTTCATTTATATCAGGCGGCGGCGGCGCTCTCAAGACAACAACGACGGAGAATCACCGCCCTTAACATCGTTAGGGCCCAATAGGCCACCTCGTCCTCAATCATTCCGCCCAACAACCTCACGATCCATCCTGGACGAACGACCGGCAACATCATTATCCATGGGCCCTCGACCTGCTGGTTATGGCGGCCTAGCTCTAAAATCACACCCCGTTAATGTTTCTCGGCCAAAGGTGGCTAAACGCTCATCTTCAGCTCCGAATCTTAAACCGCAGGATCGACCACCTCGAATTCCTACATTAAGAGGGATTCCGGCTATCAATATTATGCCCACAGTGCATGATCCGGATTCTCGGCCCGGCACATCTAGCAGTGCAGCTAGAATGCCTATGTATCATGAGGCCCTGCAACAAGAGGCTCAGAGGGAGAGGGAGAGACTTGAGAAGGAGAGTGCAGGGAGATTGGGTTTGCCTGTTATTGAGAGGAAGAGGGAGAGTTCAGACACGGTTGGGAGTGAGATGGTGAGGTTTGCTGGCCCAGGGAATGGCGGGAAGAGGGAGGGAGTGTTGCATAGTACAAGAGCAAGTTCGGGAGTGTTCCCGGAGGGGGATGAGAAGGATGAGGAACGCAATTGGAGTAGTAGAGGCAGTGTTGGGAGTACCGATGATGATGGAGGAAATAAGGAAGAGGAGGGGAGGAAGGGCGACGAGAAAAAGCAAGAGCATGAAAAGCTCGGATGATAGATTATAAGTGAGCTGAGATGTTATAGTTAGATAGACTAATAATGTATGATTATACCCAAGACAGCTGATGAGATGGGCTGCCCCCTGTAAACCAAGCTCGTCCAAACCCCTGATTTACTCCATACTATTTCTAATTTATCTCACTAATACCATCCATCCTATTCTAACTATAGTCGATTGCTAACTTTTCGCTTCTTTTGATAGTTGGCGGCAAGGGGGAAATGTTGGGTTTGGTTTGTGGGGACGTCAGACCTTCTTGGTATAATTCTCAAAATTTCAATTTGCTATCTATCTACAGGTACAAAATGGGTTCCCAACTCCAAACAAACGCACCATGCCAACAATATCATCCATTCCATTATCATGTCCTGACCTCATGAAATTTCGTATCCGGTAACAGGGTCCTTAACAAATGCATACAATTTAGTTTCCGTCATCACTCAAGCTATCCCTCCTACCACGTCGATAACCGCCACCACCGGCACGCTTCTTCCTCCTCTCATCCGCATATTCGCTCCCGGCGGTACTGCTCAAGCCAGGAATGGGGTGATGATAACTCTTCGTGCCCACATCGCTGCTAACGGCACTGCCGATGTCCGACTCAGCATAATAGCCTCCAGGGGGCTTCTTTGTAGGGCTACGGCTAGCACGTCTCATCTCCCGCTCCTCTCTCCTGATCCTTCTCTCCTCTGCCAAGGATCCATCGACGGTACTATCATCGCCAACCTTGAAACTAAAGTCACGGCGCTGGGCTGCACGACCTTTCTCCTGCAACTTTCTGGCTTCGGATTTAATATGATTCTCGTCCTCCACTGTTGATGTGCCGCCTGACGCACGGCTCCAGAAGTTACTGCCCCCGCTACCGCCGGCACTGGTGCTGACGACCTTGCGAATGCCACCCGTTCCGCCGGTATACGTATCATTGCGTTGTTTTTTAATTTTAGTAGGGGTAGTTGTGGGGGTCCTTTCGCGGTTGGAAAGAAGGTCGCTAGCAGCTGAGGTAGAATTGTCGTTGGTGGAACCGTCCCATGCACTTCCATCAGATTCCTTGTTGATCCCGCCAACACGAGCAGGTCTCTCATGGCGATAAGCCCTCATGGCATCCTCGACAGAAGGAAGGACCTCCTCCTCTTGAATCATCTCCGTATTCTCCGTCATCTCACTAGCCAAATCGCCGCCCCGGAGACGGCCCTGCTTCTTCTTCTTATCCTTCCTACCAAGCTTCCACCTCGACTTCGTTTCGGTAACCACCGTCTCAGTGCCTAAAGCGCTCCCAGTCATCTCACTGCTCTCCTCATCAAAATCCTTATAACGTTTTCCCCTCCCCTTCCCACCCTTCTTCCGACGTCCCCACATGCTCCTTTTCTCGTCATTCTCCCCATGCACGACACTTCCCCCTCCCAAATCCGTACTCTCGGTCGCACCACTAAGCGTCGTGCCGTTAGGCCCCTTCCGCCTTAGAACAGTACTCTTGTAATCATCCCAATCGTTCTCCTTGAAGTAAAATCCACCGTTCTTAGCCCAGAAGAAGAACCATATTCCTGTGACGACGAGGCCGACACCGATTATACCAAACAAGGCAAAGATTGCGTTGTTGGGGATGGAGGTTGGTGGGGTTACGCCTGCACCTGGATCGACATTCCGGCGGACGAGGTTCTCTGCTCGTGCGGCAAGCCGGGCGAGTTTGGGTGATACGGATGGGGTGGTTGGTAATGGAGTGCGCTTGAGGAATGTGTTTAGATAGCTTCTGATGCTGCGGCTATCTGGCAGCGGCGCCATAGTGGGTGTGGAATCCGGGGTTGCTTATGGTGATACCAGACTTGAAGTGGAGATTTCGATGATTTCGATGTATGTATATGTTGGGTTGATCAGCGATGAATTTGAGGGCGAGAAACACCAGGTAAGATGGGAACTGTTGCTGTAACAACCTGGAAGGAGGTTGGGGTTTGTTTAGTGAAGGGGGCAAATCCGTCACCACAGCAACCCCCCGCCAAATTTAGCTCACCGGTGTGGCGCGGCCCCTCCCGCGATACCCGTACTGTGCATACTCGGTACAATGCACATTGTAATCTGTAGGTACGGTACCAGCGATTTGGGCAGTACATATGGACTTGAAAAGACAACTCCAAGGTCCGAATATTAGGGAAGACCTCAACATCTAACAAACGGCCCCTTGCCAGTTCAAGGCCGGACCAACTGCCTGCCACATGGGTATTTTAGGGCTTCCTGCCCATTTATCCTCCATCACGTTTCCGGGTTTGAGAGAAGGGAGAAATATTTCTTATTTTCCATAGTCAATGATAGAATCTAGTACCAACTCCTCAAACGTTAATTTACCAGGAGCAAATCTTTGTTTGTACGAATCGTCGCTGTTAGGTTCAAGATGTTGGCTGGTTACCGCGACTGGGGGAGCACTGCATCGTTATATAATGCTTATCAACCGCATTCGTATTTTTGGTCCGTGGTGGTAAACTTTTAATAGATACCAAAAGACTAAAATACTACTATTTATAACTAATTTATTTACTTTTAATGGCATATTAATTGCGTTATGGGCCCCCCTTATTGCAGTCAGGTGGTGGAAAATGAGAGTCAGGCACATTTAATGTTAGGCGTGTGAGAAAGTCGGCAAATTGGTAGATTTTGGTGTCCCGGGTAACTTTCCTACTATTTGCTTCGGTACCCAAACAGCGTAAAGTCAATACATCCCTTAGGGCTACTCTAGACCAGAGGGATAGAGCCGTATTTTTCAGTCCTGGTATCCGTATCACCTCGAGAAAATTTAGCCAAAGTCACCAGTTGTTACTAGTACTTGATGCTTGGTTAACCTTCCCAGGCCAGGGCGAACGTGGCAGCCATCTCCGGGTCGAGCTGTAGGGCTGGCGCGTAATCGCCGCGTAAACTGCACGGCGACATTCATTGCGCGGATAACATCCGCCTCGTTCCATTGAAGCGCCCCCGGGCGGACGACGAGAAAGTCCACAAAGGCGGTTCCTGGCGCTGCGTTGGCGACAATGCCTTGGACGCCGCAGATCGCGGCCCCAAGACCGTCAGCGCGCGCCCGGAACTTCGAGTTCGAACCCAAGACCTGCCCGAAATTGTGGCCCGCCGGGCACTCTGTGCGTCGATGGATGAACTCATTCATACGACCTGCGAGGTCTGGAGACAGCAATATCACCACGACTCCTAGTACGTGGTCGCCCGCCGTATCGGTAAATGTAGTCACCGCAGGTGTAGCCGTCATAGGTCAGTCGTTAGCCACTCCTCGTTTTGTAGGATGTCGAAAGAAGATGCGGTATAACTTATAAGTCTGAGACTGGTGGTTGCTTACCCCGTCACAGCTGTAGGGTCCGGTTTGGGCGTAATCGTGAGAGCCGGCGTGGGGGACTCCATGACCACCGCGACGGTTGCGGCTGATATAGCTGTAGCTGCTTCATTGATCTGAGCTGGCCGGATATGGATGGGCATTGGCGGTGGTTGCCTCTCGTGGTGCCAGTAAGCGATCAGTACGGAAAGGAGCGCAGCCAAACCGGCAGTTGCAATGACAACGAATCTCTCCGTAAGAGTGTCTGCGCGACTGTCTACCTCGGTTTTTGGGTTGGTGAAAACATCTTTGACACTCTGAAAGCACTGGTTGTTGAGCTCCTAACAATTAGAATTTCCGTGGCTTTTTTTATGATAGCCTACAGATCGGGCGAGATGAACACGTTAACCCCCCCCCCAATTTGGCCCAGGAGGTACATTATATGCGATGACCGAACCGCTCAATGTAGGAGTGCTACTCTAGAGGTTGGTGAGCCTGGATTTAGAGACATGCTAAGGCCATGAAGCTGACCACAGATCTCGTGTACTGATTAATATCTCCGACCGAATATGTAGCAGGCTCTGCTATAGAGACAGCGAGTAAGACCAAGAGCAAACATAAACAGGAAGTTTGGCGCATAGTTATCGCCATCCAGTAACTACCAAAGCTTTTGAAAAAAAGTCCGTTGACTAACTAGTAACTACGTTGTATGTGTAGTAGAACCGTCAAACGAAAAGGGAACGTCACCAACACAATTCAAAGGATGGAGAAGTAGACTAGAACGCATGAACCAACTAATATTTAATCCTACAGCGACGACAATAGAGACAGGTAAGCCAGTAAATAGTAGGCACTACCCGGAAAGTATCTCATATATTTCCATCTGGCCTTTCGATTTGGCAATCTCAGCGAGAGTCTCGCCACTAATCAACTTCGTTCGGTCCGCCCCACGCTCTACCAAGAGTTGTACTCGCTCTTTGTTCCCCATCCGTGCAGCCATATAGACCGGTCCGCACCAGTTCTGAGAAGGTGCATTAACATCCATTCCATGGTCTAGGAGAAACTTTATAATTGGGACCCCACCGCCTCCATTGCTTGGCCTACAACCGATGGCATTATATAATGCTCGCGGATCGAGCTCTGCGCCATATGATATAAGAAGCTCGAGAACGGTAATTGAAGTATGCAAAGCCGCTGTTGCAAGCGGCGTGACGCCCCTCTCACCGGGTAGATTGGGGTCAGCACCATGCTCTAGAAACCATTTTGTGCACGCCACATCACGGACTACGAGCCTTTTAGAGGGTTAGTAAACGTGCACAGCCATCAAAGTGCAATGGCCATATTTACCTCAATCCGGGGTTTTCGAATTCCGTGGAGTTAATATCCCAGCCATGGTTCACGAATTGTTGGAAGACGGCAGTGCTCTTACTAAGAGCGGCAGCGTAGAAGGCATTTTTAGTAATGTGAGCACCGTGTGACAGGAGCAGGTCTACGGCGTCGCCATGGCCGGCCTCAGCAGCACATGAGAGCGCCTGATCAAGTTCGTTTTGTGAAGTGTTCGGATTGGAGTCGAGATGTTCCTTGATCAGATTGGGATTACCCCCAGAGCAAGCCCCCTTAAGGCTGAAACACGCCATACTTGAACAACCTGAGGTGTTTGATGCTGGTCGCCACTTCCAAGGTGCGAGGTGTGGCCTCAGATATCTATATTATGCCCGCGGACTGGCGATTACTGGCCGCCCCCACACTACCAACAACAGCACAACAAGTGGTTAGCGGGGCACCTATGCGGGATATGTTTCAAATTTCCAACATAACCAGCTATTTTGGGTCCCTTATCGATCTTGTAGTAGCACCGCAGCCCTCGTTGTTATAATCTGGTCTAGTGAAATATCTACAGCGAATTAGACCGCCGGATCCTTTCGATGTTGGTACCCAGGGTTCGACGTTGGAGGATTCGGTAACCAACCTTCTGGCATATTTGAGATTCAGTTGAAGGATGACCCAAACCTTAGAGGGTAGGAATGGCCTCTCAATGTTTGGTCCACGCAGCTAAATACCGAGAGATCCCCCATAAACTGATTTGATAATTAGGTAGGTATCAGCTGCATCTCTACCAAAAGGCGATAGCATTATACCTAACGCAAGTTCCATCGGAAACATGAGATTTTCGTTGTTACTCTCAGTCCTCGCAGCCTTCCAGGTATATACCCACATTGTCGTTCGTACGTGCAATGAAACCTTGACAGATGGTGACAAACTGACCATAACCAGGCTATGGCGGAGATGACAGCACCCCTAGTTCCCTGGGAAGCCGAGGGGGTCATCTTAGTCTCAACCCACGTATCTCCGGACTATCTCACTATGAAAAACGAGCTACCCGCTCCAAGTGTTCCGCCCAGTATACAATGGGAATACAAAGCGCGAGTTCACTAAGATATTTGAGCCAAGGTTCACGCTATGGCGACGTACCATGGTTTTCCCCGACGGCGACGACATGATGAGCTTCATGAGAAACGAACTAGATGACCCTTCGCGAAGACCCGTCATCTGGGAGAAGCATATCATGGGCCAGCCTCAGGATATGGCAACGGCCGATTTCGCCTCATTCAAAGAGGAGAATAAGGCTTTCGGCTTTGGCACTGGTGGGCTGTGCGGCTGCACTGTGCTAGTCATAATTAGCGAAAGGGGTGTTTACATTGCCCACTACAGGGAGAACATCTCATTCACCCCGATGATATTTGGAAACTAAAATATGGGAATGACAACAAGCCTTCCAAATGACAGTGATCAAGGGTTTGACAGAGGGGGTAGAGGCCGTTGGGATGAGATCAAGTCTACAGTAGGCGGGCTCATCCCTGAGCTGAAAGAAGAGGACCGATGGGACGAAATCAAGTAAGTCGCACTTGAAAGCGGTAATGAGGAGTGCCTAACGACAGCAAGGGGAAACTCCTTTTCAAATTTGACCCAGAACACGAGAACAAAAAGAAAGCAGCGTTGTGGATCGAAAGTAATCCAGTTCCGGTATATGATCACGAGTGGACTGGAAGAGGGGGAGGAAAAAGGATAGACAAAGAAGGGAAAATAAGATGTGTTATGAATCGCCCAATTGTTAGAGCGTGAAAAGGAGTTGAGTGTTTTAAATGTTTTTAGTAATTTAAGTAATTTAGATATTTCAAATGTTTTGAATAATTTAAATATTTTAGATATTTTAGATAATTTAGACGATTTGAATATTTTAAATATTTTGAGTAATTTTAATATTTTGAATGTTTTAGACGATTTGAATGATTTGGATAATTTGAATAGTTGAAAGGTGCCCAAGAGTTAAAAAGTGAAAGTAACGAACTTCGCTCCGGGACTTGTTGATCCGGTTTTCCACCACGCAAGTAGTAAGGTACAGTAGAATTGTAGGCAGTACAATCTACGTCGGGCCTCTCGGCAGCCAGAATCGCATGACTTGTAGGTCAACATCTTGCCTTATTAGGTAGGCACTGTGGAGCGGGCATATAACTCCATAGGTAGATTAGCCGAATTACCCCTATATAGTATACCTAGTATGCTACTACCTTAGGCACCACCTAGATTAATATTAGTTAAAATCTTTGATTCTCGAAGACGAGTTTCTCTCCTAAACTAATACAACTCTTTTCTCTCATGCTTACTCGGACTTCCTATTAAAGTAAATCTGTGCCTCAGGTATTGTAGGTATATACAGTACCTGTGACGATTATAACGTCACCTGACTATTGCCAATACCCCCGCATGCCCCTTACTGCTCGGCCATTCTTGCGACTACCTAGGTAGGTAGCTCAGGAATGCTCTGCACATGGCCTGCCAGCCTGTATATTTACCGTCAAGTCTCTATCCATATCTATCTTCTTCTCTCCATAGCTTTAAATCCTCGTACGTAGGCCAATTCATACAGGTTCAGGACAGTACGCCTTCATAGTCTTATCCTTAACACACTTGTACTTGCCGTCACATTACCATCTTTAGATATCAGGACCGGACAAAGTTTTAGGGTCGGGTGGCGGGATATCCGCAATAGCCCTCTGAATGAACTTTGGAGTCTCTTCTAATGCCAAAATAAGTCCGTTCTTTGCGGCCATTTTACTCCGTCTATGGGCTTGGTCGGCGAATTGTTCCAACGACGGCGGACCGTGGCGAAGAAGGCAATCTAGTACCGTTGTATGATGGTTTAGTGCGATACAGACACGATTCTTTAGGATGTTCAGCTGCATTCTAAATATCGGGTGTTTTAACAAGAAATTTGTAGTTGTGGCATGCCCATACTTGACCACATCTTCGAGAGCCACCACCAATTCCAGAGGAGGTGCTTCAAGGTTCGAGAAATCGATGGCATGCCAAAGCCAAAGGAGAAATTTAACAACTTACTCACCCTCAATTTTGCAAGCGGCTACGAAAATCTTGCTTTGTAGTTCGCCACCCATACACGCTCTTCTTGTGGTAGCACCACCTCGATATAGGTTTCGAAAAGCAATCTTGCTATAGGATCCTTAGCTACGTGGTGCAACCCCAATTTTGAATAACCATCGAGATTTTCAGGCAATAACTGGAAAGAGACCAAAGAGAGCACTGCGGAAGAGGCCATTTGGACATGGCTTCCACAATCACGCTGACTTGTTGTCGGCGGTCTTTGGGCGAGACAAGGGCGGTATGATTAATTTATTATGACCTTGCGGATGGCTCGAAAAGTATCAAATAATCAGCACTGGCCACTGTAAGTGCTCTCAAAGCCCAATCATGATCAACACAAAGATCCTCTGCTTCAGCCTTCGCCAAGAATTCTTTGATAGTGTGGTGAAGTAACTGAACCGTGTCTGTGGCTTGGACCCAAGGTTACTCTGGAGCCTCGTTGATCGAGTCGTGAAATCCAGTCTTGATAAGTTTAATAAAAGGACCACAATTTCCAAGATTGCCGTTCGAAACTCATCCCAGAATGGGCATTGTACCACATGATCCCTAGAATCCACCACTTCTCCGAAGTCCTTGTATTTCTCACCTATGGGAGCTGCCAGCGCCTTGCTGAGTTCCACGATTGTCAAAGCTCTCTCGGAATAGGCAGCCCATAGGAGATGCTTCTGCGTCTTCTTCATGTCAATACCACCATCCCGATTCCGCTGTTGAAGGTCTCTCAGAATGAAGATGTAAAACTGATGAAGATCCTTTGCAGGTGCCGAACTGTCTGATGTAATTCCTTGAATCTATAAAGCTTCCGGCCAACCATAGACTTCAATTCCGCGAGGATTAGGGTGACCCACAACACAACGCCACGCGCATTATCACTCCGATATGCTTCAATACCATCCAGCCCCTTTTATTCCAACTGCGTCTCATCCGTCTGTGCGTTGATTCCTGCTTGAGCCTGCACCACAAGCGCACTTTGGATTGCAATAGCGGTCCCCCTGGACTTGTGTCAAATTTCTCATCTTGATTGAAGGTTTTGGTAGCGGCGTTTTTGCGCCTACTCTCGGGCGAGTGGCTGACATCATATGTTTCCGAAGCTATATAAAAGTCCTAGCCCTTCACTGCTGTCTGTGCCCATAAAGTCATCTCTGTCCCACGCGCCAATTTTCAACTGTTCTCGAGCAAGAAACCTCTACCCATCAATTATCGTCCTCGAACCACACCAAATTATCGAACCCTCAAATTAATATTAGTACACCTAGATCATACTTCTAAAATGCCGGTGTTGGCTGTCCAGGGCTTCAGGATGCTGTGCGACGACCTTAGTAATTTCCTCATCGGCAACGGGCTGTCAAACGTTTTTGACACAGATATGGAACCTCTGAGAGGGTACGATGATGGGGTTTCCGCAGATGAAGAAGAGGAGATTGTAACGGTGTTTAGACGGAAGGGCATAGACTGCAACCTCAAAATTGTGCTGCCCTGGGTCGACGTCGACTGGACTTTCGACCCCTCGACATGGGTCTTCGTTTGCTTCCACTGGGTTTACCTTCTCTCTAATAAGAGGATCGATAACGAACTGGACAAGCCAGTCCCCGCGTCCTTTGAGCATCTCCGTCAGGTGCTCCAGGTCCAATCGCCTATCTGCCAGTACCTCTTAAACACTAATAAATCGAGTGATTGGAATTCTGATGGGCTCGATGAGGAGCTAAATAAGGTAAGCAACTCCTCCCTTAAGAGAATGTTTCGTTCTGAACCAACATACGATGCAGATTCCGACTTGCGATAAGTGCGGTCTAATATTTACCACCGACAACTCCGGAGATTCTCCGCGCAGAGCAAGGTATCAGCACATGGGCAAAGTTCACGGCAAAGCGGGAAGTTGGCCACTTCCTGACAACATTTGAAGGAGGCTTAGTGTTACAGGAGACGAACCGAGTACTCCTGACTAATCGACCCGTAGATGTACATACTTATTGAGGCGGCCTGGACTGCTGAAATTTGAGGAGATCTTTTGAGCATTAGAGGGTTTATAGGGACTATATCAGTGTTAGAAACAGAAGCCATGGATATTAATCTACATCTACTAATGACACTATCGATGCTACATAATATGATTCTAGAGAGTGTTCCCAATACAGCTCTTCCCTGCAACACTGTTACTGGAATATAAATTTCTTCACGTACATATAACTTTGCTTTGAAGTACATGTTGTGACACAGAGTTAAGAGAAAATTATCAGGAGATATCGGAAGATGGTGGTACTTCATTCGGATATACAAACATGCGCTTAGAAAATCAACCTTGTCCACCAATTAGCTAGGATCTGGTTCGAACAGTGCTTCTGCAGTATCTACGTCCATTTTTATACACACTAATCTTCTAATAAGAGTATCAGAAGTAAACTCAGGTTATCTCTGAATGCCCGTCCTGTAATGTTTTTGAACATAGACATATTTATCGCTTTTCCATCGAGGTCTAGCTTGAAGTAACAGATTACTCTAGACTTCACAACAACAGATGCTACCTTGTCTTCTACTCCAGGGAATTTCGTTGTAAGTATATTATCCGATATAATATTGGCAGCGCCAGAGAGTGTAGCCGTCAACATCCGCAAGGCTGTGCTTTTGCTAGTGCCGCCGGTTCCACAGAGCGTAAACAAACGAGATCGAGGGACAGGATCCATTGCACAGTTGCCTGCTAACCACATGTATGTAATCATAGATCTCTTATCTGGGGATAGAGGAGAAATAAATTTTATTATTGTGCCCACCTGTCAAGGATTTGGAGGCCTTGAAAACGATGGAACGAGTTTATTAATTCTAATAATAGAAGTGGAGGAGAAATCCTCATTATATACAGGTAAAAGTCGGTTATATTTGTCACAGTGGGTATACTTCTGAAAACTCTGTAAAAGCCATCATATTCGGCAGTGCCGAACCTCAATACTCTGTCTGTGGGTGGTCTTTTGAGACAGCATCTGTCTGGGAAATAGAAGAAGGCCCGCTTCTATATCATCATCCCCGCCTATCGTCTCATGTTGATTAAGAAATCTATTGTCTTCCCACGAGAGTTGTATCCTCACACTATCCACGGACATATTCATAATTCTCGGGAGTATGTCTGGTTCGATCTTCCTCTCTAAAAAGACACACTGAGTGAATTTCGAACTGTACTACGTCGGAAATCTATCAAAGCCTCTGAGCTGGTGGAGGGGCTAGCAACAGTTGGATCGTTCTATGGCACCTTTGCTGGTGGCTCCGTAGCAACTTTGGCTGCTACTACGGGAGCGGCCGCTGTGGCAGGCTTCTTTGTATTCCGGTTTTTATTGCAGGCGGTCTGGCTAGCATTTTCGGAGTATGTAAAGCGAGGGAGTACGTCGATAACTAATTTAAACCATAACTGCCACGACTCCTTGGTACTAGTCGTTAAGTTATGACCTATGGAGAAATTGGACGTGTTGAGACAGATAAATTCACTGCTCAGCCTCGGAGACTGACAGTCAAGGAGCTAGAGTGCTTTCGGTCAGCCGATTCGGTGCAGCTTGCCGACGAAATTTGTAATCCAGCCATATCTCCAGAGTGGGTTATTTTAGGGGCGTTATCCGAAGGTGGACAGCTATCAAGGCGTTTCATGGACAGGTCGAGAGTTGTGGTATGAGGGTATGGTCTTATTCAATCTAGGCTGACCCCGGGGAATCTATCAATCAAGATATGGCCTCTCACGATTGATAATTTATATGACCGACAGCATGATGTGAGAAATATAATGGGAATAAAACTAGGAAGCTGATATCTTATTTCATCGACCTAACCCGTAAAACTGCTATCACTATAAATTCCATTGCGACAACTCAAGCAAAACGCCATCTGACCTTTAATCCGCCATCAACGCACAATATCAGCGGCCTGCGACACCGTCGAGAAGTGATATTGAAGGAAGGCTAAATATAAATATATGCCTCTATCTCTCCACCGATCCCAATCAAAGTGCCAAACAACTATCGTCGACTAACATAGCTCATGTATATGTCCTACTTATAGGTATCTCTATCCTACAACTCCCTATGTAACAGCGCTGATACTACAAGCGTCCGACGGGCGCCGAAGGTATGGGGTTATAGAGTAGTAAGGAAGGTGTATTCAATCAAGAGAATTCGAGCATAGGGTATATTTCGATCTAATCTGTACGCAGACTTCTCGTAGATTTGTAGCCTAAGATTTGCATAAGTTCAATAAAATATAAGAGTGCAATTTGTTGGACATACAGAGAGTACAGAGTCCATGCTCATTCTGGAATTGCACCACAGGCGTGGAATTATGGCAGAAGTGACAGGAATCTGCTCTCCTTAGCGGACGAAGACTACTTTTAGCAACATATGTTGACTAACGCTTGGGGCAGTATGAATCGGTGCCTGCAGAGGTATGGCAATCTGCTATTAAGCAAACATTCAGGTTGTCTTGGTTGTCTTGCTCGTGTGTCAGCCTACTAGTGGCTTCTGTCCAAGCTTTTATGCTAGCCGCCATTGCTGAAACAATCTCACTTTCCAAACGTTGAACTTTGGAATGGGGAATAGTACAATTCAAGGGGCCAGAATAGCCAACTTGAATCTATGGATAGCGCTGAGCGGGGAGCCAGAATATGCTCGGTCAGAAGAAAAGGTCAGCGAGATGTTGGCACGAGCTACGGAGATAGAACCTTGAATCCTTAGGCAGAAGTTCGACATATCTCACGTGAAAGGGAAGCTACCACAGAAGTCGCGTATTTGGCTGGAGGTACTAATAATGTTTGGTATAAAACTACACTTAATGGAGACAATTTGAGACGGTTGTAGCTGGAAAAATTGATATGCTACTTTTCGGGCCGACGTGTGCAATACTGAGATGGGGTGTGTAAAGGTTACAACAGGTGGGGCTAATGGGACTAGTGTTGGAGGTGGAAAGGTGTTTGGTGTGAATACCTGTAGTTCCGGTATGGTACCTGAACTCGAGATAGTGGATTTGTTGTTGTATAGATTATATATTAAAGTAAAATATGTTATTAGTTCGGTTGAGCAATCACTTTTGGGGAGTATGTTAGTATCATAGATTGAGCTGGTGATGAGGTGGTACCATCTATTATAATCGCCACCTATTAGCTAGACGTGAGCCAAGTATTGTTTGCTTGTATAGCAATCTAGAGACAAATGTATTAAATCGTGCTGATCAAGGGAGATTCTTGGTCGAATTCTACGCGTTCTTCTACATACCTGAGGAAGCATTGATTGGATCAAATCCTAATTTTTTGGTATACCTATTGATCGAGAAGAGGCTGAAAGCTCACGATGAATACCGGAGGGGAATCCATCTGGCAATATGCCAGGTGCCACAATAACTAGGTCAATCACGTTCAGCGCTTGTGAGGAGGGGAAATGTCTAGAAAATTCCACTTACTGTTTGTCAATAAATCAAGACAGGAGGGTTGAGATATTTGTGCGATGTGCAACAACAAAAAAGTCTGCCAGATACTCAGGATGATCTCGCGATGTGCGACATGCAATTCTGGAGAGGATTAGGTAATTGTTTTACGGGACAGGTAACAACACTGGAAATCTCACAATTTCACCACGAACGAATGGAACGGCAGATATCGTAACTTTCATTATCAACTATATCAGGTGGATCCTAATGATCCTACCCTCTGCTACCGCTGTCCCCATCCTCCCACCCATCAACAGCATATATCTGCCAAGAGACAGATAGAACCTCTCGTTCGTACAGATACCTATACCATCTGTCTTACGCCTATTCCATTCCATGCTCTTGGAAACAAAAACAGAGGCCCACAACCGCAAAGGAGTAGCTAGCAAGCAAGCAAGCAGATATAGTTACATGCCATTGCTAGCAGTTGTGCATGATCTTATTCCATGAACCCAAAGTTATCCAAAATGCCAATTTTGCCCTAAAAAAGAATTTCTCGCTCTTGCAAGGAAAAGAAAAAGGTATCCATCTTCATAAACTCATACAGTCATACAATTCATATCAAAACAATAATTATCGCCCTGGGGAAAAAACCGCCCCTTTCGTGTACTTTTGTGGGGAAGGGGGATAATGAACCATTCTTCCGTTGCAACTTTTGGAAAAAAAGCGCCAAAGCGATAAACCGCCGATTCATACGGCAGGGAGAAGAGAAAATCGAATAGAAGATGGGTGATCCTGCCCTAAGCTAATGACGCTAAAATTTCAAGAAACAATAACTCGCTTGCGAATGAGGAAAAGGTGCCATTTTAAAAATAGTTGTCACCGAAGTATTGTGTCGACCGGGTGTATGAATGTTGTGAACTCAATCTTGATCGACCAGAAGGACGATCCACCCGGCTTCGACGGTCGTCAATCTGACCTTGCCCGCCGTACTCCGAGCCAGACATTTCGCTGCCGTTGCGGAGGGACTTGGGCTGCCGCTTCTTGATTTCGATTTCGCCCCCGTCCGGGCAATCAATCTGCGCCCCACCGACCATCACACGGGCCGTCCCGGTAACTTTTATAGTCACATTCTCGTCATCGGCTCCGCTTCCACTGCGTGTGGTGCGGGTCGTCGCAGACTTCCTATAGTCGCTTTCGTCTCGACTGTTGCTGCTTTTGGTGCTTCGGCTGCTGCCAGTTTGACGCCGTTGTTGGCGCTTTAGCACCTCTGCAGTTAAGGGCACACTCGGCCCTGCGACATCTTCTTGGTAGTTCGCAGCCTGTCGAATTTTGTCCTCGTACCCACTCGATCCCGAGGCGGATTGGCCATAGTAGCTTTGTCTTCGCCGTCCATGGTTTGCAGTTTCAATCCGCACCCTTTCTGGGTCATCCACAATATGATCATAGGATGCCGAGTTTCGGTTTGAGTCTGGACGCCGGGATCGTGAAGGTTCCCGCTCATGGCCTAGGTCATATGTCACTGAGTTTCGGTGGGAACTTGGCTGGCGTGGTCGCGAATCATCGCGAATAAGAGTTCGCCCTTCGCGGTAGGGGTCTATAGACTCGGCGGCATATTCAGTGACGGGACGTCGTAGAATAGGTCGAGGTGGAGGAGGCATAGCATTGTAGTCCTCCCGACTTTTGCTCAATCTCTTCGCTATTGTTCTTGATGGCACACGTATGCTGTCCCGTTTCCTTATCGTACCTTCCGAAGCCGAAGCATAACCATCATCGTGATAGCTCTCGTAGGTGATGGGTTCATATGGGACGGCATCACGGTTGCCAAATCCTGACTGGGTTCGCGAAGGAGGATCAAACCTCGACGCCAACGGCCGCGCAGACATTGGCCGGTCAGGCGCGGACATAGCCTGCGACCCAAAGTAATCGGATGATGGAGGAGCAGGCGTAGCCGCATAACGGGAATATCCAGGCGATTGATAGCCCTGAGTAATCATGGGCTGCGGTTGATAATTCGCCCACGCAGATGCTGACAATGGAGGGCCACCATATCCACCAGTGGCATTATAAGCAGCATGGTAGCTGAGAGGTCTTGATGGGAATGTTTGTGTTGTGATGGCTCGAGGCCGGACGGGAATGGGTTGAGGCATTGCTTGCACCGTAGGCTGCGACACGATTGGGGCCCGGGCCGTAGGAGATGGAGGGACACCGAAATGTGACGGCTCGTCCCGTCGACTTGAAGGGTCGGAGATTCTGGGGAAGCTTCTGTTCTTGTGCGCGGACGGAGGCCGAGTTTGCTTTTGAGGCGAATGAGTGCTGCTCGCTGACGATTTGCGGCGCTCCAGCGGCTTCAGTTCTCGTTCTGTCGTGATGACTTCGAGGTTTCTCTCTCGCTCGACACGGCCAGTCACAGGGCGGTCAGAAGGACGATCCGTTCGTTCTCGGTCACGGTCGGTGTCGCCCTTGGTCCTCCTCTTGGGTTTATCAGACCGAGTGTCTCTGTCGGTGTCCTTGGCCTTGTCCCTGTCTCGATGCGACACTTTTGGCTTTTCCTTGTCCTTGGTGCTGGCGGTCCGCCGACTGCCACGAATAGCGCGGCCTGAATCCTCGTCGACGTCGACCACGTAGGCGGGCCTCGGGACTTTGTCAGAGCCCATGGCTGAACGTGCCACGACCACGGCCACGACCACGACCACGACCACAACCTGCTTGCGTCGACAGCGCGCGCCGTGCGTGTCCCAATTCGCAGCGGTGGCGGGGAGGAGTGGGGTGGTGTTGAGGGACCGTTATTGTTGGTTACTTCGGGGCGGATGGAGATTCTGGGCTGGCGATGTGGGGGATCGGGGGCGGGGAGGAACGTCTTAATAAATTTAAAAAAGAATTGGAATGCGATGCGATGCGATGCGACTTTCTTCTAGCGAGGAATGGGTGTCCGGGCGAGGGAGAGGGAGAGGGTGAAGGGGTGTTGGCCAAGCACCCGGGGCACTGCTGTTATCGATATCGATAATCGACAATCGATAATAAACCGCAGTAGAAGTTCGGGCCTGGCAGGGCAACCGGGGCGAGGGAGAGGGAGAGGGAGAGAAGAAAAAAAAGGGTCTTCGCAAGGTCCAAATCCTATGGGGGACACAGGGACACAGGGTCGCAAGGCCAAAAGTCCAGATATGTACTGCTCGCACTCAGGCTCAGGCTTACTCGCACTCACATCCACTCTCACGCTCTCACTCGCACTCACTCACACCCGCAAGAGATCCTCAGGTGATGCAGCACGACACCAGCAATAATAGACCGCGGGGGGAGGGGACGAGGGAGGGAAAGGGAGGAGGAGTCAGTTGGAGGTGGAGTGTGAGGCGGAGCAGTAGCAGCAGTAGCAGTGGCAATGGTAATGGGAGTGAGTGGGAGTGGGAATGGCAGTGGAAGTGGAAGTGGCAGTGAGGAATTGGCAATCTCCTTGGCCGGGGCGGTTTAGAAGTCCAGAAAGTTCCAGAGAGGCCCGGAAAGAGAGGCAGACGGAGAGTGAGAGGGAGAGGCAGACTCAGAGGGAGAAAGATACGCAGCTATGGCCGGTTGCGTCTGCGTCTGCGTCTGCGTCTGCGTACTGCGTCGTGGCTCGGGTGCCGACAGGATTATAGAGAAGCGAGGCAAGAAGTGGAAGAGGGAGAGAGAGAGAGAAAATTCAGTTCAGTAGCTGCCTCTCGTGCTGCTCTTGCTGTGGTGTTGTCCTTCAGCCTAATTTTCGCGGGCACAGTTGGGTAGCAATGCCCTTATAACAATAGTGGAGATCGAAAGACGCTGTGGTTGCGCATGTTGGTGACTCTTGCGCCGCCCGAGTGTAGGTCTCAGTCTGTGTCGTCTCGGTCTGGAGATGGAGATGGAGGGAGAGAAAAAGGAAACGACGGGGAGAGATGGCGATGCAGACTCATGAAGCTGAAGGGGACCGAAAGGGACCGAAGGGGGTGGATGGGAGCAGAACACGAACAGGGCTCAGTTCTCAGTTCACCGGGTTGGCTGCTTTCGAGGGCGCCGCAGAAAAGGGAAGGGAGCAGAAGAATATACCCATACACCCGCTGCGGCGTCCTTCAGTCAGTCATATTGACGTCCATTGGAGTGGGAATGGGGCTACGGATGCAGAGATGCAGAGACGCAGAGATAGAGAGACGCAGCGCTCCGTCCCATGGGTGAGCAGCGAATGGTGCGGCCACGCCACGCCATCGCCGAGTAACAGATATGAAGTCTGTCCTTTTGCAGACGGATGATGAATGGTGGGCGATGATGACTCCCATCTATCTCCCATCCAGCCCGGAAAGTGCAGTGGTATCAATGGCCAACGTCGGGAGGGGGACCACCAGCCATAGGCTCAGATCGACGCCATCTTTGACGCTTTTGCCAGCCAAATTTATGCATTCGAAGTACGAGCCCAATCGTTGCCACTCAATGAATTGCCATCCCATCTGCCACTTCGTCATTCGTCATCCGACGCTGTTGTGGATGCTGCTTACGCCCGGAGAGTACTTCGTACAGCTGCCTTCGATCGTTTCTACCCTCGTCCATTTTTGATAGAGCACTTCGTGTGGAATATTTGCGCGAATATCTGAATATCTCCGCTTGGTATTGGGACTTCTCATGTTTCACATGCCTTAGAACATAGTCAACATACGGTGGATACGGTATCAGACGATTCAGAGCGGTCAGATACCCTCAGGTCCATTGGTGATGGGGAACACCAGCGTTTTGGTTACATCTCTATCAGATGTGCACACGAATATGCAAGTCATCAGTGACAAGACCACACGGCGGCCTCCAGCAACTCGAAGAGGCTCCATCTCAAACCCGCCGTGCAAGCAATCGGGAGCATAGGTCAAGAAAGGGCGCAAGAAGAACAGAGGAAGGAGAACAAGAACAGTAATCATCCAAGCCTCTTCCAGACCGTATCAGTGGTGTTCGGGATACCAAATACACGAAAGTCCCGATGACCGAATTAGCCAATCAACTCCTCGCTCTTGTTATACATTGTTATGCATTATATGCAAGCGATCGAAAATGTGCACCAACAGCTTGGCCCACGACCGAGCACACTTCTTCCACTGCGACAACCTTCGCCTTCTACCCGCAAGTACGTACATCCATATATTAATCGAAAAGCCACCGACGAATTTTGATGTGCTCGTGAGCGTGCCTCTGAAGTATATCATGGTTATGGAGGGTAACACCCGCCCGTCTCCCTCCCCAAGGCGGGGTATTCCTCAAGCATTGTCTCAGTGAGTGAGACTTGACGACGAACCTTCCTATCAAAACTCCCGCTTCCGTATCATCGCATCATGTTTCTGATAAGGCTGAGATGATGACTTTTGCTTGGACAGTCCGTATTGTTGATCGGCAGGATCTCGGATCGCAGGTAACTGCATTTGAACTAACCGCCAGCCAGAGGAGTGAGAAATACGCCATCCTATGAATAGCTTTCAGCAGATAATGGCGGATTTCGAGATACGAGTTCATGATTGTGATGGAAAGCTAGTTCAGTTCTCGAGCCTCCATGAATTTCCACAATGAATGATCGTCGTCCTCCGCACACCCTCAGCCGCCTCTCACCGCTTTTTGAACTCTAATACTCAGTCATCGCGCAGACAGACACACGCCATCGAACCCCTCCTTAGGATTCCCTAACCCCACAAGATTGGCCCCGCTTCCTTGGTCCCAAGTGCTTCTCGAAGCTAGAGATCTCAATTCCAGAATCAGAGATACAGTTTATCGAGTCATCTAGACACGCAGAGGGGGCATGCCCGAGGCACTCGGGAATCCACGAGCACCCGAGACCTAGCTATCTTATCAATGTAAGCTTGTCTTTTCACACTATCTCGTTTATATTCTATCGATATGACTTTCTTTTCTTTTTCCGGCATACCTCCCCGCCCTGGTCCTCGGAAGGGAAGCGATATTGCGGCGTCTCTCGGCGGACAGAGCTAAAACGGAAACAAGATGGCATCACCCCGCCTCAAAATGGCTCGTGAATGGCGTAGTGTAGATTAGAGTTTGGGGGCCGATCTGCATATGGGGTGACAGGGAGGGCAAAAGGGTGCTCGCGAGGAAGGGGGTGCGGGCTGGAATTGACTCATTGGTTGGTAAGTTGGAACTGAGTCAAGGACATCCTTTGTAAGAGCAGGGGAGATGTTGAGTGGAACATGGGCCCATTACGGATCATAAAGTTGAGTGAGTGATGGAATAGGTTGATACTGTGCAAATCCCGTAATCCACTAGAGTAAATACAAAGATCTTATCTGGAAATAAGAGGAGACTGCTGTTTTATATCCCTTCATAGGGCAGTAGAAAATAATTCTCCAACTTGTCCCAACACCCGGTATGCAAATAACCATGTAATAGCTCTTCCACGGTGTCACTGGAAATACATCCGATCTGGCTTGTCCAGCTGCCTCACACTATGTCCGAAATTCTTTGATCTTTGACAGATAGAGAAATTGGCCCTTCTCAGTTCCAAGTGTTGGTGTATTATCAGACTAGGTTGCATAATCAAAGATCTAGGCATTTGGCTTTCAGGAGAGCAGATAGCTTAGTTGGTACATAGAATATTGGGACAATGCTTTCCGTAGTTAGCCTTGTATAACTATCTATCTGCGTAGAGCACTTAGAGAGGGCATCTTACTTGTTCAAGCTGGCAAAAATTGTCTGAGAGGCCATAATATGGAGTTACTGTATCGTTGATATCGGCAGTATACCAGGGGTGGAAAGACTGACGAGGTACACATGCTGTAACGCAATGAAGGCTTCGAAGTCTTCACCAAATGGGGCTGTTAAGTTCTCCCTCTTAAACGTCCCCCCAAGCGGTATTTGAAGCAGATCGACAAGAAATCAGTATCACCAGCTGCCATGATATCCAAAATAAGCATCCGATGTCAACTTGTCTTTCGGACAGCAAAGTTCTTCTACTCGCTGAACTCGTTGGCCCAAGAGCAGGACATTGTCGCCCAAAGATCATGGTACGGGGTTTGGGTCGAGCCAAAAGCCACCCCCGAATATTCGCTAGGATTTAGACTGAACGAATCGCCATACATAGAATCCTCTACGGATGTGAAAAGGGGGCCGAGACTCGGATCCCGGATTGGGCAATGCCCCCTCGAAGTAACCACGGCATTTCCATGATCAACAGCGAACGAACGAGTTTGAATGTCTGCCACCCGTTGCTCATATGACTTCTTAACACTCCCCAGAATCATCCGAAAGACGTAAAAGAGATCTGGATTCTCAGGGATTTCCGAGTCCTTAGGTATAGTAGATGATAATTGTTGGAAGCGGTAGCATAGACAGTCGAGATACATCACCAGAGGAATATTCGCCCGTGTTGTATTTGCATCCCATCCTAGGCTTGACGCCATGAGAAAGGTTAGGCGCGAGAGGATGAGGATGGCTTGGACCATTAATGCTCCTTGTACTGTCGTGAAACTCTTAAAGCTCGATTCGGGAAGAGAGAGAAGATATTCGAAGAATATTTTCGATGCAGCTAGGCAATTGGGAAGGTGAGGCGTTATTGTTGGTGCTATTCTATCCGGTTGGTTCAAGGAATTTCGGTATGATCGGCTCAGAAACCCAAGCTCGTGGCCGTATATAGCTACGTCGATGAATCGTTCGGCAAGACCGTTGAATGCTGCTCAATGAGTCAGTATTTGCGCTAATACTGCTTTATATAGGTAACAAACGCAAATTCCTAATTTCATCAGATGTAGAATTCCTCCATTCTTGAAGCTCGTTTAAGAAAATTTGGATATTGAGCTCGGCATGGAAAGCGCCCGTGTGTGGGTCCGCTGCCCAGGTTTTTGTTTCATAGACTTCGGAAATTCGCTCAGTAAGACGTTGTAGTTTAATTAGAGAGTAAACAACTGCTGTGTTCTCGTCTTTTGTTGGGGTTTGGATGTGGATATCCATCAGGTTCCGGTACGGAAGGTTATTTGGCTTCTGAAAACCCATGGACAAACTATAGAAGTTTAAGTAAGCCGGGAAAGTTCTAATCATGAATAAAATCCCAAGGACTAGTTAGACTCACGCGGTTGACAAGTAGTAAGCTCCAAGATAGGCATGTCGGGCTGCTTGCGTAAACTCGCACCCATCTATGAGACCCTCTGTGCTAATAGTACTGAAACCGCTCAAATTAGGGAGTTCTCGGTCGAGCCCGAGATCAGTCACTAGACTGGTGGCGATGTTCATGTACATGAACGATTGATTTTTTTTTGGATTCACATAGAGTGGGTACCTGAGTTCGGTGATTAGCATATTGATTCGCAGCAGGATACAACAGGACTCACCAGGCGATATATACAAGCAGCCCTTGCAAGAGATCAAGACTCTTCCGTCCCTCAACAATCACCTTGGAGCTAAGGACGCGCTTAAATTCATGATCCAGTTGATGGCATACTTGTGGACAGGTGAATGACGCGGTTGTAAGGATTGCTAGAAGCAGAAATGGAGACGTTCTGGATAACGATGGGACGGTGGCTTCTTCCGCGACCTGTACAAAAGGGAAAAAAGCCGATATTTTTTGAAAAGCAGTTAGAAGTCGTTCAGCATCCTTGAGGGTAAGTTTGCGCTGCGGGAGTGGTGGCAGACGGTTTTGAGCGGATGGAGAAACCTCTGCGGTTATCTTGGATTCTGGAAAGTCATCAACTCCAAAGAGGTTCTTGTGATGGCTACTAAGTGCCATCACATCCTTTAGTAAATCGTGCGGACACTGTAAAAGCGGGAGGCCGAGGGAAAACTCTGGATTACTGGAAATGGCAGAAGAACTTGTGATTGTGGTAGCGGGTGGACGTCTAGAATTGATATCAGTAATGCTTCTATTGAGGGTATGAAGGTAAAATACATGCTACGGGCCCTCAATGGGCGGGCCTTCACCCGAACATCACACTGACTGCCGATCCGTTCACATCTCTGACAAGTGGCCTGCTGGCCGTGGAATATGCATCGGCTTTTGCTCTTCCTGCAATTCTCGCACGCACCTGTAGAAATTTTCAAGATAAGTATTAAGCAACCCAGGATATATTACGACATAATAATAAATAAGAAGATAAAAAGGAATTGCCACCAAGGCGTATTGGAACAAATAAGAGCGAGACGAGAGGTTCAAGTGTCTGATGCCAAGGAAAAACTTGAATAAGGTAGTATACTGACGAGCGTTTCTCGAATTCTGCATGGCATTATTTTCGGGCATCCTGACTATAATTAAGAATAGAGTTGAACATAAAAATGTGCTCTAGAAACGACAGCTTGATATTGTCGAGCAATATTTATACTGGCTTCTCTCGGAGAGCAATCAGGCCGGATATACGGATATACGGATATACGCATGATGCTCGATGCTATTGGACACTGCCAAGCTCACGAACGGAAAGACGAACGCATGCTACAGCGAGGATTGCCCTTCTTGCCATCCATGGTCCGCGATGTAGAACATATGTGAATGTGTTGATAGTGTTCGGGGAATTGAAGTCTAAGTTGTGAGAAGAGGTTCGGAGCCCTCGGTGCAGGGTTTAGCTTGTTGACTTTAGCTGCAAGCGCTAAATCTCACCGTATCATGTGACTGGCCCCCCTTTATTTCCTTGGTTTACTAAATAGTCTACGGAAAAGTTACTGATTGAGCATATGCGGTTATATATTCAAACTGCATATAATTGATGCATATAGCTCAATAATGAGTTTGCCCTTGAGATATATACATTAGATGAAACCAAGGGACCTTGCACCCATGGCGATGTGAATCGATGGCTGAGATCTCCAACTTGTGGTGTTCCAGGAGGGGCCAAAATATCATAGACGCCATGGAATAACTCCAACATTTCATTTCTCCAAATCACGCTAAATCATCACTCAGATTTGTCCCATTTCAAGTAGTCCGGAAAATATGTATCATGGATTCTCTCAGCATACTCAAGAATGATAGGGAATCCCTTCACTAAACTCCGAGACTCTGGGCATCTGAGATATAATTAGAATGATTTGCACACAAGGATACGATTATAGTGTACTTACGCTTTACAGACAAGCACAGATACGATGAATCCAAATAGTGTGGTGTCCGCTTCACTGGGATGTTTCTCTTGAAGAACCCAAAAAGGGGTATCGCTAGATGCCTTGGCTCTGGATGATTTTAAAAGGTCATTGATACCTTCCCAAATTTCCCGCCGGAAGGCTCTAATTTCGTCGGCCGTATATCGGCTGGTCCCTTGCCCGTGCAACGTCTTGGTCGTGTTGCGGTATATGATAAGTCCCACAAGGACACGCATGGGGTGGGGTAATGCAGATAATATATGATCTCGCATTGGGTAGTAGTTTTCTACCCATCGCTCCCACGTCTAATCGGGCATGTCAGCAATGAATCCTAAGTACATGAGTCTGACAGAAGGGGGATAATGAGGCAAAACAAACATGATAAAAATAAAGCTTGTCCTCTAGCAGAGCACGAATAGCTAGATCTTGGGCTCTGCTTGCAGGTGATATCTTCCTGTTGATATCTGGCAAGACATCCCATTCAACCAATCGTTTGATGATGAGCGTAGAATCGCCGAGAGTCGCATCTATTGGTGGGCGGTCCTGAAAGCCGCTGGAGTTCTCAGAGGGACGCAGACCTCGACATTCTATGTAAGGTATCTTTCCCTTTGGACCCGTGCGTGTCGAGCCAGCTTCCGTAACATATGGGATGCCGGCAAAACGTAGTCTAGCTTCGAGCTTAATAACAAAAGGAGACCAAACGTGTTTCCCAGGATCTAGCCAACCCCGATAGACGATTAATTTGGACCCATGCTCAGGATTCATCTCCGTCTCCGCCATTGTTTTGTTGCTGGGTCCAATCTTGAATGGGAGGAGATTACCGCTGGCAGGGTAGTTATTTGACCACTGAATATGTATGTAAAAATATTTCAGTGGGGTTTTGGTCTGGATTGAATTTAGTTAACATCGAGAATGTCCTCACTCCTTATATGAGCATCATTCGGGCTTCGGGGATAGCGTTTTGCTTGAGCGATGCCAGATCACGTGGGTACGTGATAGCTCGCTTTTTCGGCATTAGTTTAGCACCGAGCAACACTCAATAGGTACTTTGTACAAATACGTGAGCGCTGTCCTGCTCTCGAATAACCTCCTAGTTACACGATTACCTTGTCTAACCAACAAGTTGTTGCAAAAAGTCCTGGTGGCCATGATAGTCGGGCGAAGCTAATTATATACCAACAGCCTGGTCGAGCAAATTGGCCTTTCCCGGACCTTCGGCAACCAGCATATTGTATCGAGCGCTAGACGCACGAACACGAGGCTTCTTGTTGGTTTTGATGAGTCGTTATTTTGTATAATTGTAGGATTACTACTTCGTACGAAGTACTGAGGTGTCGACGCCTATCAAGCTGCTTTGTATGTACAGGTAACTGTTGTGGCTGGTAAAGCCGTTGAGTGTTTTGGTGAGTGAAGCGTCGCCGAATGCTTTTCTAAATGAAAGACGGCTAATACTAACAAACGGGTTGATTGCGCAATCAAATATGTTATGATTCCTCCCTCGGCCATCACCGGCCGTTGCCCTTTCGCTTCAATCCAATTGAAACGCCGCAAGTGCTCGAGTCCAAAATCCAAATCCTTCTTTGAATCCTAAATCCTACCAAGATCATCAGACCCCTAAACCTGCGCCACAGCTTATCCGCGGATTATTGGACAGTTCGATTACCAGCCAAGAACTAAGCCGTTCCACTGCGCGGTCATGGCCTAATGCACCGCCATCGTCGTTTCAGGTTGTCGAGCTACAGTGGTATTCGCCCTGGCGGTTAATATGTTGGTTGCTCCGAGGTTTCGACTCGCCTCCGTAAATATATCTTGAGCTGTTTGCTGTCCTGTCGCGTGTTGTTTTTGTCTGTTTTTGGCCTTGAGATACCCTCACAATTATTCTCCCAATCTACTTGTATCTGCGTTTTATCTTGACTAGTTCAGCAGCCCATTGCTAAGCATACCTCTCTGTACTTCGTATCGCATCTTAAATACCCACCCACAACCAAAGCCAACAGTCGTCATGCGCTCACCAATATACCTCCTCCCAGCAGCGTTCGCCTGCGTCGCAGCGATAGTACGCATCCTTCTCTTCCACCTACCTTTAAACAGGCTAACACATCCCAGGATGGCTCTTCAAAATCCGCTGATGTCCCTTCATCAACCTCGAACACTTCTCTTCCCTCGATTCGTCTTACCACAGGCTCGAGCGAACCAACCTCAACATCCTTAATATATTCCAACACCACCACATCATCATCTTCCACAGTCGCCCCTTCATATGTCACGTCAGTTGTGGTGGTTGGAGGAACGACAACCAGCGTCGTCGTGGTCGGTGGAGATACCACTTCATTTGGGCCAGCTGTAACCCCGACGGGATCGCTTCAGCCTGGTAGCGGAGGGGAGCGATCTGTGGCAGGAGTTGGATTTGGGGCATGGTTCGCTGTAGCATTGGCGGTTGTCTTCGCATGATAAAAGGGTACGAGGGTTACTGTATATACCACGTGTTTGACGGAGTATGGCGGTGAAATTGATAGCATTTCTGCGTAGATATCAAGTACGAGTAGAATCAGATAGTTCCAAGGAATTAAATAACAGTGATCTCGAGATTGCACGCTGCGAATGATACTCGGGTCGCGTGCTACTCGAGTAATCACTAATCGCTAGTCGCTACCTAATCGCGGGGACTAATAAGGCTTGCAGGGCGCCCGCAGCGGGCGTAAAGAAAGCCTTCCATTGAAATGCTCTAGTCAGGAGGACGCCCCGCTGTAAACTGCCCTGCGCATCTGTGCTTCGTACCAACGTCTCTGCAAGCTTTCGCCCTCAACTCTGTCACCGATACTACATACAAGTCACCGATACATTGGACAGTGGTGACCGGATTTAGCCACTGACGTCTCCTACACACGCCGTCGAGTCACAGCGACATTGGAATGCGGCTGCGGTTGCCTCTGCAGACTCGGGTTCCTGTCACCGGATAGGTTACAATTCCAAGACAGCCTGACCGTCACGAGAAAAGGCAAAGTGTGAAGTCCTAGGTCACGGCCCATCGCTCACCTTGGTCTCTGTTTACGAAGAATGTCTCTGCCACTTTGCAAGCTAGTATTGCCAACTTTCGCACATTCCTTTCGCAAGTGCTGATGGATGGCTGCCTCACATGATGATGATTCATAATGGTCGTCGCAACCCACGCGCACGCCGAACGTGGCGCATGGGGGTGGTGACTGTTAGGCTTCTCTATCCTTACTACCCGTATATATCTGTTCATTTCCTGGTTTTGCTGCGATGAAGTCCTTGGCAAGGTCATCCATCCATTCGTTCTTCGCATTGTTTATTCCGTCTAGAAAGCAGACCTTTTTCCATATTCAGATATATCCACAGACCGGCCCTCGAGCCGGGTCACTTTGACCTCCAAACTACTGTTATATACTCTCAATACCACAAACAATGCCGTTCAACCAGCTTCAGCGCCGGGACTCCTGGCCTCCTACGGTCCTCCGTCTACATGACGAAGACCATGACGATGAAGACTTTGATCTCTCCGACATGGATGAAAACCCCTTCTCCTTCTTCCTGACGTCGCCTGAAGACCTCGATGATTCAGACGAGGATCTCTCCGCCGGCATCGAGACATCATCCTCTTTCAAGCCCACAATCCGAGAAGTCTCTCCCTCATCCCTTCAGCGGGTCCCTTTACCAGAATCTTCCTCCGACGAGGACGATGATCCTGCGCTCGAGATGCCTTTGACCCTCAGGACCTTCACGCTCCTCCATACGAGCGGGAGGAAGTCGCGCACAGGACATCATAAATCTTTAGGAACAGGGTTAGGCATATCTATTCCGGAGAATGTAGCCCTGAGGGGTAGATCGAGGGTTAAACTCTCTCCTACCAGAAGTGGACATGGAAGGGGATCAGGGAGGACGAGGGCGAGGAGCTTGGGCGCGAGAAGGCCGCAGAGCTGGAGGTTGCCCAGCCCGGATATTTGGTCTATTGAAGAAGAGAGGGAGGATGATGCTGGGAATGAAGGGACTTCGAATGGCGGGGAAGTGACCGAATCTCCCCTGCCGACCATTCATGTTACAGAGCCATCGCCAACTGAGGAACCAGCCAAAGAGCTGCCGAGTCCACCGAAGAAGAAGAAGAGAGTGCATTGGTCATTTTAAGGAGATGGGAACGCATGGATGAGTTATGGACGGGATAATTTGCATCTGCATCTGCATGGTCGGCGTTGGGGATTTGGGGTTTATATACAGTTGGGATGCTCACGCTTATTAGTTTTCAGGGATGGCACATCGTTATATGAGCTTGCACGTTTCTCATTATTTAGGGTTGGAGATATCGGCATTTCGAGTTTTTCGTTACATGGCATGAGATGGGAATCGTGGTACTATTTCCTCATCGTTCGGCATACTTCTCTAGCATTACAGCATCTACCGATTTTCGTTTCGTTTTCCCTTAGCACATATTTTGTATTAATAGAGTTTGAAGTACTAAGCTAGGGTAGCTATTAACACAGCTAATTTGTTGAATTTACAGAAATATGAAATGAACTACTTGATAGTGTAATGATTTGTTAGGCTTTTCTTGGCCTGTTAAGAGGAGATTGTTGCTACGGATTTTGTTCGTCGAGATCTGCCTGGTGCCGCACAGCTCCTTCCCAAACGCTCGTCGTGCATATTTAAGAGTCAGGACCAAAATCATTAACGAGTAGAACCTAAGGCACAGACATAAAGATTTCGAAAGTTATATTAATGATATCCCAATGGTTAAAATATACATATCCAAACAGCTCCTTATATGCGTATAGGTATCATCGATCGAATCTCCGCCTATCCCTCTCCCTCTTTACGGCAGCCTCAACAACCACCCTCTCCAACTCGGGCAAACTCCCCATCGCCGGATCCTGGTCGGCCTTCAGCCCAAATTCCCACTTCGGCGCCGGTGTATTCACGCCCGGAAATAAATCCACAGGCAAATAATCGCCAACGTCAATTCGAAAGCCCTCCCTCTCACCCATATCAGCTTGGTACACTTTGTCAATCTGCTCCGTTGCCTTCCTCATGATGCTCTTGACTTTCTCCTCGCACTGTTTCCGGCGGTGGATTTCAAGAATCAGGCTGTCGTATGAGGCGTGGTAGTTTTCATAGAACAGGCGCATGGATTCGAGCTCGGAGAGTTGGTCTTGGATTTGGAGCTTGGTTTCTTCCCATTTTAGGCGGAAATCTTGGCTGGCTATTATGTATCCCGACAGCCTGGCTCCAACGCCTTCGAGGATGTGGTATGCGTTGGTTGTTCCATTGTGGACGGCTCGTAGGGATGAGACATGCTCGAGGACTGCTTCGTGTTTGGCTTCCATGTCCGCTAGGAATTCGCGCAGTTCCATGACCACGTCTTCGACCTGAGATGCGTCTTTCTGGAGCACGTCAAGCATCTCCCGCCGTTCTTCTTCCGAAATCGGTTCGTCGTGCGTAGATTCATTTTCGGTATTCATTACTCCCGATACCGAGACTGGCTCCGCCCCTGGTGGCTGCGACGATGCTGCTTTTCGGACTGCTGCGTATCCTCCCTCAGTATGCCGAATTGCATTTACGCAAAGGTCAAAGTGTGATACGAGAGATTCGAGGAGGGATGCCATTTCTTGGGCATGGCTTTCGAGAGTTTGTAGATGGTCGGGGATAGGCGAGGAGAGGTTATCGTGCGACTGGGACGGGGTAGTCGGTTGGGGGGAAGAGGCCATGGTGGTTTTAAGGGCACGAAGGTCATCGTCGAAGGAGAGAATTGAGGAATCGAATTCAGTTTGAGCTTCCTAAGTAGTTCGTTAGAGGCTGTCTATCATTATGGCAATAGGTAGGTGGCGACGCACCCTTGTTTCTCGAATCGATTCCTTCAAGGCATCTCGCATAGTCTCGACACCTTGTTCATCGACAAAATCAAGGAGACTTCGAGGTTCCTCGCCGGCCGGCCGAAAAGATGCTTCCACCATCGTGGAACGCAAAATGTCCATAGTTGTTTCGAGTCGCGAATTTGCCGCATCCAGTGTCCGAATGACATTCTATGGACGCCATCATCAGCCTCACATCCCTCCCCCATTATCAGCAACCCAAACATACCTTGAAGTCTTTCTGTCCATCTTTGTATACATTCTCCACCCCTCCCCTCGCCCTCCTAAGTATCTTGACTTGTTCCGAGATGCCCTTTCTTAAAAACCCCGTTTGAGCACTCAGCATTACACTTTCTTCCAAGGCCGCTCGTGCGGATGTGGCAATCTCGTTTGCCCGCCATACTGTGTTTATCGATGATAGGGAGCGCTTAGAGGCCAGGAGATGTGATACGAGGGTTTGGAGAGAGACATCTGGATGGCTCATCGAATGGGATTGCGATTGGGAGTTTGATGGGGAGAGCGAGGCTTGGCTGTGACTGGCCGGGATGGTTGGTGAAGAAGCCATCTTGCAGGTAGTACGGAGGATGGCGTAGTTATTCGTCTATAGCACTATTTGTTTTGCCATTTGCTCGGATGGGCCATGTCATATTGATGTTCGCTGTTTGCAGTCTGTTGAGAGGCGGCTCACTTGTCTTGCTGACAATGGTTGGCTGGAGACGAGGCTGTGGTCCGGGATCGACAAGGTACGGATACAGTGCTTACTCCCGCTTGGGTCGCCACCAGCCTAATACATTTATTATTTGACTCCTCACTGTTTTTCGAGCTATCCAACAAGGTATTGCTCTCAGCTATTTCATGGGGTACGTAGGTACAGTACCTTACATAGACCTGGGGCTTGGGATCTAGGCGCTTTGGCTTAGAAACGGCTCGCAGTTGTCCTCCGTGACCAAGAGACTAGATCGTGGCCCTCCGTAAGCGGGAGGGCCCTTTTGGCAAATGATGAACAATCAATACCAGCAGACCTGCTCATAACCTAATAGCTATTGCGCGATAGTCCGCCACTTGTAATAGTTTCTTGGACCTAATTTATTGCCACAGACAGTTTCATAATTGCCAGAGCTAATTCTGTAGAGTTTGGTGAAGAATTACCGTGTACGGAGTAGATCGTTGCTCGTGAGAAAACCCTAGTACCAGGATGTGAGATGTGATACTCTGTGATTATGGTTGTGGAACAATGTACCAGATCGAAACAACCTCCTGGTACATAACTGGTAGCTGAAATAGTCTTGTTACTCTATTGGTGTGGTAACACAAAGTCTATGCCAGGCGTTGAGCTACTCCAGAGCTCCCCAGCTTTGACGGTCCCCAACGCACGGAGGAGTGGCTTCGGGCAACATTTCCTGCTGAATCATAATCGTGAGGGGTGGGGTGTTCTAGAGCGTAGAGATTCGCCATTGATCAATTATAACCCTATATTACCACTAATAGCTCAACTTAATAGCCACAGCTGCTGTTTGGTGTCCCCCGAGAAAAGTGCGGATCGCGTGATCGAGGAGCGAGAAGTCGCAAGCGGTGCCTGAGGCAGAAAAACGTAATCCAATTGCAGATCTCGCCTCCGCATCCGCAGAGATATTGACATTGATATTGAGATTGATAGATCGATAGCGAGAGACCGCACCACAGCGCAGCGCAGCACAACACAAACACAAACACAAACACAACGCCACCTGCGTCCTCGTCCTTCTACCCTCCTCACCTGTCTCACTTCCACGCATTCTCTGTTCCCAGCCAAAATCTACCGATTCGTTCCAGGTATATACCTGTATCGCGACACTTGTGTACCTCGGAGCCGAAAACTGAACTCGTACGGGTCTTTGAACTCTATATTGCTATCGGCCTACATACAGCCCCGACAATCTCGCAATACCCAGTCGAATCAACCACGACAATCACCGCAATCCCCGTCGCCCTTGCCCTGGGAAGCACGCCATCAATCGCAGAGTCATCTCAAGCAAACTCCTTGCCTCCTGCTCCCCTGGTGAGCCTTGGGCACGCTGCAAACCACCCCGATGCGCTTCTCTGTCTGACCAACACGGCGACCACTTCCCCTTCCTCTTCCCCTTCCCCCCTTCCTCCTTCGCACCTCAAACACCTCGTCCCCCTAGCCGTTATGGCGTCAATTCGCTCCCAGCCAGATTCCGTGGCGCTGCGCCAGTCCGTTGAAGTACCGGCCCATCACCCAGGTAGGGAGAACGGGAGCCGAAGACTTGCCACGCACGCCATGGCCATGGCGGTCGAAGAGCCCCTTGAGTCCGAGATTGGCGGCGAGCACGTCACGCAGTCGATGGAAGAAGGAGAGCGTCCGTCGAGGAACAACTGTGGTGAGGACGACGCCCATGGACGAACCGACTTAACTATCGCCATCTCCTCTACAAGCAAAATGGCCGGCCAAACAGTCGCTCCTTTTCTTGCGAAACATATCCCCGATCAATACGCTCCCTTAGGTGTCCAGGCCACTCCCAGTTCTATTTCGAAGCACACCCACAACATCTCAGATCAAGATCCCAATTCAAAATACTGCTACCGGCATCGTCCGGATTCCAAGTGTCGGAGGACCGCCGACGAGCCGACGATGGAGAACCTTCAAAGAGTATGACCATTGCCTCCTTGGTTGATACTGTGCTAACCCTCTCGTAGGAACTCGAAACCTTGACACACGCGGACCAGCAAGGCATTTCTCATGTTTGGTCACTCTTCTCCGCGGCGCCAGCCAAACAGAGAAACCTTATGCTCCAGGGAATCCTCGCGCAGTGCTGTTTCCCTCAGTTATCGTACCTCTCCACCACAGTCCGCGACCTGATTCGCATCGACTTCATCAGTGCCCTCCCTTCCGAAATATCCTTCAAGATTTTATGCTACCTCGACACCACTTCACTCTGCAAGGCGGCGCAGGTCAGCCCGAATTGGCGGTTGCTTGCGGATGACGATGTGGTATGGCATAAGATGTGTGAGCAGCATATTGACCGGAAATGCACCAAGTGTGGGTGGGGGCTACCACTGCTTGAGCGGAAAAGATTAAGGGACTGGAAGCGCCAGCAACAATTGCGAGCAACTGGTCGTGGTCTCAACCAATGGTCACCTCAGTTAACTCCTTTACCGGATGATGGAAGTGTGCCCGGAACAGATAAAGTCGTCTCGGTGAGGGGTGCAACCAAGAGAGATGCCAATACCTTTACGTCGGATAATGCTCCAGAAGCCACTCTTACTAAACGGCAAAGAATGAATCCCGAAGACCCGTGCCCCACGAAACCTAAATTTAGACCTTGGAAGGACGTATATAAGGCTAGATTTAAGGTCGGAACGAACTGGAAATATGGGCGGTGCTCAACCAAGATTTTCAGAGGCCACACGAATGGGGTCATGTGCCTACAATTCGACGACAATATCCTGGCAACTGGCTCATACGACTCGACAATCAAGATATGGGATATTGAGACCGGAGAGTGCCTTCGCACGCTACGTGGACACACATCCGGCATTCGAGCGCTCCAGTTTGACGATACGAAACTAATCAGCGGTAGCCTGGACCGAACCCTCCGTGTCTGGAATTGGAGGACCGGAGAATGTATTTCGACGTACCAAGGACATACTGAAGGCGTCATTGCGGTTAATTTCGAGGGTAATATCCTTGCCTCAGGATCCATCGACAAGACTATCAAGATTTGGAACTTCGAGGACAAGTCTGTCTTTTGCTTGCGAGGCCACAAAGACTGGGTTAATGCAGTCAGAGTTGATGCCGCCTCACGCACTGTTTTGTCCGCATCGGACGACTGCACTGTTCGGCTATGGGATCTAGACACTAGAACCACAATCCAAACCTTTGAAGGCCATGTCGGACAAGTTCAACAAGTTATCTTGCTGCCACCAGAATATGAGCCTGATGACGGCGAAGCGGCGGATGTTGATGATGGTACCAGCAGCACAACAAGCAGCACAGATCTCAATGTGCCTATTCACACATCCACGTCAGTCTTCGACACATGGCCATCGTGCCGTCCACGACCCTCCAGATATATGGTCACCGGCGGTCTCGACTCCACTGTCCGGCTCTGGGATGTCCACACCGGCAGATGTCTCAAAACCTTCTTCGGTCATCTAGAGGGTGTATGGGCATTAGCCGGCGATACACTCCGAGTCGTTTCCGGTGCTGAGGATCGAATGGTTAAGGTCTGGGATGCGAGGACTGGCAAGTGCGAGAAAACTTTTAGTGGCCATGCTGCGCCGGTCACTTGTATTGGGCTCAGCGACAGCAGAATGTGTACCGGGAGCGAGGATTGCGAGGTGAGAATGTATAGCTTTAAGAGCGAAGATGGAGATGTGGTTTCGATCCAGGGAGATGGCGTATGATGGGAAACTTTGCACTGGCGCTACGAAATATTTGCGGACCTGGATGATGATGATGAAATTTGCTTCTACTACCCACCCGAAGTCTTTCGGCGATGGAAATATCCCACTTTTTTTTGCTGTATTTGAGCGCGCTATTCAACAACGGATCATGGGACATGGCATGGCGGTTAATGAACTGGCTAAAAAGGGAGGCGTTCCGGATGATCAACTAATGAGATATTAGATAGTTGAGTCCTCAGAGGAACCCCAATTGCAAAAATAATTTTCGAAAATTGTCTGTTGATGGTGTTGAATTTCCGAATTAGTTTTCCTAGTGACTGGTGACTTGCAAGTTTGGTTATTGATCAATATGGTACTTGATTAGCTGAGAGCCCCAAGCAATTCTTGACTGTCCATTTGTCTAACCATTATTACCTAGCAGAAACATGACTCCATAATAATATCCTTTGTCGCTATTTCCACACTGTTCTCTGCGCCTTCCAGCCTTTTGCAAAAAGGCAACTTTGGCAAACCATAACAATAGTAGTTATATTTCCCTAAGTACCATCCATTTGTGAGGGCCAGCCTTTTGAAATTACATCCCGCTTACTACATATATTCATCTTCGCAAAGTTTGCGCAAAGTTTTACTACGATCCGAATCATTGCAGTGGCAGTTAATATAAAGGTGTCCCACACTATCACACATTTGCGGCTTCTGATTTTGTAGAATCTCCAAAAAAGACTCGGGCAGGACTGCGGTATGTCGAGACTGATGTTTTGGAGTGGCATTGTTTCAAGTCGTGGTTCGTTAGTATCTGTTTTGATTTTTGGGGGTGTCCATTGTCTCCGTGATGGAATTCGTACAGCAGGAGTTCTTCTCGTGTCTATTTCGGTTTGGGATTTGGGCTTTTGAGGTGTAGGATGCAAGGACGGATGGATATGTTTTGGAAAAAGGGTTCATCTAGATGTATCGCATGGCCTATGGTAGGGTGGTGAGTAGATACTGTTCGAGACTGGCAATTGTATGTGCAAAAATGCGAATCCTTCTATGTAAGTAACACACTAGACGTAGCATTTCGTTGATAGATGAGGGCATATATACGACTATATAAAGGTAGTATCGTTCATTTAGCTAGTTTGAATATACTTGAATACTTAAAAGGAAAATCAACAGGTAAGAAAAGGCAAATTATTAAATCAATAGGGTATTATCAAAGCCTTCGGTAACATGGCGGAAGTCATAGTATCATACCTATGTATGATACGAAGGCTATGGATGGGGCTAAAGCCACGGAGGGGAAGCCTCGATTGAATTATCATCTGAAAATCGGTGGCTCAAATGCCCGATTCAACGTACCCTCTCATTATCTAGATACGAATTCTGCATGCAGTTTGAGGTTGCTAATTCGCAGCTAATCAAATAATGATCTTAGAGCTCCTACCATACAATCGGATGATGATGGGCAAACCCAAATTTTAGTAGGCGCCTTGGGTCGATTTTAGTATGTGGTATATTTAGATCGCCGCGGAATTGAAGGAATTAAGGTGACCAAACAGATACCGTGGGCAACGGGGATCGACAGATCAGCAGCAGGAAAGACTGTTGTCAGTGGTCGATGTCAAAATCCCATGAGACATTTAAAAGTGGAGAGCTTGGACTTCGGGCGATTCGTGGCTTACTCGGAGTGCGTCTACTTTTACTTGACTCATTTCAAAGAAATGCAAGTTTTCGCTCTCGTATTTGAGTCCTCTGGAAATTCAGAGGCAGAGGTGATAGGTTCTGTCCGTCGAGGCTCACTGTGCTCGTATTATCTCACGTTCGATGCCTGGCTACGGCGTATTTACCAGCCGGCTTACTCGAATTGACGTCAGATACGAAAGCTGCTTTGGAGATATCTCCGTTGGCACTGAGAACAGCGACTGGATAACATTCGAAGTAAGAGTGAGAGCAGCGCTGAATAAAATTTTAGGTAGGGTAGTGTTGGTGTTGGTGTTGGTGGTTAAGGGGTGGTCAGCTGGTGAGAGGTGATGATGGAGCATCATTTGGCTTACTGAATACTATACCTCCTACTAATCTGAAATTTGAAGGAAAATTCGGGAGCATCACTACTGTGCAATTCTATGCATGTCCAATTTCCGCTTTCGGTACCTAGTTAGGGTGGGTGTGCACACGTTGACATGCCTGACAGTGGTCGACGCCCTTTTGAGACACGAAGCAACCCATACCTTTTCTTGGCGATACCACCTGTACTTAGTTCCCTTGTGAATGATTGGTCCATACCTAGCTCGATGCGGCCAAGGATGATCTGCAGCACTTCTGCACAATGCTGGCAGCCTTATGCAAAAACGACACTGGCAAGAAGCTGAAACATCGCAAAGAGCGAGAAACCAATGCGGGGTTCTAAAGGAAGACGTTTACTCGAAACATGGGAAAGATAAAACGTTAAGAGGAACCGATGAGGGGCCTTGGTCAGAGGGAACTGGACTGAGGGCGCCATCTTTGTTCTATCGAAGCGAAAGGAATATGGGGTAAGAGTTCGGATACAATACGAGGACAATCCGGTAAATAAAAAAAAAAGCAGTCAAATGGTCAAAGCAAGATGCCCGATGCTTGCTTCCGACTGCCTGTTATCTGCCTGGCTTGGCGGTGCCCGAGCTATCTGATTCCGTGAAGCGCCAAGATCTTATCTTGACGGAAAACTTGCTGATGGAGGGCTCATGTGCCCGAAATATCGTCAGCTATGGTTAACTTTCAATGCGTAAGTACAGTAGTGAGGCTTTCCACATCTGGTCAGCAGCTTGCACCCTCCTAGAATGGTGCTTCCATGGTGGCATTCTGTGGCGGCGCAACCTCGTGGCCGGCCGGGATAGTATTTGTATTGGAGCGGTAGCGAGAGGTGGTGGTCAAAGTGCTTGCATGACTTCGTCGTGTGCAAGCAAGTAGGGATTGGGTTTAGGCCTTCAGGCAGCCTTTGTATTGATTGCGTCTCCCGCAACGGCAGGTACTCTATTAATCTGCAGGCAGATCCCACAGGAACGGAGCCAATCCCGGTGAATCAAAGGCATTGCTCACACCGAGGGTCTGATTCTCTTCAATTCCGTCGTCCCTGAGTAGGCTGCACCGGTAGTAGCAGACGACCAGCAATTCGGATTTTTGGTCGAATGATCTGCGCTGGCAATCCCGGCGGACCATGGATAAGCGGGAGGCGGTGCTGAATCCTGGGGACCAGCAAGGGCCGTAATGGGGCAACTTGCCCACTTCATGAGTACAGACATTGTGTGTGCTCATGCGTCGTGGAACGGAAGCATAGAGTTTCGTAGTATTCTTGGAGTCTAAAACCGTAGCTGGAGCTGAAGCGCCCGAAACCACAGCATTGCACAGAGTACGGAGTACGCCACCAGAGATGGCTGCGTAGGTAAACAGGGAAGAGGGTGAGGATGGGAAGGGAAGGGAATAGGTGGAGCTGATGATGAGAGCGAGTAGAGGCAGGACGGCAGAGTACGAAGAACGAAGACCGAAGACCGAAGAGACAAAGACAAGACGGGTTGAAGATGGAATAACCTTACTCCGCCGCCGGGGATATCCCCGGCTTTAGGTCTTCGGGGGCTTCGCACGGACGGCGGGACGCACGGGCGGCCGGGGAGACGCGGGACACTCGGTCTTCCGCGCCGATCCCCGAGCCTTACTCTTTGTGCCTTAGGCTTTAAGTCAGCCACTCACAACCTCCCATCGCCAACATATTCCCCGAATACACAATACACCAGAATAAACTTCCCATTTCAACGGAGATAATCCAATAATCCTTCAACAGGGGCCTCCCGCCTCTACCTCTGCCTCTGCCTCTCCCTCTGCCTCTCCCTCTGCTTCAATCAATATCGAAACATGGACCATGATAATGGGCTTGCGCTATGATCTGAATTGAGGGGTGTCTCGTGGGTGACTGGGTCCCTCCCACCTCCATTGAACGCACCTCTCCCTAGTATACCTCCCCAGCTTTATTATTCCTTTAAACGTGGCTGCCTTCGGAAAGTTCGGATTGTTGGAGCATGTGAAGGCTTCCCGCCCCAGCGTCATCTGTTCCCGGCCATTTTTCTGCAAAAGCCGTATTGGTGCAAGACACCTCCCAATCCGTTGAGATACGAGCTGGTGTTGGTGTGTGGCATCCCTAGTTGTCCCGAATTCTTTACTTGGGGCTTTGCCCTGATACAAGTTCTTATAGCTGGATAGATTGGAGCTAGTGCTCCAGACTGTACGTCATTTGCTAGGTGGAATGAGGGGTAGCTTCGTCCTAGCTCTGTCTTATCTGGAAAGCATAAACATGAGAGTTTCAAACCCCCTTTCTGCTATATTCCACTGAAGGAAAAGCGGTGAAAGGCTGTCCGAGGAAAACTCCAAGAACCTGGAACATGCAGTTGTCGATCTGTAAGTGCTCCACTTGGGAGCGACTCGCCAATGAGCTAAACATAGGCCACGGAAGTACCCTTGCTCAAGCCTCGAAACCGAAAGTCGATATTTCCAACATCAGATGAACATTGTACCAGTTATCGTCCACACCATTTTTGCTGATGTTCATGGGCAACATTGATCAGCTTCGGCCGAACTGATTTCGCGTGATCCATCCTTTATTTTCATATCCCCATATCCTTGTATCCTCGTCAATTGTCCCGCTCTTACTGGGTTTCGGTTACCAGTGCAACCACGGCTGTTCGCGTGGCGTTGATATGCATTGCTTTAGTGTTACTCTTGACCCAGGGACTTGGCCATGAACCCCGGCTGTTATACGAGTCTGGCGTAGCTAGTCTGCATCATTCTCCATTCACCATGTATTGAAAATGCCAAGCGAGACGAATGTGCCTGATCAGCGGCAGCAACGCATCGTCAGTAAGTGTAAATGCCTGTCGCGGTGGTGCTCTGGCATTGGATTGGGCGCACAAGCACCCCCACAATTATCAGTGGCTATGTCAAATTCTCGGACACATACCAGACCTTAGAGCCAATGATAGCCTGCCAAAGCCGATGACCCGTAGCCACCGCTTTGCGTCCATCAGCCTCACATACAGCGAAAAGACAGAAGCTTAAGCTTCCTGATCTCCGTTCATGGTGGCAGGGGTCTCTGCACCCACGGCTCAATTGGCAGCAGCGGCATCACACAGTGCCCTATCGAGCGCCAAATCTCCATTTAGAACATGTGGCCCATATCCCCTGGTACGACCTAGTGATTACACCACGCAGAGGCCGACCGTTCTTTCTGACATCGTCTTACTCATTGGCATAATAAGTCTCAAATATCCTCCCAATTTCTCTCATCATCATTCTACATCACACTCCTTCCTTGTTCACTCTCTCTTGAGACACTCGGAATCGAATATCACTTGGCAACGATGAAGTTCAATCATTTTGGGGCCCTTCCGTGGGTTGCCCTCATTGCCTCCTCCTTGCCATGGGCTACACTCGTTAACGGTCAAGGTATGGAGTCTACTAGCCATGGTCAATATTGTTACTGCTTTGCTAACTTACAATCTCTTTAGCGGATTATGTGGAACTCGGTGTTCCCTTCCTGCGCACGACCGATCCAGTCACTGTTGGTTTACTCCATGCCCTGCTTAATATTGTTGTACCCATAACTAACATACCCTAGCCCCTTCCTCAAGGATTTCCGTGGGGTCCTAAAACCTCAAATAATACCAATCCCTGTGAGTTTGCCCTTCAGTTCTGTAAACTGAATAATGTGTACTAACTTCACCTAGATGGTGAGTTTCCAGTCGTATCTAATAACTAATGTGATTTCTAACTCAAAATTTTCAATAGAGAGTAAGCCTCCTCTCATGTGCTCTATCGCTTAACACCAAACTAATTGCCATTTTAGACCCGCCATTTACTGGGTATGTTCAATGAGGCCCTATCTTTGCTTGCAGCACCTAACGAAAGACAGCGTCATACGGCGATATTTTTTTACCATCACCAAGGAGAAGCGAGCTCCGGATGGGTATCTCAAAGAAATGTTGTTGGTTAATGGTCAATTTCCCGCGCCATTAATTGAGGCAAACTGGTAAGACCCGACTCCTGATCATTTGAAAATGTTTTAAGGCTGAGCATCAACAGGGGCGACACTATTCAAGTAACAGTTCACAACAAACTCACTTCACCCCCAGAAGGGACAGCTTTGCATTGGCACGGATTTTTGCAAAAGAAATCCCAGTACGTAGCGGGAATATATGCCTGGATAGGGGAGTCGACTAATTGTTTAATAGGTGGATGGATGGTGTCCCAGGTGTCTCACAATGCCCAATTGCTCCTGGTGCAACTTTCACATACACCTTCACAGCCGACCTTTATGGTACCACCTGGTACCATTCGCATTACTCAGCGCAATATGCTGGCGGACTGGTTGGCCCGATTGTTGTTCACGGCCCAAAGACAGTCGATTATCAGATTGGTATGAAGGCAGTAAAAGACCTATATCGCAACGGATAGCATACTAACCAACCCAACAGATAAAGGGCCGCTCTTGTTGACCGATCACTACCACAAGCCCTATTTGAATATTGTCAAGGATGTTGTATCCACGAATATTTCCACAGTTGTGAGTGAAGACGCATGATTGAATCCAGCCTGCTACCGACGTATGCTAATATTTCTAGGCACCTCTCTCCGATAATAATCTAATTAACGGCAGGAACGACTTCGACTGTTCTAAGGTTGCAGCAGGAGATACAACGCCGTGCAGAAATAATGCCGGTATCCCCAACTTCCAGTTTACACCCCGTAAAACTCATCTACTGCGTCTGATCAACGCTGGATCAGAAGGCGTTCAAAAGTTCTCCATCGATGGCCATAATATGACAGTGGTAGCCAATGATTTTGTTCCCGTTATCCCTTACGATACCCAAGGTAAGATTACAGCCTAACTACCTGATGAGTGCTGTTAACACCAAGCCAGTTGTGACATTGGGGATTGGCCAGCGCACTGATGTTATCGTTACTGGTCTCCCGAATCCTGGCCAGAACTCCTATATGATACGTTCCTCTATTCCGGCCGCACCTTGCTCAGGAAGTGCCAAACCTGATGCTTTTGCCATCTTGTACTACAGCCCAGCCGCGCTTCGCAAGGGCAGACCTACTACATCCCCGTGGCCAGCATTCACCGACTCGCTCGCAAACAGGTGTTTCAATGTAAGCTCAATAGTTTTCAAATCTATCAGTCCTTTCGTATGTCAATCCAACTAGACAGTGCCTTTGCTAACAATAAACTAGGACGAGCTCACCGTAACGAAGCCATGGTTCCCAATCAAACCTGATCCATCTCCACCAACAACAGAGACTATCGCCATAACATTTGGCAAAAACGCCACTGGCTTCTGGTCATGGTTCATGAATGGCAGCTCCTTCCGCGTCAACTACAACTCACCTGTCCTCCTCCTCGCCAACTCTGGTAACACCACGTTCCCTGAGCATCCAGAATGGAACATCCATAACTTCGGCTCTAACTCATCCTTCCGCATCATTCTCCAGAACAATGGCCCTCCTATCCCCCATCCCATCCATTTACACGGACACAACTATTTCATCCTGGCTGAAGGCAAAGGAACTTGGGATGGACAAACGATTGTTCGCCCGGAAAACCCTCAGAGAAGAGATGTACACCTTCTGCAAGCGAATGGATATATGGTGTTGCAGATCACGGCCGATAATCCAGGCACTTGGCCTTTACATTGTCATATCGTGAGTCCTCCCATACCCCGCCGAGCATCACCCATTGTGATTAGTGCATTGATGGCATGGCTAACTAAATATGTCCACAGGCATGGCACGTCTCCGGTGGCTTGTACGTCACGGTCCTTGAGCGCCCAGCCGATATCGATAACCTCCAAATCCCAAGTATTATGGCACAGAGCTGCAGAGATTGGGGCGCGTTCACCAACACTGCTATTGTCGATCAAATCGATTCTGGACTCAAAATGATGTAGAGGGATAGGAAGAACCGGGGTTGAATAGGAAGCAAGAGGGATTGAGAAAAGGAGATTGAACGTGGGTGATAGTGGGTGATAGTGGGTGACAAAACAGATGCAGTGGGGGAGATGGTGTCAGGGGACGACAGTTTAAGCATATGCATATTTGGGCGTTTTGGATCTGCAGTTTTCGCATCTTTGGGCTCATATTCTCGGGATTTTCCTTGGCCTTCTGGGGCAGGTGGCATCGGTGAATCATAGCAAGGCGGCATTGGGTGGTCCACTGGTACATCGAGTTGTGGGCGCTTCACTTTCCTCTCTTTTTGGCTCTTGCATTTTCTTCGGGGGTTTTTGGGTTTCTTCTTGGGTTTGCTTTTATTTCTTTATAGAGAGCTCTATATATGCATAGATGACTCTTATATAAATGGGATTTGCATTTGCTCCATTTGAATTGGTCCGTCACACTGCTCACGTGACTAGAGATAAGATTAAAATGGAAATATTATGTCCATTATCGAGTACTTCTAGGTTATTCCGTTTGTTCCCATTAGTTTATTTCCTCTGTAAAGCTATCGTTAGCAAGTATTTCCTTAACAGACATTATATCCAGTGTGTACTGTGTAGGACGCTTAAGGGCATGTGAGACTAACTTCGCTTGCGCAGCTTGAGTTGTTCCCAACGTTGTTCAATGTTCAGAGGGATTTGAAACACCACGACCTCCTAGCTGTAAGAAACGACGCAAGCGGGTACAACGTTGACATGCATGATGGATCATTAAGCATTATTGCATTTCTCAGCCAGTGGCGGAGTGCATTTCTGTATTTTTCCGCAATGATCGCGACACCGCTTCGCATCTCGTCAAACCCTCCACCCCTCGCGGATCGTAGCATTTTGTGACCTCTAACTTTTGTCCTAGCATTGGCATTCTATTCTTGGTTTGGCCCGAACCCTGTGCTTTGTTTTGTGCGTCTGCATGGTCTACTCCTTTTAGTCTAGAGATGTTTGATCGGGTGGGGGATGATTATTCAGTACTATATACTCATATCTAGTTAATATATATATATATATATCAACTTGTCTAGGATAAGTGTAACGACTAGTCCCGTGTGTACTATTTCCTTCAGCAAGAGTTCATCGCTGCGAAGGCAGCGGATATGGGCCGCGTCGGTCCCCTGGAGGAGAATCAAGGCGAGGTCCCCGGTAGCCGAGGGCGAGTTCGAGTAGTACGGAGGTACAGCCCATAAGTAAAGTAATAGCACTAGCCAGGAAGCCCCCAGACGTACACAAAACTTATCCTATTCCAGCACAATTTCCCTTGCAATTACACCTCAATAGGATAAGCAACGACGCCTCACATGGGGGG